CTGCTCCATGTAGCTCTATATAGAATGTAGTGTGTAGCAAAGGAAAACATCGATGTTTCGATAATATCGACTATCGATGGTGATCTCTAAGTAGAGTTGAATAGCGTGCGTCGGATCCTTCTCACTCAGGTAACTCAAATTGCCCAAATTTGTTTGTTAGAACCTTCTCAAACCAAGGCCACGAATTGTGAAAGAAATCTACATAGGTTGCAAATAAATTATCATTTCGCTGAGTCCGATTAATGGGTGAATGGAAGGCATAATTGGTTGAATGAGAATTTTAGAAAAAAAAAAAAAAACGAAGATGACGAAAATTAGAATTAGAAAATTAATTTTACCAATGAGAATAAAATAATTGATATTTTCATTAATTAATAAATGTAAAGAAGAAAATACTTTTTTTTAAAGCGCCTATGTGCTACAGAATCAATATTCATATTTCAAAAATGTTTATAATATCGATGAAAATGTCCACTTTCGAAGTATCAAACGAAAGAGAATTTCATCGATAAGTTACAAATGATAATTACTGAAACTTTACTACTATTACATTAAAAGTTATTTTGAAAATTAGAAGCCATCAAAAGTCGACGGATCGAGGTAGAATAAATTATCTTTTAAATATATATGCCCCAGTATTGTTCTTTAGATATAGTTCTTTAGAACTATTATGATCTCTCCCTTTTAAGGACTTAAAATGTTCCGTATACGAGAAAACACATAGGCCTAATTCCAGCAATAGTAAATATTGATAACGCGATTGCCGTGGATTCCTAATCACATTTAACTTAAAATATCCTATTTATCACAGCCTATCTGTAGGTATCCTATATATTATTTCTAAAAGGTGTTTTTTTTTGTCGGTACGCCATAACTCTTAAATCAATTCATCAAATCCAATGATTGACCACTCATTTTGGAGATATTCTTTTCCTTCACATGCGAAAAATAGTCCCATCCCCCCGAAATTTCTTCCATTCCCAAAATTTCGAAATTTCTGAAAAAAAACGTTATGAAGGAAAAGAAACTTTATTTGCGAATAACTCAAGAACTATGCATTTTTTTCTAGATGTACCCATGATATATATATTCGTCAATTCTTCATCAAATCCTATGATTGATGGTTCATTTATAAGTTTATCTTCTTCTAGTGTGAAAAAGAGGCACATCCTCTAGAAAAGTTATGGAAAATTAGTTATGAAGGAAAGGCAACTTTATTTTCGTATAACTCAAAAAGTCTTCTTCTTGATCATTTCCTCTTCTACCGCTGAGCGGTTTGAGGAACCTTCTTGCAGAGCCGAATCCAAAACTCTCGATCCTGAGCCAACTGCCGCCTCCTCCTCCAGTCAATATCCCTTTTGTCAAAGGCCTCCTTGACACTAGGCCTCCCAGGTCTTCCTGGGCCTTCCCTAAGGTCTTCTTCCCTCAACTTTGCTTTCCAACGCTATCCTGGCCATTCGATTCTCTGGCATTCGAGAGACATGACCAAACCATCTCAAACGATTTTCCTCCATCCCGGCTGATCTTACGTTTAAATTTTTCCGTATTATGGAGTTTCTTAGGCGATCTCTCTTTGTTTTTCCTTCGACGCTGCGCAGGAATCGCATTTCTATGGCCTGAATCAGGCTGATGTGCTTTGTGGTGAGGGTCCATGACTCGCTGGAGTAGATCATTATTGGGAGGAAAGTATTTTTTACACGGTCGTTTTGGTCTCTTTACTCACTTCTCTCTTGTTCAAGAATCCTTGCTTGATGGCGTTGAAGCACCTTCCTGCAGACTTCACTCTTTGCTTTATTTCTCCGTCGATCCATCCATGTCCATTGATGTGGGCACCGAGGTATTTAAACGTTTTCACATGTTCCAATGGAACTCCACTCAAGTGCACTATTCTGTCTCCTCTTCCTTGTTTTCTACCAATCCTCATTGTTTTGTTTTTTTAACTCAAAAAATATACAATTTATGGTTAGTTATATTATGATTTTAATGCTTTCTTAAATCCCAACTGAATGAAAGAAAAAATCGTCAAAATAATACCTGATTCAGTAAAGATACTGCTTAATTGCACAGGCGGATCTACGGAGGGAGGGAGGGGAGCTTTCGGACTGAAGCCCCTCCAAAATAGTAAAATATTATTTTGTCTTATGAAAAAAATATTTAAAAATTATCTCCATAAGTATTATTTTTCGTATAAATACATTTAATAGGAATTAAAAAATCACTTAAACATCATCTCGTATAGGTAATTAGCTTTTTTCTTTTTCTTCCAAAGTAATTATCGTTATAAATTAAAAAAAAAACTTTCGGGCTGAAGCTCCTCTCTCCTCAAAAATGAAATGCTGAGTCCGCTAGTGCTTAATTGTAATTTGAACTCATATTTTAGACAATTATTTTAAATTAAAACTAGTTCCTCCGTAAAATAATTTCGTTTTTATTCTGTACAAATATGGACATCGACTGATAGTGTTAATTATCTCCTGGAGATATCACGTCTTTGGACAGTTTTTATTTTACAATTTAAAAACAAAAGTTTGATAGCACTCAAGGACAGGTTGATTTTCAGATGATTTTAAATTATTGTATATAGATTATTTGTAAACTAAATAGTTAAAATTTATATTTACGCCGCTACGTCCGACAATGGGTTTTAACCACCGACAATGTCGTCAGACTCGAAGGGTTGGTAAAATATGGAACATGCTTAATGTGGCCCGAATCTTAGAGTTACCAGAAACAGCCGTACGAAGGGTAATCCACAAATACAGAAAGACTGGCAATTTAACGAGAATGCTATGTCCAAACCGACCTAGAGCGTCTGTTCCCGTTGACAATCAATTTATTGCACTAGCGGATCCAGGATTTAATTTTGGGGGGGGCTTCAGCCCGATAGGTTTATTTTTCACATATATAACGATAATTACTTTGGAAAAAAAGAAAAGAAACTAACTACCTGTATGAAATTGTGTTTAAGTCATACTTGAAGTCCTATTAAATATAATTACACGAACAATATTACTTTAAGAGATAATTTTTTAATATTTTTTCCATAAAACAGGGTAACATTGTACCATTTTGGAGGGACTTCAGGGACCCCAAAGCTTCCCCCTTCCCCCTCTCTCTCCCGTAGATCCGCCTGTGATTTATTGTGATAATCACAATCTATTTCACTTCGAAATAGTTTCACAACTGCGGAAACGGTGCATTTGCTTCTAGTAGTTAGACAGGTAAATACCAAAAGCGGATGTTCACAATCAAAAGTTCCACCTACCTGAGTTCAACTCACCCCAGCACATTGAGCAACTCGTCTTAGGTTTGCTCATGAACATATATTGTAGACCAACAATGACTGGGTTCGAGTAATGCTTTCAGAGGTGTTTAAATTTTCATTAATCAAGTCAGGCACCCGGGTTCGAGTGCGGAGAGGGCCAGGACAGAGGCTTCATTTCGTAGAGCAATATTTATTTCTTTGTTTTCGAGGAAAGTCCCCATATAAATAGAGTTGACCACATAAACATAATAAATTCAAAGAATAGTATCTCTGAAGGATAGCCTTATGGAAGTGAGACAGTAATGGTTTGGGATGGGATTACTTCAAGGGTTGTTGAGAGGGAGCCTTACTGCGCTAAGTTACCTGTGTGATATGCTAGAATATTGTATAGTGACATTTATGGACAATTTCATTTTTATGCACGACAATGCTCGAACAGGTGTTGCAAACGTCGTTAACGACTATCTTAACCATGTCCCTACACACTCAACAATCGGTCTGAGGCTCAGAACTTAATACCATTGAGCGGAAGGGGCTATCTAGAGAAGTGAATCCAAAGGACATCAAACCTTCCCGTAGACCTTCAATCTCTTAAATTTATTTGGAGCACTACCGGATCCAGGATTTAATTTTGGGGGGTTACAGCCCGAAAAATTTTTTTTCATACATACGATAATTAATTTGAAAAAGAAAAAGCAACAAGAAATGAATTACAGTACTTGTGAGTGATGTGGGCTCTATGGACTGCTATCTGCAGTTATCTTGTTATTTAAAGTGTTGTTGTTGTTGTTATTTAAATTTCTGATTAATATATATATATATATATATATATATATATATATGTATATGTATATTAATTAATATGTATATTAATCATATTAATATATGTTAATAATAATATTAATATTAATATATATACATATATTAATACGAAACAGACAAAAAAGAGGAAACACCAAATATATTTATATTTCTTATAATACGAGAGTCTAATTTCATATGGAGATAGGGATTATTTAATAATAAGTAATTTTTAATAATAATAATCAGTAATTTAATAATAAGAAATATAAATAACAAGACTTCAAATAACAAGATAACTGCAGATAGCAGTCCATAGAGCCCGCGTCACTCACAAGTATTACCTATATGAAATGGCGTTTAAGTGATTCTTGAAGTCCTATTAAATGTCATTACATGAACAATAATACTATAATAGATAGTTTTTAATATTTTTTTCTATAAAACATGGTTATATTTTACTATTTTTGGGGGGAAGACTTCAGCCTGAAATCCCTCCTCCCCCTCTCCCCCGTAGATCCGCCCGTGATTTGGAGGGTGCTGTATAGGAAATGAAAAAATAAAAAGCCTCTAAACATGACGACATTTTGAAGAAATCTTTTACCAACTTTTATGATATAGTTCTGCCATGTAAATAACCCTAAATATCGAATTTCAGTTAAACTCTATTGACTTCGGCAAACTGTAGCTGCTATTCAGAGCAGGGATATGGTAAAAATTGGTTATCTACACCAATAGACAAAACAAAAAAAAGCTGGTGCACGCATCACACAACTTCCACTTAACGCTCTACTTTGAATATATATTATTTTCTGGCAATATTGGGTTATTATAATATAGGATTCACTGAATGTCAATTGGTGTTAATAGTCAACAATAAGATAAGAAAAAGATGAAATCGATGTAGAATAAAAGAAAAAAAGTAATGTAACATAAAAAATATTATTTTATTTGATATAATATTTACATTGATTTCCTTTTAAAAATAGTGTAACATGCCCAGATTAATTGAAATGCTTTTTCATAAGCAAGACTGCATCATTTAAAAAGAATCTGTTCATATATATATATATATATACATAATACATTGCAAGTTAAAAAACAATTTTTTAAAAATATCTGGATATCAATAAAAATTATACTTTGACTGATATAGCCTACGTAAATTACATTTATGTATTGTCTTTTTCCTAAATTGAATTCTTTCTCTATTGTTTTCAGATGTAAGCGAAACGCCTCATAATATACACGTAATAATCATCACATAATAACTTAGATATTTTTAATTATGTACAATTTACATAATGCGATCAACTTGTAGTAAAAATATTACATATTTATACACAAATTTAATATTAATGCATTATTTACAACCTTAAAGCTTAAATAAACTTCAACAACTTTACAATCCACCTTTACAGTGATAATTCATTTTTAAGTGCATAATTTATATATATGACTATAATGAAAATAGTTTCTTTAAAAAAAAAATTTATTATATTAATACAGATAAAATAAATAAAAATATTAACCAAATCAGCAGTTAAAGAATTGTTACATAACCATATAAAAAAAAAAGTTTAGGAGTTCACACTGTGACTTTTAGTCAAATAACCAATTTTTACATCTATCAGTCTATCAAGTTTGATCCTACTGTTAAAAACTTATGGCCTTTAATAAAAACAAGAAGGGAGGATAAGCAGAGATTAAATTAATCCAAAATATAAGAATGGTATAAATATTGTTTGACTGTAAATTTTCAAAAACTATAATATTTTCAATATTTCTCTATAAATATTATATATGTATCTGTATATGTTTCAACAAATCGGATCTACTTGTAAAAACTTCAGAACACATATCACATGAAACATATTCCGTTCTCATGTCATGCGGTGGAATAAGGCATTCTTCTTGTTCAGATGTCTTCACTTCTAATTTAAGCTCAACATCAATATCGTCTACAATACATGTCTCTATTTGTTCACCGCCTGTTTCTTCAAAGAGGTCTATTCCATTTACATACTGATTCTCCACAGCTTCTGAAGGAAGGATATCCCTTCTTACTTGTGATCTCTTTTTTTGGTTCCCAGAACTCCTTTTATTGTCTACAGGAAATGTAGCAAGTTCATATCGAGGTTCAGCTTTCATATTATGGTAACTCACATTTTTCGTTCGAGGTCGACTCCTAGGAACTATACCATTTAAACTGCTTTCTTGGTTAGAACGCATATCCTCATTTTCAGGACAAGAAACTACATACTTCGAAGCATATGATGTATTATTCATCAAACGGGCAGCTTTTGTTTTACCCCTAGCATACCTGTAAAAATACAAATTAGATAAGCTGAGTTTAAAATTATTAGATTAACTATTATATTTATATATTCAAATACACGGACCCTTCTGGCAAACAATAAATATATAAGCACACAGATGTAAATCTAAATAGACATATCTTTAAAACTTTATTAGCATTGAATATAAAATGGTCAAATCATAGGAAATTTCAGCGTGGAAGAGAAACAACAAAGTTGGAAAAAGTCAAAGAAGCTTCGGAAGGCCATAAATTGAGCGAGAAATCATTTTAAAAGATTTTTAAAAACGGGACGTAAAATAGAGAGAATTGAATACCCATATTGTTCCACATAAATTGCGCTAAATTTTGAAATTCCCACAAGATAAAACTCTAGGAAACTTCAGATAACTTATCTAATGTAGGATACATAAGATATAAGCACAAAACAACCTAATATACCGTATGGAGTACCAGACGCAGGTTATTTTATAGCAAACTATTGAAATTTTGCAACTTGTAAACTTCTGTAAGAACACTATCACTGAGACAAGAGAAAGTAAAATAATACCAGAAACCAAATACTAATACCAGAACATATACGAGAATCCATTATATATCTGATAGATAAGAAAGCCAATAAGGTCTTACACAATTATAGAGATATATCTTTACTCTTTTGTGCTTATAATAATAATATCCTTCTTCAACATACATTTTTCTATGACCAACTCTTATTCAGAAAATCTACTTAGCTCTTTCCAGTGTGAATTTTGGAAATGACCATTCATTGAATACTCACCTAGCAATAGCAAACAATAACAGAGCACCCTTTCTCAGATAAGTAAGACCCATCAGCCTACATGAGGCAACTTAATTCATCCATAGGACAGGTGATCCTACAACGTAAGATACCAACCTGAACTTCAAGTTGCCATTTAAAAACTTGAGGCGGCTTTGGATTAAAAGCCATTCCAAGCAAGTTAATATGAATGGTGGGTGAAACAAGTTATAAAATAGTTTGTATACATGATATTACCAAGCTACACATGAAGAATTGGTCTCTAGAAGAAAAGTTCAGGACAAGATAATATATCAAAACATATGAAGATGCTGACACGTTTCTATGATGCATTTAAATATTCCTAAAATATGAAAGGGAGAGATAAAAGAAAATAGTACTTTTTTTTATTAATCCCTCCCTTTCTTTGGCATAAAAAGATACTTAGATCATTAGAAGGAATAATTAACTCTCCAGTTCCTAACGTGTACTACAGAGTCTGATACACCACTTTTTCTCTTGCATTTATTATTTATCCATGGCCTTTATAGCTTCTTATGGAATTTCCAATAGCTACAGACTTGTAATAGCAAGTCCAATGCATTAGCCTGATATCATGATTAACTCTGTACCTCGGAGGTAACATTTTATGGTACATATTTTTTTTATTTTAGTTCACTTAGGGGGATATGGTTATAGACTTGAGCCTTCAGTTCGTGTCGTCCCTCATTGACTACTGATGAGCAGGCATCCTCCTGTTTCATTGTCAGTTGATATTAAGCCGTAGCGATTGTAATGATCGCGAAGTCTGTGACCAATCATGATGTGAGGTCAGATAGAAATTTCAATTTTTAATCTGATCACATTGGTACTATGGAGCGTCGCCAGAGCCCTAGCGGCCCTTTGGGTTGACGGCAAGAGCGCTTGCACTGCTTGGCCGTGGCGGGCGTGTGTTTGCTACTGCTAGCTGTACGACACCAGTGTTTAGCTGGTCGTGACAAAGATCCAGTCAGCCATCTGGTTTCAGTGGTGGAAAGCACTCTGTATAGCAGGATTTGTCCATGAGTGCCAGTTGTACGCTTACATCTACTTTGTCTTGTCCGGAGGGCGAGGCTAGATTGGGGATCGGTTGACGCCATCTTCTGGGTACAATCTCCTTCCGGTGCCAGTACTCCATAGAATGGGCATATGCACTGCTGCACCTCAGAGGTAAATAACAATATGTCATTTTTATATTTGTTCAGGGGAGATAATGTTCCATAACTTTGAGCTATTATAATTTGTCTCTTAGTTAATAAATCTATACTCTGAAGGTAAAGTACACCCTGTCACATTTTTGTGTTCGTTCAGGTAATCAATTATCCATAACTTTGAGCTATTAAAATTTATTTCTTAGCTATTAAATTATTTAATAAATAAAATGGATATGGTGTCCTTTACCTCCAGGGTACGGAACTATAACCTTTCAAATTTAGTTAATTCCATGTTTTTGACTGTTACCAGAGCGTTTCCTTGTTTTTCGGTCATAATCTCGAAACAAAAGTTGGTACTTTAAAGAAAAAAAATGTCTTTGTGTTCTCTTATATGTGGAATGGTTACAAAGCATAATTTTGTTTAAAAATTAGATAAAACCATAAAATATTTGTCTCAAACATGAATATAACCAATGTTCACCCTGTATGTAGAGTCCACTAGGTTCTGTCTCAACCATAAATGAATATTAATTATAAATAATTATTTTTCTGTCACTAACCTTAGTATAATATTTCATTATAATCATTATAACTAATTTCTTATATTTTAGGCTTTATCTGTCAGAATGTGAACAGCTGGTTTATGACTTTATTATTTATATTGTTGCGACTAACAATATAAATAATGTTACAGGGTGGCTACCAAACAGTCGGAATAAAATTCCCTGACTTTTCTCTGTTTAATGATAGTTTCCCTGGACGGTATGTCAGGGAACACAGATGTTAAAAATGTATAGTTCATAACTATACATATACAGCTTATTACTATAAACTATATATATATAGCTTATAACTAATACGTTTATTATACATTAATGAAAAAGGAAAGATTAAAGTAAAAAAAATTCTGTTCAGTCTTTTAAATAACAAATATAATGTTCTACAGGAAGAATTTTTTTAACTTGATTATGAGTTTTTATTTTAGAAAACTAATTTTTTCTAATCTCCAAAAATGTTCATTTGATAAATTACATATATAAGTACAACAATACTAATATATACAAATAACAAAGTCCCTCCACTGTCCTTAAGTAATTTATTTTTATAGCATTTATTTCATTTTCATATAGTGAAAGGATATACAAGTTGATACTTGATGCTTTTCTCTATAATAATAATATTAGTGGGCTTTTGAGTTTTAAGAGTGTTATTACATTTTAAAAAACCTGTACCACTGACAACCCATGAAGGTTCTTGGGTTCAGTACAATGTGAGGAAGTACTGTTACAAGGCCAACAGTTGTGCAGGGAGGTGACGGGCCAGGTTTTTCCCCTTAATCAATTATTTAATTAAGGGTATCCACTTTATAGAGGCTGGGTTTGCCCCAGGAGGGTCTCCCTGTCCCAGGGTCGACCCCCAACTGATGAAAAATTACTAGTCATTAGTCGGGATTCGAACCTGGGACCTTGAGCTCTGGAAGTCGGTGCTCACCCACTGAGCTACCCCGCTCCCTTATTACATTTTAAACCCAACTGTAAATTTTAATTTACTAGTTACAAATACAAGTGAAAATTGCTTAAATCTCTCTCCAAATATTCTGGTATAACCACATATTACTGAAAATAGCATTAAATTTTCTATCAGATTATGAAATAATATTTGTGGAATTATGAGTTATAAGAAATTTTTTATAGTGTTAATCACCTCCCATCCTCCCAAGATATTTTATTGCTCATCTTTTCTTAAAAACAGAGCAAGCTAAGATAGAATTGGAAAAATCGTAGATTATATACAATTACACTTGCTGTATATTTCATGTTTTTCCCATCGTCCTTTAGTCCGAAAATTCATAATCCCGTCGAAATTAGCCTCCCTCAAAAATTCAAATACCTGTCAAAATATGGCCCCCACAAAAATTCAAAAACCCATCAAAAAATGCTCCCCTCAAAAATTTTGATGGAGCAGCTTGCACCATGAAACCCCCTTCTGGGCACCCCTGGTTTAGAGGTAGAAGTCAAAACTATTGAAGTCAAAATATATTAAAATTAGATACTGGAGTTATTTTCACCAATAATCGCATAAAGTGACGAGTATCAATAACAACCCTAATTTATTTCTATAATTCATTTAGTCTTATGATAGTTTTAGCAAAGTTGGCCCAGGTCAAGTTAAATCATTAGTTTTATTCCAGGAATATAATGTCTAATAGATTGTATTATTCTCACTTATAAACGCCATTCCTTCTACGGTTATGATAAAACAATAAACTGTTCGGATACACACTAAAAGTACTCTATAAGAAATTAGACAATGAAGAAAATAAGCAACCTATAAGATTAGTAAACCTATAGAATAAAAAAAAAAAATGATGTTATAGTGCATGGTAGAGACCTCTTTTTTCAAATTATTAACATCCGCCTAAAACTTCATAAATAGCTTCATCTCATCTTAACCTACAAATATTTTATATACGAAAATTCTCGGAATTGGGGTGTTTTCAATCTGGAGATCAGCAAACTTTGTCTATTTGATTAGATACTAAAACCTCGTAAATAGGCATTTGCTTTCCACTTGAATTGTGAAAAAATTTGAGCACAAAGTCGAGAAAAAACGTGACCTTCAAAAATATTGATCCATTTGGCGAGACCTACATTCCCAAATTGTCAAAAAAAAGTTGTTATATCGGCCAAATGGGCCAATATTTATGTACGCCACCTTTTTTATTGATTTTATGATCAAATTATGTCATGATCCAAGTGGAACACTAATGGGTATTTGCGAGTTTTTAGTACCTAATTAAATATACAAAGTTTGAAAACGCCCCAATTCTGAGACTTTTCATAAATAAAATATTTGTAGGTTATGATGAAATGAAGCTACTTACGAAGTTTCAGGCGGATGCTAATAATTTGATAAAAAAGGAGTCTGTACCACGGACTATTATTCATTCGTTTAGCTTATTTATTATTGATTATAATTTTTTTCCTCAAACTATTGGGGGGAAATGATGATTCTCGCCCCTTAAACATATTTTATAGGGAGGGGAGGATGATTTAAATTAAAGAGGCAAAATTTTTTTTTACATTTAACGGAAGATATGATGGCTGAAATTTTTATATGATTTCAAGAATACGTCCTTAAAAGAGAATTCACCATGACCGACAATTTAATCGGTTGCATTTTGAAAATTGACGTCAAAGTCATCAAATTAGGCCAATCGGACGGTAGTTGGACAAAGAAAAAATCCAAAAAGTCGGTTTCTCTTTGGTTTTTTGAGATGATGAATCAGAATTTGATGTTCCAGTAAGAAATTTTCCATTGGGTATTGAGATATGTGCTTAAGTCCCAAAATAATAAAATTATTTTCCTTCATTTTTATTCATTCACTGGATTTTTTTGTTTGGGGTAACATTAAACAAAAAGTCTATGAAAGTCCAGCACATACAGACCATTTAGTGTGACTTAGTTGTTTAGACTCAAAACATGTTTCCATTGAGAACTGAGATTTGAAAATTTTTACGACTGCAATACGTTCCCTTAACTATATATTACGTAACTAGGTATGTAAAGTAAAAGAAAAAACATTCATTAAAAGTGTTCTGTGTTATTATTCTCATGCATAATGCACCCAAAAGGATGTAGAGCTATAATCTTTGTAAAATTAGCCATAATTTAGAACTTGCTTAATTTGGATGACTAACCTATAGAAACAAAGTTTCAACCATGAATGAGAGATAGGAACTGGAGAGTTAAATCCTAACATTAATCTAGACTACTTTGTCTAACTACAAATGGAATAAACGAGGTACATTATGTTATAAATTTAGCTACATTTTAACCATCCAAGTCTGATATCAAGGAAAAGAGGTCACGCATTTCTGATAAAATTGGTCAAAAAGAAGCCAATGAGAGCAATCTGTCAAAATCTGTCAATGGATTAGCTACATTTTTCTTTATTAATTTAATTGTCCTCTAAATCTTTCCAGCCTATCAATACAAATATATTACAATGAGAATGAGTTGTAAACATATCATCAATTTAAATAATCAATTAGAATTATTTTGGACTGCATATTTCAAATTATTTATATTATTTTTACTAAAAATAATTTTAAGCACCTCTGGTTAGAACATTTTGACGTCTAATTAATGAATTTTAACAGCAATGAGTTTCTAAACAACTTATTCCCTATGGTTAATTGTATAATAACTTTGCTAAGTATGAAATAATATAATTAGATACTTAAATAACATAATAAGTTTAGAGTGTTTTGGCACTCAAGTTATCTTATAAAAGCTATCCTAATATTAGAAATAATAAGAAAACCTTACCTTTTGTTTTGACCTTTTGGAACACCTTTTCTTCCAGACCGTACAATACGAGCCCTGCCTTTATTAAAATCAGTACTTGTTGGTGTTAATCCAGGCTCAATCTTAATTACAGTGTCTAATTCTTCAGAATATTTAACTATCTGCGTAGGAGGTGGTGGAGGTGATACCAACTGAGTCTTTCTCCTATCTTCTTCCACAGGAGAACCACTATCTTCTTCAAATCCTGTGTATTTCTTTTTACGTACATACTTTCTGTTGCCCTTTGGCATACGGTGTTTAGCAGTATTCTCATCAGAATGGAGAACCAGGTGAGCACATAGTTCACTTGACGCTGCTAGCACTGAACCACATACCATGCACTCATAGCAGTTGTTACTAAGGCGGCTCTCTGAGCCAGAATGGTGTGCTCTTATATGTTCACGAAGAACGACCTGACAAAATAATTTTCAGAAGTTCATACATAATAAAGAAAATTAATTTAAATTTCATTAAATTTAATTTATCGCTCATAAAACTCACCCTTTGATTAAAAGCTTTTGTACAGACAGGGCACACATAAGGTTTTTCTCCCGTATGTATTCGTTCATGCTTTCGTAGTGTCCCACCATCTCCAAATGCTTTCCAACAATATTTACAAGCATAAGGTCTCTCTCCAGTATGAATGCGTAAATGTATCTAGAATAGTAAAAAAAATTATTCAATTAAACATAAATTCGAAACTAATGTCTTACATAATGAATCATCAACTAAATAACCAAGTTACTTCAATATGGTGTCTACCAATTTTAGTAATTGAAATTCCCAACTAATCCTCAAATTTTTTCAAGATTGCACACTAGATCCCAACTTTTTCCATAAATTTTAGGCCAACTAGCAAAATTTTAACAAACATGCAATAATCAACTAGAGCAAGAGTTCCCAACCTAGAGCTTGCGAGCACAGGAATGCCCACGTGACGTCGCTTGTGCCTGTGAGTATTCCCGCTTATCTCTAACATAACCTTTATCGGCCATCAGTTAGGCTACAGTTTTACTGTTGCCTGCTCTATATCGAAAAGTTTTCTATTAAATGTTAAATATTTATTTTAATAGTTAATTGTAAGTATGAATGATCACTTTGAAAGTAGTAATTTATATTGTATTTTTTTAAATAAACATAATCGTATTACTGCAGACGAGTTATCAATTCAATATTTTTACAATTCCTTACTTAAATATATGAATACTTAAAAATATAACAAGAGATTATGGATATAAAATTAAAAAATAATAATTATTTTATATATAATAATAATTTTTATATAATAATTATTATTTAAAAATAATTTCTTTATGGATATAAGATCATTGCTATTGTTTTGATTAATCTCTTTCTTTGATAGTAAAAAAAAAATTAATGAAACTATTAGTAACACTCCATTTAACTTATTTTATAACTAGATGTAATCCATATCACTTCTAATTAATTTCAAATTGTGTTAATTTGATACAATAAACTATATAAAATTAATTACATTTCATTAGTTTTAAAAATAATAAAGATGTTTATTACTAAACATCAAATTTCAAATCAAATATTCTGTGTAAATGTAATGGCGAAAATTTTTAAACACATTAAAAACAATTATAACTATTAGATTAAAAATAATTTATATATATGAAATGAAATGAAAAATGAAACAGTTACAAATTTATGGGTCTTAGTCTGAGATAATAATAAAAATACAAACTAATTTACTGTTAATTGTTATTTCAATTGTGCAATAGATTAAAATTAAACAGTGTACAGATACAAGTAATTTTACATGTTAGGGAAAGTTTGAATGTGGAGTAGATGTTAGAACAGGAGTTGTTTGAAGGAATTTGTGGATGAGGATTGACGCATGGAGGTAGGAGTTCCATAAGGAAGCAGCACGAATGACGAAGGATTTGCTGAAAGAGGAAGTTTTATCGGAGGGGATATATAAATCTATAAGTCTATAAGTCTATATGTTGAGACCTAGTATTGAGAGAGTGAATAGAGGAGCGTAGAGTAAGGAGTTCCAGGATGTAGGGAGGGTTTTTTGTTTTGAGAACTTGGAAAAGCAAAGCACAAAGGAGGAATTGTCGTCGGAAAGAAGGATAAAGGCACTTCAACTTGGTGTACCAGAATGAAACATGCGAACGCCTGGGGATCCCGATAAATATATATATATTTTGTCTATTTGACTACATCAAAAACAAAATTGATTTAGTCAACTGTGTTAATCAAATTTAATAAAATAGATGTGAGATAATAAAGCAATTTCGATCCAAACACAATTGCAATAAATTATAACTTTGAATCCCAATAATAAATAATCTATATTCTTTTGTTGAGCTAATGACAAAATTTATTATCAAGTTAATTATCACATACCTGATGAGAAGAGCGTGAATTGAATGCCTTCCCACACTGTAAGCAGGGAAACATACGGGAAATATTTACACCATGTACAGATTGTCTGTGATTCAAAAGACTTTGACCTTCAGTAAACATTTCTCCACATTCACGACAAACCATTCCTCCATTGGGTTTCATGTCGTCATGGCTTATCATATGTCTGCAACAAACTATATAATCTAAAACTTGAAGAAATTGAGTCTTCAATATTAAAAAATATTGAATAGAAGTTAAAATCACAAGAAAAAAAATCATGGATATGGCCTATAAAACAATGAACAAGAATAAAATTATCTGATATATAATTAAATGAATTAAATATAAAATATAATTCCTAAGAACATTTTTTATGAATTTTAAGATAAACTAATAATAAATGAAATTCTTTATTGTTCTATGAAGGGTCTAGACAGCAGACATTGGTGGAGGTGTTTAACTCTCCAACTTCCAGATTTTCAGCACTGGTCCAACAGTCTAATTTAACCAATTTGACTGAATTAACTAACACCAAGTTAATTTAAAATTATTCATGTTGGTTGGTAGTTTTTAGGATGTTAGTGGACAAGGAAAACTTCTAGTATCAAACAACACTTTATTTTTGTCAATAGAAAATTTAATATCTTTCAGTAAGTTGAGTCACTGATTTGATCAGGTACATTCATTCTTGCATGATCCCCTGATAGATAAACACATATTTACACCATTAATAATAAAACAAAAGCAGTGCATTACATTTGACTAAAATCATAAGTTTACATATCATAAAGAAGCAAACTTTCCGAGGAACAGAAACATTTATCAGTTGTGTGTCATGACTCTTGATGTATTTGGTACAAACCAAATTATAATAAAAAATTCAAAATCAAAAGTTGTAAACATTCTAATCCATTAGGTCAACTATTTAGAATTTTTACTTACAGTATAGCTAGCTCAAAAAAAAATTAAGCCACTTTTTTTTTAATGAATGTAAATAATTTTATTATTCTGGGACTAGTGTCTCTTTAGAACAAGTTACAAATACAGAATATATATTAATATTTTTTTGAGAGACTTTTCATGTCTTTCAAACAAAAATAAGGGGAAAATACAATTTCATTCTGTTTTAAGTTCTTTTTTCCGTCATCCATTTTTGAAAAGTTTATTGTATGGCTAAAATAAATATTTTGTAAGGGTTTATTTAAACACTGCAAAACACAAAACTATAAAAAAAGCAGACCAATTTGTCATTAGTTTAATCAATCAGTGGAAACTTTTGTATTTTGCAAAATTAGAAATTTTTCATTAGAATATGTCTTATACATTTTATTTATGTCTTATACATTTCATATTATTAAAATTATTTGAAAAATTAATACACTGTGAATAGTGTTCAGTGGAAAACCGCTCAAAATACTTTGAAACTACTTTTAAAAACATCGCCACAAAGTTGAATATATCTCTTTGCTAAATACTTTCTACTGATCCAACATATAATATACTGTAACATGTATAATTTTGAGTTATACACAAATAAAATTATTTTTTTTGTCATAACTTGTTCCTTTCTTTTATTGATGAAGGGGGGAAGTGTACTACATACAAGATTTTTAGACTCAAGGGACTCGGAAACGCATATATTCGCTAAAACTGCATATCCAAAATACAATCCAATTACCATACTTTCCTTACCCAGTATTGTTAAAAAGTAAAAGATAAAATTAGCTTAATAGATACATAATTTACCATGTGTGGCAATTAATAATTCTTAATTTTTTCATTAAAACAAAAAAGTTTTATTGGGAAAAAGATAAATTGGTTAATTCAAATTATGCACCATCGCTAGTTACACATTTTACCCACCTCTTAGGTAATTTGTGGATGCCCTTCCAGAAAAACCATATTTTTGAGGTGGTCCATTCACCAAGCCTTTTTCTAACATCTTCATAGTCATTGAAATGTTTCGTGGAGAGAGCAAGATAAAACAAGTGGAAGTCGGAAGGGGCCTAGTCTGGTGAATACGGTGGATGGTGCACGTGTTTCCAGCCAAGTGCAGAAATGGTGTCTTTCACCACTTTTGCTGTATGTGATGGGGCATTGTTGTACTGCAAAATTACTTTTCATTGTCTTGTAGCCAATTTTGGTCAATTTTCAATCAATATATAATTCATATTGATCATTTATTAACAGTACCAAAATGTATCAACTGTTTTACATGATTAAAGAAGCTCATAACACAGACACCACCCTTCTGATTTCACAAAATGCAAAACGCTGTCTTTTTTCCAAAGCAATTTGGTCTTGCGGTTGATGTTGAAGATTGTCCTGGATTAGCCCATTACTTTCTGAGTTTTTGGTTCTCAAAATACAGCAATGTTTTGGCTTCAGTCACGATCCGATGCGAAAAATTCTTTTGTATCGAACAAAACTTGGTACACCATTTTTTGCTTTTCCATCTGTCTGTCGTTCAATTGATGTGGTACCATGTGGTAGAAGTTAAGTATGAATTACCTTAAAAATGCCTATTACTTAAGTCATATCCTCTACAATTGCTACCTTAACAGTAATCTTTTAAATATATATTTAAACTTACTTTTTTAATTTTGCTTTATTATGGAACCTTCTTGAGCATATAGAGCAAGGAAATGTTCTGGTTTCAATATGTGAGGCAAGATGTTTATTCAGAGCTCTACTATCTTTAAACATCTTTTCACAGAGGTGGCACATATGATTTGCTTTATGTCTTGTTTTCATATGGTCCTTGAGATCCGTCATATTTTCATAAACCTAAAAACAGTACCAAATACAATACAATGAAATCTACCACTACATACCTACACTACCTAAATTAAAAGAGGAAATGGCAATAGGACTAATAAAAAATATATCCTCAGTTCATATGAAACTACTTGGGTATATAACATTTTGATTAGGTTTTATTTTTTCCTTATGCTTAAATTTTAGAAACAAAAATTATTTATTTTATTTTTCAACTCGACTCTTCATTACTTAATGTTAAAAAAAAAACCTAACTTGATTTTTTTTTAAATTGTTTTTCTCTCTAAAAATTCTGCTGGTACTACTCACTATAACGGCTATTAGTAATTGAATAATACTTGGATGGAATGAAAAAGAGCATTTTTTTTTTTTATACTGCTCAGCAGTTTAGGTATTACAACATCTTTGTACTGTTTTGTTTCGGAAACTATTTTAATGATAAAGATCATATCGAAATATATCATTTCCTCTTTTTATAATTTTCTTTTATAATCTTTTTTATATTTTAGAATTGCAAATTACTGACCTGGCAATACAAATGAAAACCATTAAATTTAAGCATTACATTTTCATTTCAAAATATTTTTGTTTAATGCAAAAGCAGTAATAGTTGGTAATATCAGATGGCAATCGCTGCCATCCACTGCGGTGGCCAGTACCAGCAAAATTATATTTTAAAAATTTAGGATTTAACAGTAATGCAGTTTAAAATAGAGAACGCCAAGTTAATTGTCAAATAAGGTAAAATTAAGTTTCTCCATAACAGATACTGAGGTTATTGTTGCCTTAATCAGCTGGTAGTTTGTTAAGATGCCCGAATGTTCTCATATTAAGGAAATTTATTGAGAAATTTATAATTTTTTATAAGATTATTTGTTTAATATAAATTTAAAATTATTTTAATATAAATATTTTTTATACTCAGCAATTGCTTAGCTTAAATATTGAAACTACAAAATAATTATTTGGTGTTGGTGTTTCTAGGCGCAACCATTTTAATCAATTACGAGCAAGGCCCTTAACAATCTAGTATGTAAAGCAATAAAATTATAGGCACACACTTATACACTTATAATTGGACACAATATAATTTCATATTGAATGTGAAATGGAACTGCTAATAAGATTTAAAAACATCAGGAGCTGTCAAAAAATGACATACTTCTCCACAGAGATAACATGAATGAACACCAATTTCAGGATCATGGTCTTCTTTATGACATAGAAGTTCATCCAGCGTATTAAAAACAACATTACACAAGGTACATAAATGATTTTCCTCTTCTTCTTGTTCTTCTTGTTTTATATGAGATCTGAAAGCCATATAAAAATATTTTTTAATAAAAATGGATAATGTTATGATAATAAGTATAATAACAACAATAATAATTAACAACTAATTAGAGATTTAAAATGAAGACAATATTAAAAGATTCGTTCCATGAAACAGATCCATTACAAATCAGAAATTTATTCATGCCGTGGTGGATATTAATTTCAGCTTCAAATAACCAGCTAATTGATTCAAATAACCAGCTAATTCCCAATTTTTTCAAGACTTTTTCACAAAATTCACAACTAGTAACAATGCTATAAACACGTTATAATAAATTAAAATAAAAAATATAACTTTAATTACAGAAAGTTCAAATTATTAGATTGAGCACTGTAAATTATTGCTGCTGAAACTTAGTATAATGATTTTAATAGACAATTTGTATTTTTCCTCTATCGGCACAAATAGTGCACCTTCTCTACCACTGCCTACTAGTGTTATTGCTCTGCAGCATCTTAGTTGATTCGAACAATCCATCTGGTTTTTGGTCTTCCACGTAGCCTCTCGTCTACTGAGGCATTCTTTGATGTGTAGAGCAGGAGTCTCCAAACTACGGCCTGCGGGCTATTTCCGGCCCACAAAAGCTCCTCCCGTCAAGCCCACAAAAGTTTTTGTGATCGAGATTTACAAGGTTTCAATACAGCTCGCAGGCTAAAAAGTTTGGAGACCTTTGGCGAAGACGCTTCCTGATAGATCATTCCAAGCTACATACATGTTTCATCAATTTTAAACTCCTTGCCTTCTCATCATGAGATATTGAAAGGCCTGTTTCTGTAAGGTCCTTCTTTTCAGTGCATTAGCAATCTGGATCGCTCCAGTTATAGTGCAGAATATCTTATAGTTATAGCTAGAGAATAGAATATCTCTTAAATCTTTCAATATTTCTTTCTCAAAGAATGTTGGTTAGTATCCTAGTATCCTATATCTTAGTAGTAGGTCTCATAGCCATATATGAGCATTGGCTTTACCAATACATCCTTCATATAATATTTCTAGAGATTTTTGAGGATTTTGATACCTTTAAAAATGAGAAAAAATCTCTGTTTGCAGTTGTCAATACACATTGGCCTGGTATAAGATCATTGCCCATTTATTAATGTTATTATAATCCTGGGCATTTGGACACAGTTTGAACATACATGTTGAAAACTGAGCACATTTTAATCTATTATTTTATAAGTTACGCATAATATTTTGTATATATTTGGGCGTAAAGGATTTTTAAGTTCATTCTGAAGGGGAAAAAAAGAAATCTGACTTAACAAAAGGCAAACTTAAAAAATATGGTGGATAAAAAATATTGTGAAACGCTGCACAGTTTACAACCTATAATTGTTCTGTCTTACAGCAGGACCTAAATAATGTAGAAAATAAGTAAAATTACAGTGTTCTGACAGGGCTCAAACTACTTCTTCCATTCTTTCTCCTGGGACTGGTTAAAGTTTATAGATAAGAAAGAAATTATACTAAAAATTAAGGAGTTAAAAACTTGGCATAATTAGACTAATGAAGTGCATATAACTCTTAGCAATAAAGAACTTAACGATACTTATTATGTTACCAAATTATACTTGTCCAGATCAAGTAATAAAGAAAATTATCAAAACTAAATAAATCTTGATTTTTTAATTACAAGATTTAATGTCCAAAAGAATAAATAATTGTTAAGATTTTGAAAATTCAAAACTTACTTTCGATGTTTTTTCAGTTGATTGTACCACTGGAAAGAAGCACCACATTCATTACAAAGAAAAGTACCATAGTTATCATCTCTTTTCCGTGAAACTTGTCCATGCCTGATTGAATTATGTTGCTCTAGTTGACTTTCGGATTGAAACATTTCACCACATGATTCACATTCATATGCTGAATCTCCTACATGTATCATAGTATGTGAGGTTAAGGCTTTTTCTCGGGCAAATCCGATCCCACAGTGTTGACAGACATACGGCCTTGAGGGGTCTATAATTGGAAATTTAGGTTCTTCTACTTGAGGTATATCTATTTCAAACTTGAAGTCATCAAAAGGAATCTGTGGAGGCCTAGTTTTCTTTTCTCTAGCTATAGTGTCATCGAATTCAAATTTTTTAATATTTCTCTTTTTTCGACGAGCTCTTTGTTTTGCTTTGGCTTGGGGTAATGTTGGTAATTCTTCGTAATCATCTTCAGGTTCAATTTTAATAGGAGCATATGCATGAATTTTCATATGCTCTACCAGATCATGTTTACGCCTATATTGAGCACCACACATATTGCAACCATGAGGTCGCTCAACTTGATGAGACACCATATGCACAGTTAAAGCTGATTTTTTGCTGAATCTAAAAAAAGAAAAAGAAATATACATAACTAAAAAATCAAAGAAATAATAAATGAATTTAAAATAAGCAATAAATATTTCATTGAATGATACTAACTCATATTAGACTTAAACTTAAATATTAGAAAGATATTCAATTAACAACTATCAATGAACTAATTACACTCATAAAATATGTTTAATATATGTATAAAACTTCTATTAAATGGAAGTTTCATTCGTGCTGGGTTTTTTCTCATTAGTTATGTCCATAGTCAACTATATCTACACCATTTTCAATAATATATATTATATATATAATAAATATATATAAAGGTACTAGTTCTAAACCACTACTCTAAGATCACATCACATTATAAGATCCCATTATATTGCCAATTTAGTGCTAGTTCAGGAAGTGCTCCTGAGTCATAAATTCATGTCAAAACAGTCTGAACGACTAGTCTCAGAACATCTATTACTAGGAATAAAATTAAAATAATAATGTTAAAATTGAGGAACTGATACAGCCGAAATTAAATTTATACTTAACATCAATTTCTCCATATTCTATGTTATAAATATATTTAACATAAGTACAGACATGAGTATTATTGTATGTGAACAGATAGTCAATACTCTGCTATTTCAGCATTCCTCAGAATCTCATGTACAACAGAACTGATGTGATGTTGAACCAAATTCCATTTCAAAGTAGCGCTTTTAAAACTAGTCCCTATATAAATATAAACAAGTACATTCTTATAGTCATAACTAAATCTATCATAAATTAAAATTAACAGGAAAAGTCAAATAAACCTTCTGCTACAGAAATCACAGGGATAAGGATGAAGCCTTGAATATTCATCTTGGTCTTCAGGCAATGGTACCATAACATCATCATCATGGTTAGTATCAACATTCAAGTTTAAGCCATCTTCTTCAGATCTAAAACAAAAGGAAAACTCATGATTTCATAAGCCCACAATGACCAATAATCACACAAAAAATTTAAGTTATTATTTGAAAAAATGAAAGTAAATACTTAACAATAAATATTTTTCATTGAGTAATTTTTACAAATTCAATTGTGTGATTAAAATAAAATAAGTAACAATTAAAATTAAATATTCAGTAAGAATTTTATAATAAAACAGTAAGTATATCTCAATTCTGTAAAAAATGGAAATACATAATGTTTATTTAGAAGTCAACAAAAAACAGTTAAAACTAAAATTAGACAAAAGACGAAATTTCGTAGCAATGAAACTATGAAGTTTTAATGCAATTCTTATAATACCCTTTAACATAGAGAATAACTGTTATAAACATAACAATAAACAAATATAGTGATGTCATTTAATAAGGACATATTTGAGAACTTTGTTAATATCTGATAACACACTAAATGTTTTCAAAAACTTTATATTTTAACGATCAAATTGACAAACATATTGCATGTTTCAGATGAAATGTCTACAAATCATAGTTAAAGTCACTTGGAATATGCATCATGAATTTATCAATTTTTAGACAATAATAATGCAACGTAATTTATCATAATAAGAACAAAATTATTAATAAGTTGTAAAAACAAGATAAGCAAATTACAATGTTGAATTTTATTTTATTTAGGTAATTAATAATTTTATAAATAAAACTTTGTTTGCAAGAACATTTTAACTGCACAAATATTTTACAACATATTGACTAAATAACTTTACAGCATAATAAACAGCTGATATGATACATAAAACAAGAATCTTGGTGAATATAAATATGGAAATCAACAAATATAGCATGCCATACTATCAAACTTTATTTTCAATTATATAAAATATACTGATGAAACAATTGAATCCCCAAAAAAATGAAGTATTAAGATAATATCAATACACATAATAATTATCAAGTTCTTCTCAAGGTACAACTCACATCAATCCATCTTTCAACTTTATTTATGTCTAAAAATCAACTATGGATTAAAAAAAATTGGCAGGCCCAAATGAACTGCAAGACTAATTAGCAATAAAAAAATATGACAACTTCAGAACTAATGGTCCATTTTTATCATGTTTGAACTTATGGTACATTATCTCACTCTAAAGACACTTCAATAAGGAAATGGTTACCATCAAACTTAGAAAAGATATGTTAATAAATATGAAACCAGATACTGTAATATCAAAGAAACCTTACCCAGCGTGAGAATTCCATTGGTCTGCGACTACCTCCTCTTCAGTAACTTGAATTTCTACGTAATCATCCCCTAATTCTGGAGGTTCAATTTCAATTTTATGTAATTCTGGTGAGGAAGGGACAACAATACAATCTTTATCAACTCCACATATCTCTTCCCCTATGCCAGAACCAGCAGCAATCCATTCATAATTAAAGCCGTATCCTTCTTCAGTCATAACAATAGTGTTTGCCATCTCGAGTTCACTAAAATCATTTTCTAAATTATAGTTAACTATGTCACCCAAATCAAAAAAATGTCCTCAGATACATAACACCAATTTTAAATTAACAGCTAGTCATTCTGAATTCATAATAATGATAATTAACTTAATTCACTTGCATCATTGAAATAGGAAATATTAAAAATTCCTTAACACTTCATGAATGAGAGATTAACTTGAAAACCCATAAAAATTTTGTTACACAAAATCAACAGTTCTGCCCATCATAAGAGGCAGATGGCAATACAAATAATTCAATGGCGCAATCAACACTATTTTTCAAGAGAATCCTTCATCAATTAAAACTTACGTTTTCTTCTGTGCATTGACAAACAAACTGGGTAGGCTCTAACCTCAAACTACAAAGCAGTAATAGAAAGCAGATAATGCTTACAGAGAATCACTTTAACGCTAACTAGGTTTCGACTTAGGTGAAGTCATTATAGAATTGATAAAGATAAAGTGAAAAAATATTCTATAAATCGTCAATTCACTCATAGTAAAAAATTCAACAGCTAAATCAACTCACCAAGTAAGACATAATCTATAGAAAATATAATCATTAATTTGACGAATTCTGCCAAATGCAACTGCAGTAAAAATTGTACAAGTAAAATACAGAAAGTTAAATGTATTTATTATTTTTACGTCACAACTGCAAGTATACTTATATAGATATATATCATGAAACATTATCACTCCAACTATGTTATAATTAAAGGACCTTTAAAAAATTATTTTTTGATTTGAAAATAGTTTTTTAAAAATAATAAAAAAGCAAAGTAATATAAAAATTAAAGTTACAGTTTCGATTTACTCACTCTATACAATTGACCGTGGCTATCTTTCAAACGAGTGGCGCAATTTTCGAATATAAAAGTTATCTACAATTTATCACGAAATTGTCAATCTAAAGAAGTCTTTACTTATATTCCTTAAGAGAAACATGTAAGATAGGAATTAAACATCAGCTAAACCCGTTTCAGCTTCTGGAAGAATTAATGATAACAAAAGCGTTTAATCGCAAGTGAAGCATCTTCATTGAAATGTGTATTTAGAAACAAAAGTCAACATACATCTGAAAATAAACTGAATATGAAATAATGCAACATGAGGAAAACATAATTTTTTATCAAAAGCTAGCGCAAAAAAGTATTGTATGATACTAAAGAAAATCTAGATATTTTCGATTTTAAAAATAAATAAATAAAAAAATATTTTAAAAAAACTTTTATAATTTACTCTTAATAAATATTTGTGATTAAATTCAGAATAATTTTCCGCTTGAATGTCTTCTCAGTCTTTTGAATATACATTTATAAAATCATACATTTCTTCCAAATAATTTAGCAGTGTATACTTTCCACATTCATGTTGTGGTCATCCCTGAGTTGTCTGGTTGGCTTTTTTCTCTGGAGTTGGAGCTTTGGGAGAGAAAAAGTTGGATTTTTTATACTGACTAAAACCTATGAAAAGAATTTACATTTTCATTATAATGACTGAAACTTATAAAAGAAATATATATTTTCATCATAGATCAAAAAAAGAAAAAATTATTACTAAGATATAAAAAAATATGTAATAAGTAATTAAACTAATATTTAGGTGTTTTGTTTAAATTTATTTCATGTTTACGTAACAACTTTAAGAGAAGGCTTTTCGTATAGATACTTTAATTTTTGTTTTTTATTTATTTATTTTTTTAAATATCCGTTTTCGATAATCAAATATGTTAATATTGATACATCAAAATAAAAATGTATGGCAAAATATGGATTGATCTATGGATAAAATATCATTATTTTAATATGTCAGTTGTACCCAGTTAAAATGCGTTATCTGAACTCCAAAGGAGGAGAGAAACGTCCGTTTTTTTGTTGTAGCGCCGCACACAGGTAAAACAGAAAATTCTGCTCTCTCTAATTGTTTCTAGACTTTATTTACTTACAGTTCAACCTTGCCTTTTGGCAATACAAGATTCGGTTGCTGATAAAATGCCTAGTTCTACTTCTGACAATATTCTCAACTCCGCCCCCAGACTAAGATTGCTTGTTCTATTGCTCCTCTCAAGGGCGAACTTCAACATCTTGAGATATTCTTTCCAAATATAATAAATTTTCCTCACTTTTTCATTGAGTTACGGTATGAATGGTTGCATATAGTATATTATTTTCCTTAAGTAAGGCAGATTGTATCATTTTTCAATAAAAACTAATCACTAGCGGATCCAGGATTTAATTTTGGAGGGGGCTTCAGCCCGAAACCTTTTTTTTTCATAAAAATAACGATAATTCCTTTGGAAAAACAGAAAGAAACTACCTATATGAGATGGTGTTTAAGTTATTCCTTAAGTACTTTTAAATGTAATTACACGAACAATAATACTTTAAGAGGTATTTTTAAAATTTTTTTCTCCATAAAACATGGTTATATTTTTCCATTTTGGGGGGAGGGGCTTCAGCCCGAAAGCCCCCCCCCCGTAGATCCGCCCGTGAAACTAATTAAGAAAAATCATCTTCAGTGACCTGTCTTAGCGTCTCAGACACGGTAAAACTCGTGATCGTCTGACCTATAGTTTCCGAAACTACATAAGTTGGGCATATAGAAGAGAATTCTATGACGATGTGAAGTTTGAGTCGAATTGCTCCATGTCCAGTGCAAGGCTCTGGTAGCCTGCAGCAGAACCATTCTTCGGGACAACAGCCTATTTCTCTGCCACAATAATAGGTTTTGGTTCCTGAAGTGAAGTGCTTATAGTGGAAATTGTTATTTAATGAGATGAGCGATTCTTGTCATCTGTTTCAGGAGAATAGTCTGTACCCCATAATGGCCAGCGACTGTTTCCGACTGTGCTTCTTAAGATAGCCTTAATCTACTTAAGGCATACAAATATGTAGATATTCTCTCTCTCTCTAGATCGGGAATTGAGTCTCCTAGGTGATTTTCTATAAATCGTCCATAGTGCTCTGCCAATCAGGGGTGCCCATCCCCCTAAAGCGGATGCCCCCCTCCCAAAACAAATATTGCCTCCCTCACTTATATAATTAATATATACCTATGTGAGATGTAATATCAATGTTAGTTCAAAAGAGGATAGATAAAATATTGGTTTGTTTGTTTCTCGAGAATATTAAAGGTACAATACATTAGCCAATTATAATCAACGAGTTACATCAGTAATATTTTTAGAGGAGACAAGGGCTTCCCCCTACCCTTCTCTGCCTATGATCATGCCAGGAATTCATTATTATTTTGTTTTAAAATATTTTTTCCTTTTAAATAAGAATTTCATCTGAAATAATTGCGAGAGCGATGTCAAAATGGTGTATATAACTTTAAAATAGGGGAGAAGAGGCAATAAATTTGAGGATGGATAAATTAGTCTTTATTTCCTATTTAGTTTCTTTTAGAATGTTGATCCAACCCGTAACTGAGGATAATATTTCATAAGTTTTTTTATTTGTTGCTACTTTATTTTAAATTTGTTTCCGTGTTCTATAGTCAAAGACAAGGCATAAGTTGTATTTGTTATATACACACAATAAAGGTTATTATTTACTAATTATAATAATTATATACACACCCACAGACAGATCTACGGGGGGAGGCTGAAGCCCTCCCCCAAAATGGGAAAACATAACCATATTTTATAGAAAGAAATATCACGAACTATATCTTAAAGTATTATTGTTCGGGTAATTATATTTAATAAAACTTCAAGAACCATTTAAACACTGTTTAATATACGAAGTTAATTTCTTTCCTTTTTTAAAAAATTAGTTATCGTTATATATAAGAAAAAAAAAAAGCTTTCGGGCTGAAGCCCCCCAAAATTAAATCCTGGATCCGCTAGTGTACACACCACATACCAATATTTCAAACAAGCGGCGCCCTTTGAGTTCACGCTGAAACTGGAAATACGGAAGACAAAGCTACGCTTGTGTTGACTACTTTGGATACAGTCCTATCTGCCGCTCTTCCAAGTATGCAGCGCCCTTAGATATTTTTTTATATCCACACAAACCTCAGAGTGTTTTTTTTCTTTATTTCCTGATTTAAATGGGGGCACCACTGCCGCCAATACTTTGGACTGTTCAGCAGGGTTGCCCAACAAGTGGAAGATAGCCGGGGTTTCAGACTTGGTGGCCAGACTCCAAAGGAAGTTTTATTTTTCAACTTCAAAATTTATATTAAAATAATAGAGTGTATATTATACAATACTTAAGTAATAGCTTAACATACTATAAGAAAGACTTCAGTTGGTGTTAATTGTAAATTTAATAATTTGAAGGTACCAGGAAAATTATCAATGAGATAATTATTTTTTCTCCACGGAAGACAGTCGTCATAGCACAAGGCAGGCACCTTCATTAGTGTCCAGGGAGGTCTTCCTTAATGCTTTGCTGAGCTTACAGAATTTTCAGGTGTCACCATAGGTTGCCTGGAGTCGATGGTTCATGTTGCAGTTTGCAATTAGCACAAGATTAACTAAAGGAAAGAATTGATAATTATGGGTGTTTTTTTAATGATAGAAGTTCTAAGTCATCAGATTATTGAATTAAATTTGAAATGCCATAGCAACCACAAATCTCAATGCTTTGGGAAGATTTATAAATGCTGAGGTGGTATATAACAGCTGATGCACTTAAATGTATATAATTAAAACAAATTAAATTAAATTTTAAATCTTAGTTTCCATAAATAAATATCCAGCTATTAATGTTCCTTCATTGTGATAGCTTACTTCTAAAGTTTTGTAAATCTATCAAAACAAATCAAGGGAACAAAAAATCTGGTAATCTCAACACACAACTTTCACTTACTGCTCTGCTTCAAAAACCAATTCTTGTCTCGCAAAATTGGTCTGTTACAGGAAGTTTTTGAAGCGCATTTTTAATGGAACTAAACCTTGAACAATATATTTTTGAATTTTAGTCATATTATTAAATACAGAAACTCATTAGGACCATCAAAATAACATAAACCCTATTTATTATATCCATTGTAGGCAAAAAAAACCTTATAACTGCATCAGTCTATTTGAAACACTTATCTCCAGTCTCTGAGCTCTATAGACAAAGAGAGAGTTGAAAGGTAATACTGCACAATAAAAATTATAGGAATTAAATCTCTTCATTTTTTAAATGCACTTAAATTCTTATTTTTTACCCTTGAAAAATTTACCAAAAAAAAAGTTACTTGTTTTTAATACAGCATAGATAAGTCGAAAGTCGTAACACTGATTGTAAGTGTATAATGTGATTTCACAAAGGGATTTTTTTTTAAATAAATAAAATTTATTTTTCCTATTAGTCGATTAACAAATTCTTTCATACTTTATATTCAGCCATGTTTTATTTTTAATGATGTTAAGAGACTGTTATTTTTTTTAAATAAACAAAATTTAAGGTATTTTATAGGAAGACATATTCAACATTAGTTATTTAAGCCCTATAAGGTGATATCAATGCGGATAAGACCTATCTGATCTTAAAGAACACTTAATAATGCACTGATATACTGAGTTTAATCAAAATCGTTAAAAACCGTTTTTGAGAAAATCGTAAAAATTTGTAATATCATTCATATAAAGTGCCACTTCCGGTAAGCCAATTTCCAGGAAAAAGATGCTGTAAAATCTGAGGCATATACCTATCTTAAATACGTAATATCAGTTTCTTACGACTATTAACATACACAGAGACCATTTTGTGGGACTTGGTTATTTCCATTCAGAGGACCTCAAAACGTGTATTTCTGTTGAAATCTGAGATTCGAAAATTTTCACGATTGCAATAGTTTCTTTAACTACATATATAGGTAAGTGAAAGGGAATAAACTATAGTTCTACTAGAAAGAAAAAAAAACAATTTGAAAAATACTGACATTGTTATTAAGAACAAAGTAAATGAGTAAAATATGATACTTAAAACTTTTCAGTAAATTGGCCTTTTAGAAGTTAGCTGTCAATTAAGTGAGACCTCAAGTTTTCAAAAACAGAAATTACTTAAATAAAAATCATGTCCTCTAATGAAAAAAACATACTATACAAATCAAAATACTATTCATCATCATGCCAACTAATAATTTATTCTGTCCTTTGATAAGAAATTCTGAGCCATATTTTTGAAATCATTTATTTAGTTACAGAATAATATATAAAGAATTACACCATTATATACATAAAACATAAGATTTTGTCACTGGAATTAATTTATTTTATGAAGATACACAGATTATTTTGTAAATCTGCAAATTACTACTCCATAAAGAATCACATTAGCAGTATTATACAGTCATAGCTCTACTACCAATAGTTTTAAAAAAGGTATGACAACTATACAATAATTTTAAGTTTACCAACAATTATTTTTTTGTTTCTTGCTTTCCTTTTGATTTTTTATCAATTCTAGAATCAAATATAAAAATTGAGAATTTCTAAAAAAGCATAACAAAACTACCACATTTCTTGCTCAAAGAAGTTTTAGTTGTTAATATTTTAGATGAACTCAAGAAGTTTTTCTAATTATAATTGTGGATTGATGGTTAACTATAATGAATAATTGAAGAGAATGGTTGGGTTGACCAGTCAAAAAAAAAAAATTATATTTATTTATTTTTACTGATCATTCCAACCATTTTTCTCTTCAATTTCCTAATTATAATTAATTTAATGATTATCGCCACAGCAAATGAGATCAAAATATTTTCAAAACCAACACACAAAAGAAAGCGAGCAAAATTTATATATAATCATATAGGAACAAGGAAATAAATGAACTTAATGAGTAATGGATCTTTACATTAAACATCATAGGCATACTACAACTAATGGCATAATTATTTAAAATGAAGTTTTTCACAAATAAAAAATATCTTTAAAAATATTTAATTCACAATATACAAAAAAAATTAGGAACCATGAACAAATATACAAAAAAAAAATCACATAAAAATTATAAATAATAAACGAATAAAGAGAAAATACAGCATTATTATCCTTAATTTCTTAATGTACACCTCAGACTAAAAAATATTCTGTCTATTGCACTTTGGTCTTACAAGTTGAAGAATTAAATGATCTGAGTAAGTTTGCAAGATAACAGAGAGCAGCAGCATAATATCTCTGTAAGATACCAAAGTGAATCATACCAGGAAGTAGAAGGATAGCAGTAGCTGAAAATAATAAGAACAATTATATTAATAAAAATAATTATATCAGACTTACATATAAAATAAAGTATGTACATATATACTTTAGTATACTTACTCAAAATGAAGAGAATGAAAATGTTATTCACCGAATTCCCAATAACTGCTAAAGTGAAGGATGTAGTAATTGTGATAGCAAAGTACTGTAAAAGAAAATACAATACACAATATATAAACACAAATAAGTATTAGAATATATTTATAGAATACAGTAATAGATGAAAATGTTGATAGTGACTAATTTAATATTTGAACAGAAACCTATATAAAAAGAAATAATAAATTGATCACATGTAACATATTGCAAAATGGGAAATTATAACTTGTAAGGAGAATCATAAGATATTATGATAAGAACAAAAATAATAAATAAAGAGATATAGAAAAGGAGTATGGATAGGAGAAAAAAATTAAAAGAATGAAATATCAACTAGTCAAGTTCTTGAATGAGTGAGAAATATTTTATAGGAATTCCCGTCCTAAGGTCAATTAATCAAATAGGAACGGAAAAGGACTTAAGAAATTATCACATGGGGAAAGCTGTGTGGTCTTACTGATAATTTCCGTCACTTTTATTAAACTTTCCTTGTGAATATTTCTCCCATATGAGTTGTCACTTAACACAATGAGAACTCCAATTTCAACATTATTGATTATTGATGTAGAGATGGTTGACCGTTGATATAACATGAGAAGGAGTTAGTCGAGGGTGCGGTCAAATAAATAAAAAAATAAAAATATATAAATTATTTTAATTTTTGCCGACGTTTCGACCCACTTTGCAGGTCGTCTTCGTGGGCGTAGGATGTGGCACTGCGGGAGGCAGTTGAAACACTGGCAGTGTCAAAAAACTCTAGTCTAGGACTTTTGACCTCACCCTCGACTAACTCCTTCTCATATTATTGATTATTAATTTTAGTGATATTTCTAGTATGAAAATTCATATCTTTATTCACACTGCTTATATTTCAACACTGAAATCAACTTCCTCACTGTCTCTACAGATATTATAAATTTTACAAATAAAAAATGTTGAAATTGGAATTAGTAATTCTGTCAACTGAAAGGCTCATATAATTAATTTTTATTTTCCTCCTCCTTATCACACCCCTATTTCATTTTCTTATGCCTCTGTACATATTCGTTTTTACTTCACATTTATTAACTTAGTATTATCACCAAACTGTATTTGTTTAAGTTATAATACAACTATTTATTCTTTTGGCTTATTTAACTTCATGTTTATATGGATCGGGCTCTATAAACAGGATCCTATATAAAGATCGGTAGAATAGGAATCGATTAAGAAGAATTCATATCAGTTTATTAATTATGCTATTCTGTTCTTTCTTATATTATTATCTTTTCTCATTGTTATCCTATTCAATATTTGTTTTTGTAGTGTTAGGCTTAGCCTTGATAAAACCCTGAAACTTAGGACTCAAATGTCAGCATATATTAAAATAAGTTTACAGGTATCTGAATTTTTCTTTCCTGTATGCATCCTCCCAACTAACAACTTTTATAACAAGTAAAATTATTACAAAATACATGATTGTAAAACATACATTAATTTTTTTTTAATCGACTGAGCTAATTAAATAATAAAAAAAATAAATAATAATGTCTGAAAATGGTTCATCTACTCTTCAAAATCAATGCTCTGCAACTTGTGGTAACTAATGATTAATATAGTATGCTATGTTATTTATTGTACTTGTGTAGGCTAGGGCTATATTTCTATTAGCTCAGAATCTGTTCCAATTACTGAATAACAGTTAATGATGTATAACTGATCAGAAGTAGAAATTCTTAACAATCACACAACTGTCAAAAAATACGAAGTTTCTCTTTTGTAATTAGTTTCTTTCTTAGCAATAAAATAAAATCTAATAAAGTGCTAAGTTATGATAAGGTGGTTGATGATAAGGAAGGGCACAAGGAAATACTGACGCATGCAAGATGGATAGAACCTTTATAGCTTGGTTATATACTTATCCTAGTGATCCTGAAAATAAACCTAACAAAGATGTTCATAGACTGTTTAATTATTGCTTTAAGTTAACTAAAGAGCCCACCAGACAGATAGAGTCAAAGTGGAAGAATCCAAGGGATGAAACAAGGAGTTGATGGGTTCTAAGTGGAGGGAGATAACGTTGGTGATTGAATTGTTTGGAAATTTGGGAGAAGTTTTGTTTTCATAAACTAATATCTTACATTAAGAAAACAAATCACAAGATGCCCAATTTGATCAATAAGAGGGCAATAGAATTTAAAGCCAAAATTAGCAAAAGATGTAAAAGAATGTCATGATGGGGGATCCACTATACCATTAGAACAAGTTTGACCAGACTAATCACAGGTACCTGAATAAATCAACACAGAAGTTTCTATCAGCAGTATTGCTTAAAGACATGAGTTCTTCCTGAACAATGCACTGAGAACCGAAAATTCAAAACAATTAGCATTTCATTGACATCCGGACATTGATTCTCTAAATTTTTTTTATCTCCATAACATTTTTAAACTTTTTACCCAACAAGTTTACATTCTCTTCTTTAGAATAGAGCATGTAGTTATTTTTGTGAAAACTTTGATCTTGATTTATTGCTCTTCAACAAGAACCATGGTACATGAAAAATAGGCAATTTTGAAAAGTACATGGTAACCCAAATGATTCATAGACAGTGCAAGTGTATTGTCACCAGGGGTGGAGTGGTCAAGCAGGCTAGCGCTTGTACACAGCACCGTGTGTTGCCTGGCAACCTGATAACCGAAGTTATAAATTAAAAATTAACTATTACGTTAACATACCAGTGTCGGGAGGTCTTTTAACTCTGGTATTAATACCCCACCCTCACTCCCTGGCCTGGGAAAACCCCAAATAACCTAAAAGGCAAGGAAAGGCAGAACAAAAAAAAAAAAGTATATTATGTCTCAGAGAATCATATGAAATTGCTTAACTAAGTAAATAAATATTCTTTTATATTAACTTTCTAGAAAAATATTTTTTTTAAATATTATAAAATTAGTTACCAAGTAAGGTCTAGAAACTTTTATCTCCATAGCAGAAATCCATATTTGTTTTAATTGAACAATAAATCCGGCAACAGCCCGGCACATGTCTTCAAATTCCCGTTCTTTGGCACCGCTCCAATCTTCATGTTTCCAAATCATGGCAGTCACTGAAGGACCAGCATAATCTATTAATGTTGCTGTCATCAAAATAAGACCAACGGATGTCAAAAATGATGGATTATAGTAAGCAATTTCCCTAAAAGTACATACACAAATTTAATTCAGAAATGTTTTTACAAATGAAATAATATAAATTGATAAAGATTTCAAAGTTCATGAATCAAAGTAACCCTGAAATGACACAAACTATACCTATTATTTTTAAAATAATATAGCTTTGAATACATAAAGCGAGTTAATGAAATTAAGGAAACACTAAAATTCTGTTATATGACTCTTAAAAAAGACAACATGTAATCTAGCTCCTCAGCTACAGAATCATGTACAACTATCACTTTAATAGCATGATTACGAAAGTCTAAAACAAATTTGACAACTTTCAACCAATAATGATAAAAGCCGAACACAAAACTATTAATAGTATATTTACTGTTTTCTAAACAATAGAGTTATGCTTTACATTCTTTTTCTTTTCATTTAGTAAGATTTTTAAATAAACATAAACCGTGTTTCCCAGGGCTTCCTCCCATGTGTAAATAAATCATGATACAATATCTTACACAATATACTTAATGATATTTAATATTTTAATTTTCAACCTTTAAAACTTTTATTATCGAATTTTACTATTTATACTAGTCCCTAGTGCCACAGATTCAGCAACACTTCTAAGTTGGGGGTCCTAGTGTTATTCCGAATCATGGACTTGTCATCTTTCTTTCTCAGGTATCACAAAAGAAAACATAATCGTCTCTAAGATAAGCTATATTGGGAATTTCACCAATATATTTCAACACTAGGACTTCCAATAAATTTAACAAAATAAGTTTACTAGGCATGAAATAACAATTAACTGTGAATAGTAAAACAGAAAATTAGTGTGGGAAATAACCTTAGACATTTGTATATAATCTAATTATAATTTCTAGCTCATAATTGTGGGGTGCTTATTATCCCATACTTCTGCAAATTCGTTTATTCCAGTGTCAAAGTACAGTCATGCAAAGAAAAACTAAAAACAGCTCTTCTTCCTTATTTTCTTTTAAACTATATATAGACAAAAATATGTAGCATCTCCTGATCCTTCCAAACTTTTACAAAATCCTTACGTTAGGTTAGGTCAGCTCTAGTCCACATCAAATTTAGTTCTTATTATATATTTCAAATAATGGTGTGAACAGACTTATTACTATATTTGCCAGCAGTTTATAGAAACTTTCATTCCCGACAAGAAATTAATATTGAAATAAACAATTTTTATTTTCGATATATAATAATCAGAATCCCGAGCACTTATTTGTGTTATTTGGTATATCTAGAAATAACAATATTTACGATGTTACAAATTACATTAAATTACCTAAACAAAGCACTGTTGAAATCAAAATTAAGTTTACATTAAAAATTAATTTTTTATATCATACATGGTATAATAAATATAATATTAATTATTATAATATTGAAATAAAATAATAAGTTTGGACATGTCTTTTTTATCTAAACATGATTTTCAATGCTCTGCTACTTCTATGACATTACAGTCTACATTATGGCTACAGTGTGCTCAATGTGATTTTAAAATCAGACACCAACTAAGCCCAAGGATTCAGAACTAGTATGATAAAGTACTATCCCATAGGTGAGCTCATTCATTATCAAAATGGCTACTTTCAGAATTCCACCAACAGTATGATCAATGCGATCTTGACCACACAAAACTATTTAAATAAGTACCAAAAAGTCGTCAGAAAAACCACTAAGATTTGATAATTAATCACAGAAAAGAAGTCAAAAGAAAGAAATGAAAAATCTCAGCAATGTTAATTAAGACACTATGAGAGGTATATTATGGAAATAACTTCTTATTTAAATCAAAATAATAAAATACAATAATGTGTAAAAAAAATAAGCCTTGAAATAAAAAGGCTTAATCCAAATGTACACACTCATGTCATGAAATGTAATAATTAAAAATAATAAATTTGATTAACAACACATACACAAATATAAAAGAGGAGACAGAAACAATCAACCAGGGGTAGAATTTCTTTTTCCATAACAACAATGAATTAACAAGTAGAGCAACTTCTCTCCAGTTATCCAAAGCTCTCTTCACTTTCTTCAAATGAATTTCCTAAAAAAAGAAAAATACGTATTCGTGATTTTCTGAGTGCGTGCAGATATAAGTATATATAACAATTTTATAAGATCTTATGATGATAAGAAAATTAGTCCTGCTCAAAAACAAATTGATCACTAACCCTTTCAATGGCAAAACCTGGATTTCCGTCAATCATTTTTAAAAATCTAATAAACCGTCCAATGAAATAACGACCGTTAAATTAACAATACTTTTCTAATCTGTGACTTCTAAATCTTCCCTGTTATGACTAGAAACCGACACTGTATTCAACGGAACTTTCAAAGAAAACAATCCATTAAACCCACAAAGGCTACCTATATTGCTACCATGGTCCTTTGGGATGACTATTATCAAATTATTTATCTGGTCATGATATTTATGTATTTAAGATTTTTCTATACAGTCTATAAAAATACAAAAATTCATTTAAAAGAAAAATTCCCAGCTTTAGTTTCATTAATTAAAGTATTTCATTTTACTTATTATTCAGTCTTGAATTCTGGTCTGCTCTTGTGATTGGTGGATATTCAAAATATCATTACTGTTGATAGCTTGTGACGTTACATAGCTGAAGACATTTTGATTTACCTTGTTTAAATTTGTGGCCTTATAATTGTTTTCCATTATCTTATTTCAATGAACATCGTAAGTAAGATTTAATTATAAAAAAATATTGAATACTTTAGTTCATAGTTGTGATGCTTTAAGGTTATATTTTTTTATAAATCATTACTTATAATATTTCCATTTTATAACCAAAAGGTGAAACTATCCTATTAACAAATTTTTTTAGATGTCTAATGTTGAAAATCTCTCACCCCAAATTATCAGGCAAGTTAATAAAGAGATCCACGATTTAGCAAATGATCCTCCTGAAGGAATTAAACTTACAATTAATGAAGAAGATATAACTGATATCCAAGCTTTTATCGAAGGACCAGGCAAGATCTTAATTTTTACTACTTTTAATCTGATTATTCCTCAGTATGATTGGTTGCTTTTATGTTAACTATGTCTTCATCTTCGTTGATTGATATAATTTATTAATGGTGATTGAAGATACTTTAAGCATTTATCCAGGTTTTCTCCTTCTATGTGCATGTATTGTGTAGGTCCTACATGGTGTTTTGATTATCACGTATTACATCAAGTTAATAACTATTCCATAGTTCATATTTTTAAATTGAAGATCACAAGTGTCATATCTACATGTTGCGTAGGCCATGATCTCACATGAAATGCATGAAGTTTGTCCAAAGGAGTAAAGAGGCAAACTATTTCCAAATTCCTAATAACCCTCGATTCATGCTAGCATAATTTTTGTTCATCATCATAACCGACTAGTAATCAATATAGGCCAAATTTTGTAGTAATACTTATAGATGGCACTGTGAACTGACTTGTGCCTAATGTTTTCGTAATATTTTGTCCGGATTATCGAAATACACATATTTTAATGTTTATAATAAAAGATAAAACCAGAATCTCTTAGATTAATTTTTAATATTATTGCTTACAAAGCTAGGAATCCATAAGTATATAATTATAGTGATGAAATTTTTACAACAAAAGAGAAGTTAAGATGTAGATGTATGTGGCCAATCTCTTGGTAATGCTACAACTCTAACTGAATTGGAACTGTTAGAAAATTGTTTATTGCTGTTCGGCTAGTGTAATCTTACCTGGGTACTACTATTGGCTGATTTTTGGAAATTTATTGACAGGTAAAAGCTCCCTTTATTTTATTAGGGATTATGCCTTCCAGCTGGTTCTCATAATTGAAATCAGAGCTTAATTACATCTATGCTTTCGACTTCCATTTACTCAAAAGGGATTAACTAACTCCAAAGGACCCTTTCAAATTGAGATTGGGTCCTCACCAGATAGTACAGTTTCCTCCGCCTGTTTTGAGATACAGTAGGCCAGCCATATCATTTATAGTGTGATCAAATGATCTTGTGTCCACCCATCAAAATGAAGCAAAATTTGCACAGAAGTGCCCTTGTGGTTTGTTGCGGAAAACCCATTGTGGTTTGTTTATCTCTATTTAGTGGGTGAGAACTGCTATTTTTAGAATTCCTTTTGATGTGATCCCTCAGGAAGTGTTGTAGTGTTTAGATCAGGACCTTAACAGACTGTGTTCAGTCACCTCTTTCTATTTTCAGATTCATTTTAGCCATTCTCTAAATTCATTTATAGTATGATCATGAGAGGTTTCCACCCTTCAAAGTTGAAAATACCAGCAATCTCTGATTATATACCTCAATCTTCTGTATTGAAATAAAAGCTATATTTTAATGTCAGACCTTATTCTATCCAATCAGCTACATTTCACTCAACTTATATTGCCACTCGTATCGGTGGAGAAAACTGGCTGTCACTTTTCCTACTTCAACAGCTCTACTGGTTACCAGCATGTACTGAACAGAGTGGGAATGGCAAAATTCATTCCTAAGGACTGCTGAGTAGTAGATATTAACTGACGCATTTAATCAAACACACAATGTGATGAAAGGAACTCTAACCCCAAAATGCTCGGCCATCACTTATCTATAAGGTTTTGAGGATTTCTTTTATCATCTATTCCAGTAAATTTGCATCCAATTAGATGTTTTTACTTTCACAATTCTACATTTCACAATTTTAATGATGTATCTGTTATCCATCCTACCAATTTCATGGCTTCTTTTAATTGTCATTATGTTATCACTTTTATGGAGTACTTCCATGAATTTTTTAATTTTTAATCATTGATTAAGCTTAGATTATAAACTGAAAAATGCCAAGTCTGAGGTTATCCAATGTATTCAGAGATAAATTGCCTTTAAAAAAAGTTGAGGGGATGGGCTTGGCTTGGGTTGTTGAGTTTGACATCTGCCACATCATAGAGGTGGCAATCGCCCAGCTTTGCCTTAGTGGTTTAGTTGCTGAGACATTTTCAGCTTTAAATGTCAAACCCCAAAAAAACTTTTTTTCAGTAATTCAGTAAGAATGGATGATAAATATTCAGGACGCAGTCATTATAAATCTTTTTTATTTTTGCCAGTGTTTCAACCCAAACATGTGGGTCATCAGGTCTGAAAATTTTAAAATACAATCAGAGATATAATATTATACAACCGATAATGGTAAATAATAAACAATAGTGATTGACGGTACATGAATCTTAACTATTATTATAATACACTATATTAAAAATGAAACATATAAAAATTATAATATTTAATATTGTGTATTGTAATAATAGTTAAGATTCATGTACCATCAATCACTATAGTTTATTATTTACCATTATCGTTCGTATAATATTATATCACTGATTGTATTTTAAAATTTTCAGCCCTGATGATGACCCACATGTTCCTTACTTTTCTGTTGGGAGGACTGGATGAAACCTCCATTGTTATCTAATGTTATATCACATAACCTCCCTTCTTATCTCATGAAAGCTTTGAGTTATTCCTTTCTTTATTTTTGTTACAGAACTATTTTGCCTACCAAAATAAATAAGGTGAAGTGAAAATAAACTGTACATATGTTGTTTATATTGATTCTTTAATATGTTGCTTAATTGTTTATAATTATTTCATTTTTTTATTATTACATTTATTTTTGTCTATTTCATATATGTGTTGTAAAATTAAAGTGTTTTCTTATTGTTGTGGGAATTATTACATTTATTTTTGTATATTTCAATTTCCAACCAAACTGTTTTGTTATTGTTACATTTGTTTTAGTTTTTGTTTACAATTTCAATAATATGAATATAATAAAATAAATTTGAATACGAAGATAGGAATTATGAGAAGCCTTATCACTGTTCAGGTTATAAACAATGGCAGATAGCAGTCAGTCCTGTCTGTCTAACTGATAAGTAACCAATTTCTTTCATTAATGAGAAACTTTAACTGTTTCAATCAAGATAAAAATAAAATAGGTGTTGGGTCAGTGTATAGAGAGGATGATACCAACAGTAAAAATGGAAAACACTGATGAAGCCTATTTATTTAGGGTATTCCACCTACTATCTACATCTTCAAAATCATTACCATTTTTACTACTTTCTTTTTATTAGTTGATAAATTAAAGAAAATAATGTTTGTTTTCATCAAACCTCCCATCTTTCAATAATAATCTCTGTATCATATATTTCAGCTGGCACACCTTATTCTGGAGGAATTTTCAAAGTTAAACTTTGTCTTGGTAAAGACTTTCCCCAAGGACCTCCTAAAGCATTTTTCCTTACCAAAATATTCCATCCTAATGTTGCTACTAATGGTGAAATATGTGTCAACACCCTTAAAAAAGACTGGAAATCAGATTTAGGAATTAAGCATATACTTTTGGTGAGTATATTATGTCTTTTTGAAGTTGCTTCATTGAGTTGTATTAATAAATAAATATTAATACATTTATTTATACACTTTTTAGACCATAAAATGCCTACTTATTTATCCTAATGCTGAATCAGCGTTAAATGAAGAAGCAGGTAAACTTCTTTTAGAGCATTACGATGATTATTTCCAAAGGGCCAGGATGATGACTGAAATTCATGCCTTAGTAAGTCAATTATTGTAATATTAAACTTAAAATTTTGCATGTATCTGTGGTACCTGTAAATAGTGGTTAAATGTAATTTTATAGATTTTGTGTTACATTTTTCAAACACAAGTTTGTTCTTTTTCTTTGCCCATGGGCCAAGCGATATGACTATCACAAAGTGGGATCAATTGTCATAATAGGCATATTACTTCGCTCATTAGACACGAAGAAAGCGAGAAAAAAAAGTTTTAAGATATAACTCAAAATCCACAGAGTTACCCTTAACCCTGAAATGTAATATTTTGTATCTATTCAAAGAAATATATTTAAATTCTTACCATACTACAAGGGGAGGTTACAATAAATGTTTTATTCTTATTTTTGGGTTCAATCTTGACAAAATATTGGTTTTGTGCGTGTAATCTTCCTTTTGATACTAGTACAGTTTAGAAACAAATATAAATTTAGTATGCAGTTATAGTATCTGTTAAATATTGAAACAAATAGTACTCACCTCAGGAGTAAAGTAGGTTCAAATGTAATCTTTTTTAAGTAATGTAATATTTTTTTAAGGAGAAACAAAGTTGAAATTTGTATTTCGCACCTCGAAAAACCCTCAATAGTCCGTAGTTTGTGCAGAAAATATGCCTAGCCAAGAAGTACAGAGAAGAATTACGTCAGCTAATAGGTGCTATTCTGGCCTAGCTAAAATTATAAGAAGTCATTTGCTGGCTAGATCCACTAAGATTGCTCTGTACAAATTTCTTACTGAAATATGGCTCAGAGACATGCTCATTATCACGACCATCAGTTGCAGGTTTTCGAGAGAAAAATCATGAGAAGGATGTTTAGCTCTGTAAAAGTTGATAATCAGTATAGGCTAACGCATAATGTAGATTTGTATTAAATTTACTGAGAACCGGATGTGGTGCAATTTATACGGCTCTCTAGGCTAAGATGGGCTGGGCATGTCGTAAGGCTGGATGGGGATTCACGAATCATACGGCTACTGTTCGGATATGTGGATGGTAAAAGAAAGAGAAGACGGCCACAACTGAGATGGACAGATGAGGTCAAAGATGACGCAAAAAAATGGAAATGGGGGGAAAAAAAATTATCCATATACAAATAATCTAAACAGAGAAAAAATAAAATAGTAATGTGAATTAGCATGGGTTATAAATAGCTGGTACTGTGTTAGAGATTTCTCCATATACAGGACAAAAAAGAAATCATCAGTTTTTACTTTTATACATATATTTCTTCAAATGGACTTGCCAAGTTTTAGAGCTAAGCTATTGATTTGATATTATTATGTTTTGTTTCAAGTTACCTAATTATTTGTCTACCTTTCTTTGATTTTGTTCTTTTAAAATATTTATCCTGAGAGTTGAAACTCATCTTTTTTTGGCATTCTGCGTACTGATTTCCAGAAACTGACAAGTTCAGTACTTAATCTTACAGTAGGATTTTCAGTGGTACAGGATGGTTCAATCTGTCTATAATTAATTTTGTCAATGTTATATCCATCATGCTCCTCCCTCAATATTTATTACATCACTTCATAGGCATAGAATACATCACATCATTTACAAATCTTGTCATTTTAACATAACAGAGATTTTGCGATTAATTTTATTTCTTCATTATAAGCTTCAATAAATTAAGATGTGAGTAGTTGTATGTCAAATTTAATTGCTTTACGTGGAAATATTATTTTTTTCAGTCTGTAAAAAGTATGAAAGGTGTAGATCTACAATCAAGTTCAGATGGACCTATTGCTAAAAAACATGCAAGTGACAAAAAAGTCTCGGCTGAAAAGAAAAAACTTTTGAAGGACAAAAAGAGGATACTTAAAAGATTATGAATGAGGAGAGAGTATTGACTTTGTGGAAAAATTCTACAACAATTTATAAATTAAACTATTACTCTTGTAAATATTGTATGTCTGTAACTTATTACGTCATGTATCTGCGCAATAAATTTTGCCTGGCATTAAATAAGAAATGAAGTCTGCAGTTATTTCCAAAATTAAACCTATATGTAAATATTTATATATATAGATATATATATTTTATTTATTTCAGTTGATTGTGGAATGATTTTTTTCTAAAATTTAACTCAATAAACGTTTTATTGTATTAAATCAAGATCCCTGAGTATTAAATTAGAGAAACACAAACTGTATTGTTTTAAGATTTTTGCAGGTTGTATATATATTTATTTAATGCATTTTCCTGCTTAGTATGTAACACAATCTCACTTTCATGAAAAAGAAAAGAGGTGGTTATTAACAGGAATTGTTTAAGCACTAGAAAACTGCCTATAATTAATTTGTTTATTTATATTGTCTATACAAATTTTATAAAATGTAATTTAATTAGAATATATGCTAAAACCAGTTTTTGTTTTTTCATCTTTTTTTTTCTATCCTCAAACAGAATTACACAATACTTTTTGAATAAATCGTATTTCAGTTATAAATAATTAATAGGAAATACATCACACAATTTACAAAAAGAATGGAACAGTCTTGCAATGTACTTCTGAATTTCTAGTATACAAGTACATTTTACAATATGTTGATATTTAGAAAATAAATTACAACTTATCACTAAACAATACTACTGACTGAAATATAGTTGATTACGTTTTTCCTTTTAATTTAAATGCTTAACATTTAAATTTCTTCAAATTACTTAAGGTAACACAAAATTACATGATAAAGGAAATATGATATGAGACTTCTTTTTTGTCATGAATTCACAGACTTTATATTTATTAGAAATAATTCACAAAGAACCTTAATATCTAGTTATATACACCTTGTTTTTCACTCTCTTAAATACAGAAATTAATAAGGTCAGATAGTGGGAAACCAAAAAAAAAAAAAAAAAAAAAAAAATGAAATCAAAGGATAGTTAAGAGAATAATGGTCTTTAACAAGACTGTTAAAATTTTAAACAATGATAACAGATGGAGCTGCCTACTATTTGACTTTGTTGACGTAGGCATCAAGTTCAGCATCTAGTTGTTCTGCTGTGGCTACAGTACCTCTTCCACCTCCGCGTCCTCTTCTATTGCCACCTCTTCCACCTTAAATTATAACAATATTGAATGGTAACATTGAACAAATTCATGGATTTAATATAATACATATATATTATGTCATTCATAGTAGCACTCATGATAAGATGTTATTTACAGGCACACATATATTGCCTACAAGAATTTAACATATCAGTTTTATATTATATTAGCTACCCCGCTATGCGCTGCTATGGCTCAGTCGCAAAGTAGAAAAAAATATAATGCGCGAATGAGTGGATTAATACCAAAGGGCATCTGTCACTTTTAAAAAGTTGAGAAACAAATTTGTCTAACATAGCTTCAATTTAAACTAATTCTAATGATTTTTTTTTTCATGATTCAACTTGAACATTCTTAATCAGAAACAGTCTGAGTTGAACTTATAAGACTAAAATTGACTTTATTTCCACTTTCTGAAAATGACAAATCCATCTTTGATATATAGCCTTTGTTTAATAAACTCTTTATAATCTCAGGAAGTTCTTCATCCATAATCTTGAAATTTTGGCATAAGGTTGCATTTAAATACATGCGTGGTTTAATATAACTAATATCATAAAATATAAGGTAAAACTATGTATATATTTATTAAAAACGCACCATCAGTTGAATGTAAAAGCAACACATGCTGTTCAAAATAGTTTATGATACTGTTTCAATGTTAAAGATTTTCAAATATCAAAGGTGGCAAGGCAATGCATTGAAATTGCGCTATACCATATACTATAATGTTCATTTTGTCTGCATTATAGCTGCCTTCCACCTCCCTTAAAAGATTTTGCATACTCCTCCTTAAGATATTTGATTGCTTGCTTCTTCCGAGTAACAACTTGATTAAAAGCGGTAGTGGAAAAATAAACCTTACTCGTGAAAGAAACCCTACCATAAACGGCACAACCTTATTCCAACGCAATGTTAAAGAAAATGATTTATTAAAAAATAAAATAAACTGAAATCAATGAAAAACTGACTTCTAAAAGGAACATAAACAGTGATAATTATTACTCATGGGTTGAATATTTTTATATAATAGCATATCAAATATTTGAGGTGTATCATACTACTTCCAGAATGAATTGTGGATATATATAATGAATATATAAAAAGTAATAGTATTGACCCACATAAGCAGAATCATATCACTTCTTCAAATGATAATCTCAATTATTGCAGTAATTATAAAATTTTCGATTAATCAATAAAAAAAACGGAAATGGCCGGTACTGAAGAGAAAGTAATAAATGTTTAAAACTCCATAACCCTGCAATGAATCGTCAGAGTTTGATGATTTTTTTTTTATTTTGTCGGATATTTAGCTTTCAAATAAACATGGATATTATCAAACAAAAAATGTGTACTATATTAGTTTTTCGCAAATAAAATTTTGAATTCATCCTAACATTTTTTGTAGCTTGTTTTGGGGAAATTATGTGATAAGTGTTAAATTCCAGCCACTTAGTTGAACTACAGTACAGACATGAAAATCATGAAGATTGACTAGTTCAAGTTTGAACAACTAGGTCCTTTAAGTATGAGGGCCTAGAATTAGTTTTAATACTATTAGTAAAGAGTGTGAGTAAAGTGTAAAATAACTACAGACTGAATTTCATGCAAATTATTTATGCTAGCTTCAAATTCAGTCCAACCACAACAAAAATATAATTAGTAATTGGTTGACTGTCGTGGATAATGAAGAGAAGAATAGTTGGGGTGCTCAGTCAAAAAGGAAGGCAAAAAATAAATTATAATATTTATTTTTTACATAAATATTATGTAATAATACGTAAAAAATAAATATTATAATTTATTTTTTGCCTTCCTTTTTGACTGAGCATCCCAACTATTCTTCTCTTCACAACAAAAATATGAATCATGAGGAAGACCATTTGTGATGATTTGTGACCAATTATATTGATGTAAGTGTTATTTTGTTTATTTTCGGATTGCTGCGCTAATTTATATATTTTGAGGATTTTCTGTAAAAAATTGTAGTTTTGTTCATTGAACATCAAAATTCAACATCAAACATGAGTTTAAGTGATATAAAATGACAGCCTCAATGATTTTGAGAATAAGGAGTAAGAAATAAATTTTTCCTGTAAACTACTATGGTAAACACACCCAGATCTGTCATTTATACACACAGTACGAAATAAATTTTTCCTGTAAACTACTATGGTAAACACACCTAGATTTGTCATTTATACACATTTATTAGCTTTACTTTTATCAAATTGACAATAATTTAAATACCTCTACTAAGGCCTCTTCGCACAGGATTCTGCCGCCTGCCACCACTTCTGGGAAGACCAAGTACAGAAGAAACATCAGATGTCGCCAATTGTATCTTCATAGGTCGACCTACCATCCACAAACCATATTCCTCAACATAAAATTCTATTCATAGCTGCAGAAGACTATGACAAAAAAATTTAAATTCAAATGTTTTTACTACAGACTAAAAAAAAAAACCATCTTACCAGGAAAGGTAGTAGAACAAACAGTTCCAATATTTTCTTGCAATATGATATCCACAGACAAAAACAAATATTTCTTAACTAATCAGAGTAACTATAGTTTGTAAACAATTAGTTGGCAGTCAGAGGAAAAACCCATGCGACACTGAAGTTTAAACTAATGTTAGTTTTTTTTTCCCCTATCCTTCAATATTATTTATAAAATATTTACAAATATATAAATATTTCACATAATGTATATAATATTTTTGTACATATTTAATAAATATTAAAATGATGTTAGTCTTAACTCAGTGCCTGACAAGATCACCTTAAGGCTGTCAACCAATCATATGCAAGCGATATGATATAGAGGATTGCCATAACTTAATAAGGATTTCAATAGTCATAAAATAAATAAAACACTGTTAATATAAAAGAAACTAAAAACTTATAAATTGCATTTTTTTTTTTTTTTATAAACTTATTTAGATTACACAATCATTTATTTTTATATTTAAATTGCCGGTGATAAGAATTTAAAATATTGTTAGCTTGACAATAATATTTTGTAAAAGATTTTACTTCCCCACATCAATATTAAGCATAAATGTTAAGATATCATCGGTATGTTGCAAAAATTCATTAAATAACATTTTAGTGAATTTGAGATAATCGAATTTGAAATTACTGATTCGTTAAAAAAATACTAAAATAGCAATTTGACTATTTATTTTTTATTATTTGCAATTCTAAACATGAATTCTTTTTTCGACAAATAATTAAAATACTTAACACATACATAACAATGAAAAAACTGAAACTACGATGCACATAATAACTTTTTGAACACTATCATCATAGCTCAATAAAATACAAACCTCCTTTTATAACCTTGCAAGTACATAGCATCTAAATAAGATTCACTGCACAAAATCAGTTTTATTAACCATCTGATCAATTAATCCAGTGAAAGAAGTCATTAAGTACTAGATAGTGACACTTTGCTCTGTCAAGTCAGAACATTGTGCACTTAGCGAAACTATTTCTTACGAATAAAAGGATTTGTATGCAATTAATGAGTTATTCTATCAATAAATATTATCAAAATTTAAGACTACGTATCTTCAGGTCAAAAGTGTACTTAGTGACTTTAAGCAATAAATGGACAATATCCTCCTTTAATTCGGAAGGATACTTCTCATGGAATCATAGTTGCACAAGAATCTGTTATGTTTTGAGGTTTTTATAATTCAGTTAGATTAATTGGACCATTATTCTCATTTGTTTTTACATTCCTACATCAAATTAAACATTAGATTATTGACTGAGAAAGATGTTAACATTAATATATTCATTGAAAATCAGAATAAACATATTAACACATATATTAGTGAAAAATCTAAATAATTAATATAATAAATAATCTTACCGTCAAGGGGAACACCATTATACTGTGTCATGGCTTTAACAGCATCTGCCCGCCTCTCAAAAACTACATCGGCTGTTCCTAAAGATCTGCCTGATTTATCATAGTGCACTGTAGCAGATCTAAGTTGCCCGAATTCAGCAAAAAGTTCCTGAAACAAAATAATCATAAAATATATTATTAGAAATAGCAATAACACTCCCTAAACCAGAGTTATTAAGTCATGTCAAACAATTCATTGTATATTAGTACAATAATAATAAAAATATAAAATTGAATTTACGCAGTAATAATATACTTATAATTTCATTTTAAAAGGAAAGGATCCATAAAAAGTAATAGTGTAGATTGTAAAAAAAAAAAAAAAAAAAAAAAAATATCTAACTTACCTGGATATCTGAATTTGAAACACCAAAATCCAAATTCGAAACAAGTAATTTTGCAAGACCACCACCACCACCGCCGCCGCCGCCGCCACCACCACGAATCCTAAAATTGTCATTAAACATGTCATGTTGCCACCTGCCATTTATGTCTCCTCCCTAGAAAACAAACATAGCCATAATAACAAAAATTAATTAATAAACAGATTAATTTAAAAAGATAAAAACAGAAGAAAAGACAAACGTGAAATTAAATTTTCCAATAATAAACTAAAATAAATTTAAAAGAGCATAGATGCAGATATTAATTTTTATATATGCTTTTTATGAACTAATATTGTTTATGATGAATAATTTAACCTTCATAATTATTGTTAAACTTAAAATCATATTTTAAGTTATTATATCAAAAACTTCAGTATTCGCTAATTTCACTAACGAAAACCCTATTTTTCATATATTCTTTCATTCTTTCATTTCATTCTTTCATTCTTTCTTTCATATATTCTTTATATGTTTTATGTGATAGACAGATGACGATAAATCCAAGAGTAACATAAACATAATATTTTATAATAAGAGTAACAATTTATCTATTAAAGTGGATTAAAATTCTTCCTTTAATTCTTAAAAATTTCTTGGTAAGTACACTCAATGCTTGCCAAGTTATAGCTGTTCTAATTTTTGAAAAATTTACAGAATAAGTTAAATTTAGAGATTTTCGCTAATTTCACTAACGAAAACCCTATTTTTCAACAAATGTAACTATATTTAATTTATATGTCTTAAAATTGTCTAAATTAGAAACAAAGTAAGACCTAATAGTTTTCTGTTGACTTAATACTGTTATTATTATTTTATATTAACATAAATTTGGTTCTTAAGAGTACAAAATGACGAAGACTTAAAGACAAATTGTGGTTTTGTAAATTTTTCAAAATGATTCCGAGATCTGTGGAGATTAAAAATTTAGAGTTATCACAAGTACCGTACCTATCATAAACAACTTATCAAAAAATATTACTTAGTTATTGCAAAGTAAAATGAATCATTTTACTGGACCTAATTCTATTTATTTCATAGGCTATTCTTAATTTATATTATCATGTTTCACTTCTTCATAGAAAAAAAAAAAAATGAAATATTTAATACACAAAATTTAAACATTTCTGCTACATACAATAAAAACAAATTATAACTATACTAACTGCTTTAATCTATTCTAAGGTTCTGAATTAGTCAGGTATATGATAAAAAAATTTAAATGCTGATTAAAAAACGAAGTACTAGTTATGATGTGCTACTCCAAGATAATGGTTGATTTCAAGATCACTATGACCACACAACCAACCTGAGTATGTCTGAAAGGAAAAGTAGACGGCCAAGCCAGAAAGGTTGATAACATAATGTTTACATCAGATTAGGTTATGCGTTAGCTCATATAGCCACACTGCTCAATTTTTTTAAAATATCAATAAAAACTGGCATGAACCATCTTATTGAAATGTTACATCAGCTGTTCGTCTGTACTATACAAATGCCACTACTCGCCCTTGTCCATTTGGTGAAGATCCCTTGTTCCCAGTACAAATGGGATTTGAGAACAGCAGAAGATTGACATGTGCACAGTATAATCAACCTTTATTTATCTCATGATTTTATACTTCGGCAAACTCTCTACAGGTTCTTTTCAATTAAAATAAGGGCATTAACTACCTTAAACCATTTTAATGTTTTCAACATCCCTTTAGTGTAAAAGAATAAACAAATCCCCAACAGATCCTTTTCAGTGGAGGTCGGGGCCTTACCAGATGGTTGTCAAGACGTCTACTTTTGAACGCACTCATTCATTCTATTAATGGAGTGATCATGAGATCTTGTTCCACTAATAAAAGTGTAGTGACATTTGTAAAGTAGTACTAAATAAATATTGAATTGAACTTTGGTAAGTTTATTTACATAAACATATATATGTGAATAAGATAATCAATATTCAATTGTTTTCACAATTTTATCTACAGCTTAAAGTGCTATGAAATCAGCCATCATCTTGAGAGAACAGAGATGTGGAAATGATACCTAACCAATCGATATTTTAGAATTTACTTAACTAAACTGATACCCTAAAAAAAAAATATATTAAATCTTAGTTCAGATAGTATAAAAAAAAAAAAAAATTGAAGGAATATTAGTTGTTTAAATTTTCATCCTCCATTCTAACATTCAGAATATTTTAAAAAACAGTTGACTTGAAAAATTCTCAAAGATATAAGAAAATTCAAAAACTACTTTTGAAGAGGTTAACCTCCATCTATTCAATAGAACATGATAATTGTAGTAATGTGATTTCAGGATGACAAATGAGCTCTCATGATCACATGGAATGGACTAGCCCAACCTTGTCAAAAGTGAAAGAATATATGAGACTATATTATGATAACTGTTTAATGTACTAATATAAAAATCAAGTATTAAAAAAATATAATCGTAAAACTCTACAAATAAAAAAAGAACAAAGCATATATCAACAATCATCTATTGTACACTAATTAAGTTTTTAAAGAAGTTTATCCTTAGGGTTCCCATGGCATTTAGCAGGAACGAAACAATCTGAGCATAATCTAAAACATAGTTTAGAGATCATACAAAATACTAATACGAGAGTTAATAGCACTAGTTTACATATGTCGAGTCTAGTCAGGAGGAGAATCAAGCTCAGATCGGTCATACTATAGAGGGAATTCTGAAATTGGCCAAATGTACAATTGCTCCACAGGCAGATGAAGTCTGCTCCAGGTACTACTGGAGTTACTAACAATCAAATCAATTCGACCCACATATGAATTTAATTTGATCATTTTGAACTAATATAAGAACTTTCCTACCCTACATCCATTTAAAGTAAAAACATTAAAAAAAAAAAAAAAGACAAAACTATTGCTAATAAAATTTAACTGAAGGAAGTATGATTACTAACAATTTGATATAGTGCCATTCCTTAACAATATACGTCTTGACATAAATATAATAAAAGAGGTATATAATAAGGTTCAGATAATCTAACAAAGAAGTGAGCAAACAAACAAGTATAAATAAATAGAATGGTTATAATAAACAATTTTAAAATAACAATACAAATATTCTAAATTTGGCGAAGCAAATATAGGCAGAATTTCAGCACAGTTCATTTCACTATGTAAAAAGTCATTAACAAAAATTAATTATTTTGTACTTGTAAGCTAATAAAAATAAACAATAGAGTTGCATATATCAAGTACAAACGTTACACAACAGATTGTTATGAACCTACACACTAAATTCCTTACAAGTAGTCCTATAACAATAATACTTACCCTTTGGTACGGCGTCGACCTTACGTTTCCAAAAGTGTTTCTTCTACGTATTGCACCTCCACCTCCTCCAGAAACTCTGCTAGGCCGGCCCCTGCCTCCTCGTGCAAAAGAACCCCGATTACCACTACTACCGCGCGCCCTACGAGTAGGGAACTTAATTTTATTCTGTTTTATTATGTCATCTAAACTCATATCAACTTTGTCAACCATTTTACTAATTGTATATAAAATACTACAGCACAGACAAAACAGAATAATTCACTAGAACTGCAACCTGACCCGACGCCGCAAAATGGACGCTACAAACACAGAAGAATAAAAGATGGCAGCACTAAAGTAACAAAAACTAAGAGCAACACAATTTGCTATAAACTTAGAGATACAATATTTTAAATATTCCAAAGTAATTTTCAAAACAGCATAAGCACTATTTAACCTCATCCGTGTTTATTTAAGTTATCTAATGAAATTAAACTCATTCTACTTTTAAAAGTAAAAACTAAAAGCTTTAGAGCCTAACATAATAACTGGCTGAAAAAAAAGAACCGTATTTACTACAGCAAAAAAAATAGGAGTGTAAGCACTATAATATATAAATTTATTATGATAGTTGACATTAATTCTTTACGATCACGGGCGGATCTACGGGGGGGGAGAAGGTTTCGGGCTGAAGCCCCCCTCCCCTAAAATGGTAAAATATAACCATGTTTTATCCCAAAAAATAATATAAAAAAAGTATCTCTTAAAGTATTATTGTTCGTGTGATTAATATTAAAAGGGCTTTAGGAATCACTTAAACACCATTTCATATAGGTAGTTAGTTTCTTTCTTTTTTTCCAAAGTAATTATCGTTATTTTTATGAAAAAAAAAGCTTTCGGACTGAAGCCCCCCCTCCAAAATTAAATCCTGGATCCGCTAGTGTTTACGATTGTTTTCTTATTTAATTAACAATAGCAAGGGATTGGTTTTTCTGGTCCTGTCATTATTTTTCAAGTCTAAATATCTCTCTGTTAAAACCTACATTAATAAGCACACAACTAAAACAGCGATTTTTCACAAACTTCCTATCCTCATCCAAACAATGGTTTCGAATTAGAGATAGGTTGATAGAAGTAGGAATGTAAAGTATTAAATTAAAATTGGCCTATATCTTTTAAAATTGGCCTATATCTTTTATTTCCTTATCTGTTCGTTTCAATTCCTTCCCCTCCCCCACATTGTGAGTCAATCTTAAAACCCCCTGAAATTAAAGATTCGATTTCATTCTTCGATTTAATCTGAACTTATGCTTCGTACCACATCATTTACACTTGATCCCATAGTTTATGCCTCCGACGTAGTTTGATTCTAATTAGGGTGTGCTCCAAATCACAGTCGGCACTACAAAGCTATGAAGCGCTGATGTCTTTTATATTCCAGCAGGTGCAGGACCATCAAGAGAAACCAAAGGAACCATGAATAAAATTTTCCAAACCCTTGTAAAATACTAAATTCACCACTGAAACCCAACCTCGTCCGCTATACCATATGCTAAAAAATATATGTAAAGATACTACATAATTATCACATACAGTGTTTCTATATAAATGAAGGAAAAACATTGTTTAACATTGACTAGGGTCGGTGGGGCCGATACCTTAACGGAGCCCCGTCCCTGAAGCATTAGCCCGTACTTTTCTTACTCTCACCTTAGGTCTCAACACGTGGTCGATCTGCTTTTTATTACTATTAGTAACAGTAACAGCACACCCCACGGCAGTACTCGGATGTTGCAACTGAGACACAGGGAGTTGATATCCTTACCATATTACACGAGCTTGCCTCTGACTTCTTTCTTCTAGGAGAGTCTCATTGGTAATTTTCTAGATTCCTAAAAATTATCCCCTATCTAAACAACATAGTTTTACGCTAAAATCTGTAGCTATGTTACTTGAGTTACATTCATATTTAGAAAAATCTAAATAATCTCACATAGAAATGGCGCTTCTTGTTTGTTCTAAGACAAATTACTTCAATTGCACTAAGTGGAGTGAACAAACAGTTGAAATAAAATAAACCAATAATTTATATCGAAAACGTCTGCAAACTGAAGACAGTAGTCGTATTAATATTACGTTTCGGCTTGAGTTTGAAATAGGATCACCACTTAAAGGCTTGTTAACATAGAATGCGATGTGATATCGCTTTTCGCGGTTTTCTATTCCTCTTTCACAGTCATGCGCAATAACTAGTGAATTCTTCAGCTTCAGCCCAAAAGCTTTTTTCTTTTTATTTATTTTTTTCAATACATAACAATAATTATTTTGGAAGAAGAAGAAGAAAGAAACTAAGTAATTATATGAAATGGTGTTTGAGTGATTCTTGATGTCTATTAAATGTAATTAGACGAACAATACTTTTAGGGATAATTTTTTTTTATTTTTTCATAGGGAGCATCTTAGGTCCCATCCTTTACACATTATATACAGCTGATATCCCAACCCATCCTTCAACCGTCCCCACTACCTATGTTGATGACATGTGTGTGTAATCTGAAATAATGAACTAACTATTGCACCACAATTCCTGCAATCACACGTTTCTACCATTGAAGAATGGTGTTAAAATTGGAGGATTAAAATTAATCCCAACAAATTAATTTTACCCTTCATCGTAAACCTACAACATCCTGTCCTACCGTATCCTATAACAATATACGACTGATTCCTGTCGAACAGATCCTTTACCTAGGACTCCTTCTTGACAAACATCTTACTTGGAATCATCATATTTGACTTAAAATATAAGAAACTGCCAACAGATTCCGATTACTACAACACTTACTTGACAAACGCTCTAAACTTCCAGTATTCTACAAAAAAAAACTCATTTACACTACCACCATTTGGAAATATGGAATTGAACCTTGGGCTCTACAAAAACATCGAAATCTTCCCGTATCCCATTTCAATCCCAAATCCTCCGTAAAATCCTAAATGCTCCTTACTACGTCACAAATAAAATTATCTATTGAGACCTCACATTACTCTTGTGGAAGACTTGGTCCAAACTAGATATTCCTCATTTAATTCCAAAGCATTTAGTCACCCCAATCTTCTAGTTCATACCTTTCATCCAATACAATTTCTGACAACCCTCCGAGGCGTGTGAAAAGTAAATGGTCAAGGGACCTCCTAAATTAATTTATCTTTGAAGTGTTACCAATGGGTAACATCTTCACAAGTACTTATCATATTATATATTTCTGTTGCAGATTTACTAGTTGTGTATATCTTTACAGTTTTTTTTTTTTTTTTTTTTTGTTTTTTTTTGTTCTTCCCTACCTCGCCGTTTAGGCTATACGGGATTTTCCCGGGCCGGAGGGTGGGAACGGGGAATTTAAAATCCCCTCTGGCACCGGGATGCGAACTCGTACTTTTCTTGTCTCTCAAATCTTCATATATCTGGTTGGCAGGCGACTCGCGGTGCAGTGCACACGCTTTAGCCTATTCGGCCACCCCGCCCCAATATATCTTTACAGTTGTAAATTTCAATGAAATAAAATTTAAAAAAAAAAATTGTCATAAATGTATTTTAACATTTTGGGAAGGGCTTAAGCCCGAAAACTCCCCCACCCTCCTTTAGATCCGCCTGTGAGCAGAATATGATAATCCGCATAGATACAACCAAAGGGATCGCATATAACATTTCAATTAGTGTCGGTGATCTTTGCTTTGCCATTTATTGTTTTAATAGAATAACTTATAGATTTACCATAAAGTAAAAGCTGTTCCCACCCTATTCCAGTTCTCCCACACTTCATAGCTCAGACTTCTATAACTGGCCAAGGGATAGACGGCCATAATCAACGATTACGATTATAGTTATTCTGATTACGTGATTACACGATTACAATCACAATCAGCTTTCTGATTATGACTTTAATAAGGTAATCGTGTCATATTTTCGATATAGTTATAGTGCTAATGAATCAGTTATAAATGGCGAGGTCATTAAGTTTTATTTTCAGTTGTAATCATATAATCATTGATTCCGATCTTGCTAATCTCTGGGTCAAGTTATAGAAATTTTGAAAAACAGGTAATATAAAATAATAATATAAAATGAAATATTTTATTTAAGTACAAATTCAAGGTAGAAAATGAAGTATTGAAACCACACTAATATAAGAAAGTTTACAAAAATGTTTTACATATGTTTATTATGACGAAATTTTAATTTGAAAACCATAAATGTACCTATATTAAAGAAAATTGTTTCTGAGGGTGTTAATCTTAAAATGAATGGTAATCCATGCTTTTCCGCAGTGTCATACAATCTACCTCATCGATTTTTAGTGAATTTACTTTAATATTGATCTCTTCTTCCAACTGGATCTGAAGTCGTAGTAAATATCTCAACGAAGCTTGAGCCTTAAATAGAGAACATCGAGTAAATAATATAACAAAATGAATACACTAATTCTAATATTGCTAATACTTACCTCCAACAACATCTTTTGTAATTCCGTTACCGACTGTTGGATTGTTGCAACCTCGTTTACTAAGTATATTTCAGCTTCATCTCTAGTGCAATACAAACATGTTAGCAGTATAAACTAATTTTAAGAACTATAACTATTACATGGTACTTGTACACATTGGTGTTTAGCACATAGCTGACTCGCCCACCTGGCGGATCCAGTTCACATTTAACTACCATACCGTCAGTTTTTCTATCTAATTAGTTAATTAATTAAGAGTATTCAGTTTATAGAGGCTGGTGCTGCCCACGGAGGGTGCTCGATTCCAGGATCAATTCACCAACAGTGTAACAGTATAAATAATTATCTACCATAGCCGGACGGTAGGGATAGAATAGGACCACAGCACTTTACTCAATGAGTTACCCCACTCTCTATACACACACACATATATATTTAAATTTAATTATTATTATCTTTTTTTTTGTTTTGTGAAACTGATTTGATAGAAAGTGGCTAAAGTTACATGAGAGCTTGTCTTATAAGATAATATATATACCGCTATCTCTATTCCACCTCATAAATTCGCCAATGACCCAAAGGAAAGTCCACTGAGTTGACACACTACATATTTTTAAAATGAGATATTGCTCCGCAACTTCGAATTCTTTACTTATTTTTCCATTATGGTTGATTTCATGAATTCTTGATAGAAATAGTAGGAATTTTGTTTCGTTAAAACGTAATGCTTGGATTAAGATAAGGTAAGTGACCGTATGCTAAAGGTCAATAAAAAGTTTTAACCAACAAACAATTTACAATAATATTGTACATTTTATCATTTACCATGTAGTGCCTCAAATATGTAATTAAATGACAATTAACGAGCATGTTTTACACCTATCTATTTAATAAAATTTAAAAAAAAAATATTATATTAAATAATTCCGATGAAAAATATGTATCAAAAATAAAACTATTGGATATACATATTATAATCATTTATCTTTTACGTAATACCTGCAAAGCTCAGCATTAGCCCTCTGACATCTGTTTCCTAGTCGGGTATGAGCTAATCCCATAAATCCTTCTTTTTGCGCAAGTGCAGTTTGGAGGTTGTAAATGGTTTGTTGCATTTCATTAACTTGACGTACAGTCTAGAAAAAAAAAAGATGAAATATAATATATTCTAAATGTTATTATGTCAGTTCACCGCTTAATCGTAGCAACGAAAATGAATAAGTAAAACAATTTAGTTAAAACTCAACCCCGCCTTCCACTGATGACTATCGATAAGATGCAAATATTTATTATTTTCCAAAGGAAATAGTCGAAAACCAAAAACAAGCCATATCTTTTCTCTCATCTCACGTTATCACAGCCTTAAATTCGGACCACATCCCTGTATTAATTAATTTTTCAACTGAGCTAAATGTAGTGCCGAAGCGAAAATCACTCATTAATGGAACGATTGACTGGGAATTAAACAAAATCTTAGTAGCTGAGAAAAAATCTGAAAAATAATTTTTCTACTGCCTTGAAATCGAAGAAAATATAAATAAACTAAATGAGTCTATCTCGAATAGTCTACAGGAAGCAACCGTATGACCTTTCCAGTTAGTGAGGAAAAATTTTTCAAGGAGTTGCCCAAAATCAATTCTGTTAAAAATTAAAGAAAGAACCATGCAAGGAGACAGTGGATGCGCAACAGAGATCCTACTTACAAAAAGACATGGATCACCTCAAAACACGTAATTAAAGAAGAACTGGATGAATGGGTGTATTCTAAATACCAAAATTACGTAAAGATTTAGATCCAAAGGGACCAATCTCTGTGGAAGGCTACTCGGCGTGTACTAAGCAAATTTGAGAAAATTCCTAGTCTGGAAGAGAATGGAGGATACATCATCAGTGACGCAGAAAAAGCTGAAGCATTTGCAGATTTACTTTGAGAAAACGTTCTCAACCCAGAATGCGAAAGAAGTCCGCATTCACCAAATGTTGAGTTGAAAATTATTTAAAATTGCCCTAACAACTGTACAGCTTCCGATTAAATTCACAACACCTAAAGAAATTCAAGAACTAATTAGGAGTCTCAAAGTAAAAAAAGTCCAGGACATGACCTTATACCAGTTATTGCTTTAAAAAATTTTCCTAGAAAAGCTCGTTTACATTACGTCTATCTTTAATAGCTGTCTACGCACTGGATATTTTCCCGAAACGTGGAAGAAAGCTGAACTCGTAGTAATTCATAAGCATGGTAAAAACGCTAAACAAGTCAGTAGCTATAGACGATAAGTTTATTACCCATAGTTGGAAAATTACTAGAGTCAGTCATAAAAAGACATCTTGCATCCTTTTTACAACGTAATAGCATTATTCCTGATTTTCAATTTGGTTTTCAGTATAGTCATTCCACTTCACATCAGCTGGCAAGATTATCAGAATTCATAGTAAATGGATTTGAAATGAAAAAACACACTCTTGTCACGTTTTTAGACTTTCAACAAGCGTTTGATAAGGTTTGGCATTGTGGTCTATTGTACAAGCTAAAGAAAGTGGACACGCCCAAATATTTATATGACGTTCTGAGCTCATTCCTCAACGGCAGAACATTTACAGTTAGAATAAATAATATAAATTCAACCTTAAGACAAATCCATGCCGGCACCCCACAAGGTTCTGTTCTTCCTCCCATACTTTTTAACTTTATGTTCACGACATTATTCAATCCACAAACACCTCCATAGCTATGTTTGCCGACGATACAGCTGTCTTTTCCCAACACAATGATATATTAATAGCCAGAAATACACTGCAGTCTTACCTAGTAAATCTAGAACAATATTTAAAAAAATGGATGATTTGTCTCAACACCGAAAAATGTACAGCAAAAATTTTTACTCTTAGACGTCCCTCAGACCCACCTGAACTGATTCTCAAAAATAAAGAACTAAAATGGAACCCAGCTAATGAAGCAGTAAAATACCTCGGAGTTCATCTGGACCGCCACCTTACGTGGAATTACCATATAAAAATAAAACTGACCCAAACATACGCAAGGTTAGCAATGTTATATCCCATAGTAAATAGAAAATCTAGTTTAAAACCAGAGACAACTGTTCTTATTCATAAAACCATACTAAGACCCTTGCTAATGTACGGAAGTGAAGTCTGGGAGCCGCTTCAGCTACGAAAAGAAAAAAACTACAATCTTTTCAAAACAAGGTATTAAGAATTGCAGTAGATGCCCCTGGTTCATAAGAAACGCTCAACTACATCGAGAACTAAAATTGGAAACAATAGATGAATTCATCAAAAAAGATTTAAAAAATTCCATACGCAGCTACCAGAAGTTAAAGGTGCAGTGGCCAACAACATAGGAAACCCAACCTCATCTCGAAGACTGAAGCCCAGACTGATCCAAGACATCATGTTATGAACAATTAATAATTTTTTCTTTATTAATTGTAATTATTCAATAATTATAATGTATAAATAGTTAGGGGTGTCTTTTGCAAAGACTATACCCCACCAGAACAATTGTTAAAAATCATCAAATTGTTACAACAACCATGTAAGGCCCACCAGGCCGATCTGGTAATAAATAAATTTAAAAAAAAAAAAGCCATATCTTTAGTAATACAGAACGGATTTCTATTAATGCTTTTATCATCTAGCTTAATTACATTTAAAATGTGTTCTTATAAAAATTACCGAAATACTTTTTAGTTATTCGCCAATAAAATTTTGTGATCATCAGAACTTTTTTAAACTCTTTTTTGGGAAAATATGTAATGTGCATAGATTTATAGGGTTTCGTAGAGAGTACTTTAGGACAGTTTTTATCAAAGCCAGTTTAGCACTGTATTCGATGGAGAACGGGGTTTACCACAGCCATCTTAAAACAAAATGACGGCTGGCGATGAGACTCCGAAGACACTTCTCCAACACCAACCTAATATAAATACGAAATTTCAACCTTACATTTATATTTATATTTGCCTTCGCAAACTTAAGAGGTGCCGAAATCCGGGACGTTCAAAATTACTTTGTTTTCAGTTTTTCTTTTTTTTACCGATAACAATGACGGGGGGAGTTTTGCGACCGCCAGTGCTGACGTTCAGTCGGAAATCCCGCCACTACCATCGGAGAGCCTGGCCTCGGCCCATGCTAATGCCCTTCAGTGAATGAAATTAAAGACAGCAACGTCTCAGGATCTAAGAAAGGCGATATCAGATTTAGAAAGATTCGAAGGGGAAATTGGAGAATTAAATCATTTCCTCAATGGAGGCAATCGACTGATTGCACGGATAGTAGCCAAGACGACTGAAAACTTGATTGATTCAGGAGACGCAGACGCACTGAAAGCGGCCTTCGTTTGTAGGGTCAAGCAGAGTGTGCTGAATCTGATGCAAGAAGACGAGGAAACGCCGTGGGACGTTGTAAAAGACCGGTTGAAGAAGGCGTTCGGAGGAGGCCATTGGTTTAAGGAAGAGGATCTATTACAGTATTACAGATGTTTCATGAAAAGAGACATCCCCATCACACAAACGAGCAGTACGTGAGAGGGGGGGGGTGGCGAGGTAAAGATACATGTATTTGAAAGGATACCTCGAGAATACGGAACAATAATAGGATACGACCTTCTAGAGAAAGTACGAGCTAGAATTAGAAATAGTGAGGAGAAACGGGTCATTCGGATAATCAGGAGGAAGCATCGAATTAAGTGATCCCAAATCAAGGGCAAAGCCAATATATGCGGAATTAATGACTGGAGAGAAACTTTGAAAAGAGAATACGCAGACATTTTCTTTAAGGAGGAGAAAATCCTGGGAGCAACCGGAAGAATGGCCCTAGTATAACAGCCACCTATAAAGAACCCAGTAAACGAAGGACGGTTTACATTGGACAATTGAAATTTCCCGTGAAAGTCGGAGCAAAAACAGTAAGACTAGAATATCCTGGTCTCTCGTTATACAAATGATTTTTTTCGTTTTGTTGTCGTAATTAAATTTTTCCCAAAAGAGTTGCATATTTTATTTTAAGTTTAAGTTCTTTATTTCTCTGATTAGATGAAAGTCTTAATGTTGAAGTTTACGGACGGGGGAGGGGGGCGGAGGGGGAATATCCGTAAACTGGTAGGAGGGAGTTAAGTTTGCAGCATTATAATATGAGACTTAATCTCATATTCTAATTGTAAGCAATACTTTTTAAAGTTATGGAAAAAGCATTAATGGAAAAGTAATAAAATATAGAAAAAAATATATATATAATAAAATCCTATCTCGGTATTTATATTTGCCTTTGCAAACATAAGTTATATATATATATATATATATATATATATATATATATATATATATATATATACGTATATATAATCAATTGTTTGCTCCACTGCATACTAGAGTCGTTGTTACTTCAAATAATATTTAAAGTAAACTTATATCACTTTGTAGAGATTTAATTAATCTACATATTTTATTCAAAAATTAGTTTAAAAACTGAAATGATATTATTTAACAAACCTCGAAATGCTGATTCTCTAATTTCGTTTTGGTCTCTTTGTATTCACTAATTCTTCCCATAAAAGCTTTATTAACAGTATCATATTGATTTCTTAAATCTTCAACCATTTGGTTAAGAAGAGTGTCAACATATGCTCTTAATGGTTTGCCAACAAGTAATTCTTTTGCTGCTGAATCAATATTTCTTTGAGTTTGAGCAATCCATTCTTCCTGGGTAATAGTCCTGTGCAAAGTTTACAGTATAAATAAATAACAACTCATTAAGAACTATATTAATGTATACACACATATATATATATATATATATATATATATATATATATGCTTCAAAAGAATTTTGATAATACACTATATTTCTCCGCAAGAGAAGTCATATAGTGACAATCCAATAACGGATCAAATAGATTATGTGTTCATAAAATATTCTTGCCGATCTCCACCTGAAAATTTTATGGGTCAGCCAGCACAAGGATCTCAAGCAATAAAAATCAAAGTGAATCGCGATTCTCAAGGATTGCAACAGAGCAAGTTCAGTATCTGGAGGCCAGGCAACTCTACTAAAAGTAGTATCACCAGATTTAAAAATCTGATGCGATGCGCGCATCACACAAGTTTCACTCAATCTTAAAGTAGATAGCTATTTTCATATGTATGTATATATATATATATATATATATATATATATATATATATATTATATATTATCTATAAGGGATACAAATTAAAAACGACTGCATAACTTCATTTAAAACAATTAATTAACATGTTTTTCAATTCTGTTAAATTAATACGTTTGCACCATTTTACATTTCCTTTTACGACTACGTACCAAACAATACTAATGATTATAGAGAAAAATAAATCTTTTGGAAAAATTCTCAGTTTTATCGGAAACAATTATCGCGAAACTCATCGAAAGAATAACTTAACATTAGTAAATATTGCATAATATTAGGTTTATATTAGAAGATTATCAACATTTCGCTTGAAAACCTTTTTGAAAGTTATAGGATAAGTGATATATACAAAAGTTAAATTAACAAGTCCTGTACAGAGAGGTATCGAGCATCTGTAAAGAGAAAGGTACAGGCGCTCTGGGCTGTATCTGTAGAGTATCCAAACGCCTATTTCTCCATAGTTACAAATCAATTTTCTTGATTCATTATATTTTACAATTCTTTATATTATTCAATCATGAGAAATGGTTAACTATTTCAAATAAAAAAAATTAAAGGTACTTTAGAGATAGAAATTTTGAAAATTCGACATTTAAACTCGGTTAGAGAACATCAATGAGAATAAGACCTACTTTATATTAAAAACCGCTTAATTTAACACTGATATAATAAATTTTATCAAGCTCGTTAAAGCTGTTTCGACACATTTTTCGACAATATTGTAAAAATGTGTAAAATCAATAATATAAAGTGGTGCTTCCGGTTACTCAATTTTAACGAAGAAAGTTGCTGTAACATCCCAATCTCGGGAACGAACTCGTAACTTAGATCAGTGGTAATTAAATTAATTTGGGAACCTGGGTCTATCACCATTCTGCATGAATACCACTGACCTGAACTTGACCTGACCTGAAGTACCTGTGAGTTAGTGGTAGCATGGCACGAAACTGCACAATAATTTTTTGTTACTTGAGACTGAGAGAGCTCACTGATTGCATCCGTATGCAACATCGTATGGTAACTCTTTTTGCTACGAACTTGGCAAAAGCCTTTACTTTGGCATTTAGCCAAGCGATGAGGTCCCGTACAAGAAAAGCACAAATCAGACTTATTTAGCAGGTCATAGCGAACATTAACATCGGCATCTAGAAACTGAGGGCAGTTTATAATTTTATGGGTCCATTTACAGACTGGACATTCTAACTTAAATTTTTGATTATCCGATATTTTGCCGGTTTAAATTGTTTTTCGCTGAACTTTAAGCTGTGAAATTTTGGATGTAGAAGGCTCGAAACACATTTCTGCGACTCTAAGTTATGATCCAACAAATTAAAAAAATTCTCCAAGCTAGGAACTGCCTCTTCGCTGAGACTATTCTCAAACATTCTTCTTGACTATGGTCTACAACGTTCACTCCGAGATGCTGCCAAACAAAATCAGCGAGTTTATTGAATTTAAGATTTTTTAAGGCATTTTAATAATCAAATGTATCCAGAAAGCTTCTATAGTTGGACAATCAACAGAAAATTATTTAAACCGTATAATATTGTTAAGATGGTAGGGCGCAATGATCCATTTATTACTAATTTATCATAGGCCAAGCTGTAATTTTCTACGTTAAACTCAATTGAAGAAATGGCCTGAAGGAGGATGAACTAAAAGTGACATGAGGTAAGAACATTTTACTATACCTGTTTAATATCGATGATGAATTAAGGAATCAAATAATGGTTTTAACGAAGGAAATTGTTTGTACTGTCCAGAAAATTGAAGAATTTGTAAATCTAGCAATTTAGGATGCGCTACTGGTTCCGACGTGCTGGGTTGAGAAGTGGGAACTATGTGCTCAGCTTTTATTAATCTCTCATAAGCAACTTTTATCTCATAATAAAGTTCCACCGCTGCTAAAGAAGGTGCGTTTATTTCAATCCTATGTTCTTCAACAGAGACAGAGCTATCTCTCATCTGATAAAGTATAAAACATAAAACCACTATGAATGATATCTCCATATCATTGACCTGTATCCACAGGTTCTCAATTAAGCATTTTTTTCATTATCACAGGAGGCTCTTCTCCCAAGGTTTGAAAAACGAATACTAAGGAGAGATGACAGCCCAAAATGTACAATATGCATGGGTGCTAAAATCGTAGAACTTTATAAGGCATCTAGATGTGTGGTAATAAAAATTAGGTCTTCCTACATATAGCTCGAATTCTAATGATTTATACCAAGAGAAATGTGGAAAGATATCTGCATCAGATATCTAGATGGATGAAGTAGTAGATAATCAACATGACAATGGGCAAGTAAACAACCTTGAGAATCCACAATTGGGGAGCAGCTGCAACAAGACGGGAGGACTAAAAGACAGAATTGTTAGATTGAGTTGTAATGCAATGAATGATGATATCTCAATTTTTGTAATCCTTTTATGCAATGATTGAAAAAATTATTATATGTTTTTTAAATGTAAATTATTTATTTATTTTATTTATTTATTAGATATACATATTTCTGGCTCACAATAAATTTGCAATCTACATTGGTATTCAGCAAATATGATATCAAGGACAAGAAATGATAGCATAAGAAAAAAAAATAATAGTAATAACAAAATATTTAAATTCTTAATTTAATAATTTAATTAATAATTTTTAAGATTTATTCTAATAAAATTAATAATTTTTTCAATCATTGCATAAAAGGATTACAAAAATTGAGATATCATCATTCATTGCATTACAATATAATTTAACAAATTATTTAAACATAATTTATGATGTTTGATTATTAGTTCATTTAAGCCATTAAAAATAATTAAAATAGTCTTCATAAATCTGGTAAGGGAAGTAACAGTAGTAAAAACCAGAAAATGATCAACACAAGTATGTGTTATGAGCACACTCTTATATTTTAAATTATATTATAGTACTATTATTTTTACAGAAATATTTTACAAGATCCCGAGCTAGCCTTTTTGATTATGAAGTACACTGTAAAATGCATATCCAATTTAAACAATTTTCTGTCCTATACTACTATTACTCCCATAAGTTTTTATAAGGAGTAATATGTTTAACTTACGCTGGATTTAATGGAGCTTTTCCATGGTAAATTGATAAGTTCAAATCAGTTTCCTTAAGCCTGGCATTATGTTGGTCTATGAACAAAACATTTGCTTTATCTTCTAAATCAATTTTCAAAGTATAATTCATTGCTCTCAGTCTCCTGATCTGTTCTTTTACTTGCTCAAGTAGCCTAATGATCATGCTTTGCACCCCCTCCATTAATTGCATTTCCCTAATCAATTCTGTTTCTACTTCATCATGGCAAAGATCAAAACTCAAACGAGCTTCTCTAAAAAGTATTTCTTGATTAATTACAATTAAAACTATTAATTTTCACAAATGTGTTTGTAATTATCGAAGTATACTTATACCCACAAACTCTCATATTTCAGTGTTAGCCTATGAACATGAATTTTAAACTATACATTAGACAGTTATAAAAGTAAATTCACATTGTCCCACTCATCCTTTCTATCCTTGTTCTCCCACACTTCTTCAATTTGGCCTTTAGTAACTAGCCAAGGAATACATGGTTATTATTTTAGATTTCAATTCATGTATTTTTTCGTTTCACATGAAATTATATTTAATAATATAAAGTCCAGGCTCTATTGTTTTAACATGTTTAATTGCTTTTGTTTTTTTTATGTTGGCTAGGTTTCCGCTATGATGCCATTTGATTTAATTATACTCCGTATATACAGTCCATACAGTACTGGATTCTAGTTTAAATGGAAGTGTATACACTTCAAATGGCTTGAAAATGGCATCGTAGTCAAACAGCCAATGTAAAACAAAAGTAAATAAATATGGTGAAACAATACAGCCTTACTTTATATTATTAAGATTTTAATAATTTGCAGGAAATGACAACAATAAGAAATAATCAGTAAAATAAAAATTAATTAATAAAGAAAGAAATTGAATAACATACTTAACGGAAATTGTGGATAGGTGGTCATAAAGAGATTAACATAGTGGAAAAACTATTTTATTTCAAGCCAACGTTTCGAACCGACTTAGCAGGTCTTCTTCAGGGCTTGGACAAGATACAAAAGGATATAGAAACTTGTGGAAGTTAAACATTATTTAGATAAAAATTATAAACAAGTTGAATAAACTTAAAATTATAAACAGTGAGCACATTGAACTATTAAGAACAATAAACTATATAAACAGAGTAAATTAAATAACAAGATCCTAAACTGAAGTAAATAAATGGTAACAATTGTTGAGAAGCATTTGATCAAGGGGTGTGGTCAAATAAATACTAAATTATAAAAAAATAGTATTGATAATTTAATACGCAGACGTTTCGACCCACCTTGCAGGTCTTCATCAGGGCGTGGCATCAGAGGAGGCAGTTGATAGACTCAGTACCTGATGTCACGCCCTGATGGAGACCTGCAAGGTGGTTCGAAACGTCGGCATAATAAATTAATAATACTATTTTTATAATTTAGTATTTATTTGAGGGCACCCCTCGATCAACACCTTCTCATATTATATCACGGTCAACCATCTCTACATCATCATGGTAACAATTGTTGTACTATAATATGTGCAATTATGAATATAATCCTACATATCTCAAGGAGAGATTGGAAGAAAAGGAAAAATAATATGAAATGATGGACATAAAGATAAATAAAAAAATAAAATAAAAATAAAAGAATGAAAATAGAGACTTACGGGTGCTTTCAGAAAGGAGTTTCAATTAAAACTGAGGAAATTGGGTAGTAACCATAAGTCTCTATTTTTATTACTTTTTTTTTTTCACATTCCTTTATATCCAATATTTCATATTATTTTTCCTTTTCTTATAATCTCTCCTTTAAATCTGTAGGAGTACATTCATAATTGTATATATTATACTACAACAATTGTTACCATTTATTTACTTCAGTTCAGGAGATTGTTACTTAGTTTACTCAGTTTGTAGTTTTTAATATTTCAATGTACTTACTGTTTATAATTTCAATAAGTTTATTCACCTTGTTTATAATTTTTATCTAAATATTATGTAACTTCCACAAGTTTCTATATCCTTTTGTATCTTGTCTGTTCAAGCCCTGAAGAAGACCTGCAAAATCGACTATCTATATGACTGCCACCCCAGGACATATCGTTCTTCTAAAATATACAACTACCAAGCATTAAGTATTCAACAAAAGTATCAGTACCATCTAATAAATCAATCTAAGACATGAAGTCCCTCCAAGCTAGCAATATAGCTCTAATAAAATATAATTATCATAATATATTAATAAAAAAGATTAATACAGCCCAGTGTAAACATAATCACATCTTTGTCATTACTATATTTCAAAATTATTTTTTATTTTCTATTGTCAAGAGTGAGTACATTTTATATTACCTTCTATTTTCAAAAATGGAGTGGTGTAGGTAGGGTACTAAGCTTCCAATGCTAAAGGTCCCAGATTCGAATCCCGGCTCATGGCAGAAAAATTATTTATTCTGTTTCATTGGCCGTGGGGCGACCCTGGGTACCTAGATCCTTGTGTGGCACACCCAGCCCGTATAAAGTGGGTACCCATAATTAAAATAATTAATAAAGGTGCAAAACCTGGCGGTTGAGCGTGATCTCAGTCAAATCACCTCCTTGCATAACGTAGACCAAGAAACAGTGCTTCCCCTAAACAGTACTGAATCCAGACCCTTAGTGTGTTGTAGTGGTACAGTTTTTTTTTTTTTTTTTTCCATTCTCAAAAGTGAGTTTATTTTTTTTTAAATAATTAAAATTACAACTCCTATTTTTAAAATAAAATCTGATGACACATTACATGTGGAGGAATAAGAATGTTTTATGGGATTTTAGGGTTATTGTTATTGTTATCACCTCTAATTGATTATATTTCTACTTTGTGTGATTTGAAAATTGTGCAAACTCTGGATAGCTGTAGAAAACAATAAATACTACCTCAAAATAACACATTTCTGGCATATTCCAAGAGAATTTGCAGTTAAAGTCTTTTGACAGTTTTGAATCCTATCTTGATAAGTTGTAAGTGCTTCTATTTCTTTTTCCATGTCTTTTTTTTGCTGTTCAAGAATTCCTTTTTGAAATTCAATGTCTTTCACTTTAACTTCTAATTGGTGATCAACTTCCCTGCGGTTTTTTAGGGTCTCATCCGCAGTATCCTCAATAATTCGTTCAGCCTTAAGCATTAAACGGTCAGCTAATCGGTGCTGGTCATCCATAAATCGAAATCTTTCATTGCGAGACGTAAACCATTGGTCTAAAGTGTATCTAGGAGGTTTAGGAGGCACAATAAGAAGAGAACTTTGAGCAAGATGTGACAGATTGTGCATTGGTAATGACATTCTTTCCAATCTATAATGTAAAATTAGATACAGTAAGTTCTAGTACCTCTTAAAGTAATATAAACAACCTAGGTAACAAAATAACATACCAATAATAGTTGAAAATCAAGATCAATTAAATCAAAGTGTTATAATCAACAACTATTCAGTATTAATAAAAACCAAGATGCAAGTCTACAATTAAATTGATCAATAGCCAACAGTTTCCATGGTATCTTGTAGACAATGTTACAAAATAAATAATAATAATTTATTAGTTACTAAGCAATTAATGCCAGGTATTTTATTATAGGTATTTTTATAAACCGATATGAATAGTATAAAAATTTAGGAAGGAAAATAATTGAAATATCAGATCTGTAAGAGAACTAAAAATGTTCATTTTAGGTTTCTAGAATCTTCATCGAAATTAGTCTTTAGTTACAGAAGCATTAAGATCAATATCCAATTTAAGACAATAGCTTGTATTACCGAGTTTCAGTGATTAGTTAATGTGAATACATTATTAACGAACAATTATTAACGAACATCCATTTAACCAAATAGAAAGAAAGTGTCAGAGATCAGGTGTTATGAAGGAAGGTTTCATTACATCCTGAAACCTTTATTATATTTGTTTTAGTTTTTTTTTGTTATTAGAATTAACAATAAGTCTCAGAGTACTTTATTGACAAACCACTGAAAACCGCCCATTCTATAGTCTAGAGTACCCTCAATTCGAAGACAATATTTCTTAGGTATGTTCCTATATCAAATCATCAACAATCATCGCCCTTCTTACGTCTACAACCTTCTCCAATTCAAGTCCTCAGTCCACTCCTTTTTCACAAGATCTCGATCTTCCGACCTTTACATTCCTTCTCACAGATCTGCATTGTTCCAAAACTCGTTTATTGCTAGCTCTGTTAATTTCTGAAATTTCCTTCCTATCAAAAATTGTCATTCTCCCTCCCTATCTACATTGAAAACGCTCGTATTCCAATTTCTATCAACAAAACAAGTCAGATACTCCCTGCTAACCTTTTATGTAAATTTACATATTATTCAAAATGAGTCACATAATGATATATTTACATATAATTCATCACTTAAATACTTACAATCGTCCTATTTTTCTTTTCTTTATTCTGCAGAAACACAGAGCTTATTGCTAAGAAGAATGTAATTTTTTTTTTTTAAGTGTATACTTATGTTTTATCGCTGTACATAGTTTTAAGTGTCTTGGCATGGTTTCAAGTATTTTGTGTATATATTTTTTTGTTTTGTTCATATTATGTTTATCTAATATTTGCTTTACTTTTTACTTTTTATGTTTGTTTTTACGTAGGCCAGATGTAATACTTTAATTTTGTACTTTTTTTTTATTCTAAAGAGACTTCGTCACAGAATAAGATTATTTTCTATTCTATTCTAGAGCTGGGGTCTCCAAGCTTTTTGGCCAAATTGAGACCTCGACTAAGTTCCGCGCATCGCATTATGACGTCCACCCGTACCCCTCTGCCGCGGGCCATGGCTGGTGATGAATAAAAAAAAATCTTGGTCTATAAATGACACTTGAGATCTGAAATGAGCTTTCCAAGAGAAGAAAAACCCACGCAATAAATGGTGCAGTAATTTGCTAAATTTCATAGTCTTAAATAGGTTTTAATATTTTACCATGTAACGAAGAAACTTTCGCAGACTGTATTTTGGAGACCCCAGGTCTAAAACATTGGGGCCTAAAGCACACCCCCATGAAAGCTTCTTTGATTACATGATAAAATTTTAAAATATGAAATTTAGTATATCACTTGAACACAAGTTCATTACAACATTTAATGCATAATCATTAAGTTTCTTTCAAAAACCTTATTTCAAATCTGAATTAATGATAATCGATAAATGATTATGTTTTTTTTCATCACAAACCGTGGCCCATGAGACAGTGGTCCCCCTGGTCCAGAGCAGTAGTTTCCAACAGCTTTGTTCCAGGATCCCACCATACAATTACAAGTCTTAAAATTAATGAAAGTTGAAAATATCTATTCTCTCCTAAACATAGCTTATTAGAAGGGGTGTCCCTTAACATTCTAAAACTAATGATACGAATTATTCCTTGAATAAAAACAAACACTTTCAAAGAGATAACTGTTTAAAAAAACCGTAGTGCTCTTTTTGTTTTCTTTTTTTATGCGTATAATAAAAATCAGATGATTGGTCATTCCTCTCCAGATCACCAATATGTGAATAATTTTTTTCATGAAGAGGCCTCTCCTTAATACGACAGTTTGTCTCACATAGGGACTACATCATTGAACAAAATAGATAGGAGAAATATTATGGGAAAGAGGTAGGGATGCCCTTCTCTCGAATATCACATTCTTTTTTTCCATTTTCTGTTCTTCTTAACTTAGATCATTTAATCGATGTCCCATTGTAAACTCCCACTTAATTAACATGTTATTATTTTTCGACAGAATTAAACAAATTTCTAAATACTTACCGTGTTTAGCGATATTCATTAGTGAGTGAAAGATAACAAAACACCACACAACGTTTTGTTGATAAAACTTTTAACTGCCCAAAAAGAAATTGGATAAAGATGATATAAAGAAGAAAAAACTACTATTTACCGTATGTTGCTAAGCATTACCGATATTTAAAACCTGAAAACCAAAAAATTCTCATGCCTATGTATGTTTCAAACTAAAACTGAGAGAATGAAGTTAATAGTTGGGGCCAAAATAATTTAAACCAGTATCGTTAGCGAAATCAAGATTACATTTTTTAAATATTTAACCATAAAACTACAAACCTCAAAGTTGGAAGACAGTCATGTACTCAAGTACTAATAAAGGCTGTTCCAGTGATTTATGGACTGGAAGATTAGAAGATTAGGAAAAGCAATTAAAACATTCATTTCCTTTCCTTACAGGCAACAGTACCTACTTCCGTTTGGGATCAGAAATATTAAGAAAAAATCAACACGGAAGCTAAATTTTCACGACACCAATATCCTTGGTTCCGGCGAAGATCTACCTACTTCGTTTTCTGATGAAGGCAATATTATGACTTTCATAATATTGAGATGACTGAGTGAACTTTCGTTATTTGTCTTTTATTTAAGTATATTGCTTCAATAATATTAATCGTGTAAGGGACCCTTTAGGTATGATTTGAAAATCAACAGAACAATATCAGTAATGGAATCGATTGAAAGCAATCGAGTAATTTTTTGAAAGAATCGTTCTGTTTACCAATGATTTAAAGTTATAAACAAATCCTTACAGTTAGTATTAATGCCTCAAGCTGTAACAAGAACAGATTTGTTAAATCTCTGTATTTTGGATTACATCAGCTATAACGTTATATTGCGTATAATAGAAATAATTCAAATTTTGAAGTAGGCAAAGATAAAAATATATCCAAATTAATATCTATAATACAGTTATCTTATTAAACTCTGGTCATATTATTCATAAATTTTCAGTTATAAACTTACAAGGATTTTAAAATGGCAGAGAGGATCTTTTTGCGTGAAGTGAGACTGGAAAATATAAATAAAACACTTCTATTTTATCAAAATTCTGTTGGCAATGTCAGTTGTGTTGTATGGGATGCTGCTCTTGTTTTAACAAAATACTTAGAAAAACAATCATCTAAAAGCCCTGGTTGGCTAAAGGGTTTAAAAATAGTTGAATTAGGAGCTGGCTTGGGTTGTGTAGGTGTAGCTGCTGCCTGTTATGGGTCAGTAAGTCATATTTTCAAGCTATTACCTTTAGTCATTAAAATTATGATATACTGTGACTCCAATAATTTTATAATTCTAGGAGTGATGTGATTTTGACTGATTTGCCAGATGTGATCCCTCAATTGGAAAAAACAATAGATCTTAATAGAGCCGCATGGAACGATAAAGGCAAAATTTCAGCTGTTGCTTTAACTTGGGGTAGAAATAAGCCAGGAGATTTTGAATTTATTCATCAGCCAGTTGATATCATACTGCTATCAGATTGTGTTTATTATGAAGAGGTAAATCTTAACCAGTTATTACCAAGTGTTAATTTGTTTTTAACAGATATTTCAATTTTTTTTCTTCATTTTTAGTCTGTTGAGCCACTAATAGAAACATTGAAATCATTAAGTAGTAAGTCTACTGAAATTTTTGTATGTCAAGAACAAAGAGACACTGAAAAAATGAAAGCTGTATGGAAATCTTTTATGAATAAGCTTTATGAAGATTTTACTGCAAGTAAAATCTCAGTTTATGAACAGGATGAGCTTTATGCCAGCCCTGATATTGTTTTGTTGAAAGTTAAAAAAAAGTAATGATGAATAGCTATGATGATATATATTTAATTCTGGGTTTTATGAACTTTTTTTCTTTATAGGAGCATGGTCTTTTTTTTTTATTTAACAGCCAAAGAGATGGCTTAATTGTTTTAATAAAAATTATTTAAGATACTTACGTATTTCTGTTGATTAATAACAATTGTTCCTTACAAACTTTTTTGTTAAATGAAAATTACTTTTCCTGCTGGTTATTATTTTCATTAGTTAGTCTTATTTTTAATAAAATGCAATACTTATCCTTGCAGACTTAATTACGTAAAACAAGAAATTCTCTTATTTCACATATATGTGATTGAATTTAAAAACTGACTTGAAAGAAGGCCTCTTCACTTCAGTTGGATGGCTGTTTGCTGACAAAGTTTTTTAACAAAACAGTATGTTTAAAATTGTTTAAAGAAAACTTCAACGTGAACAATATTTTTATTTATCTCCTTCTGGTAAAAGTATACCTTTGTCAGTTATCAAATGCCATCTCCACATTACCACTTTTCATCTCTGTTTCTATTCAGAAATTGGCAATGGTACATATCAGTGTCAGCTTTAAACATTTGGCGTCCCCGTGCAATAACATCATTCCCCCCTAAAAAAATTTAATTTGTTTCTTAAGCTGTTTTATATTTGAATTTTATTTTATTTAACATTTCTCTAATACAGTTGCTTTATTAATAGACCAAAGTTAATTGTTTTAATATGTTTTGTATTTTTTTTTTAATTTCTAATAAGTGGTAAGCGACCCTAAAGATCGGTCGGCGCCCCACCCTAATGTTAGCACTGATATATATATATATATATAATGATTTTTTTTCTGCAACCTGATTTAAACAAGCCAACATATAGTCATCTGTATTTAATTGACTTGACTTCTATGTGCTTAATGTTTTGTGTTTTTATTTTTATAATCTGATCTTAAATTAAGAATAAAAATTGAAAATTCTCGCAAATACCAAATTGGAAAGGAGAAAAATATACACCTTAAAGTTTTATTCAGCAGTTTAAATATTAACAATAACTGAATATTTTTAATTATGAATCACTGTACTCTCCTGCAATTAAATTAGACCATTATCCGCTTAATTAGGGGAGAGGTATAATCGAAAACACTTGTAAGAACTGGCTAGGAAAAAAATACTGAAGTTGTTTTACATAGCAGATTTTAGAATGCAAAATGTAATTAATATTAATTATTATTAAGTCATTCAACAGAGCTACTAATAGAAAACCAGTTTCTTACTAATAGATTGCTCTATCAATTAAACCTGAATTAAATTATACCAATAGAGCATATATTGGACGCTTGATATAGCTTTGAAAATATGAATAGATAAAACAAGATACTTGAAAATATATATTTTTTTATTTCAAGAAGCAAGCACAATAAATTCTTAAGAGTATCAAAAAATATTTTTTTAAATTATTGCTTAACTATTTAAATAAAGTAGTATTAAAAATGTTATTTGTTAATAAATATGATTTTTTTTCTTGATTTATTTTTTTAATTAAAACATTAAAAAAAATATTAATACATTATTGAACTATGCAAAATATTTTCTTAAAATCATTTAAAAAACCTCTATGTGGATGAACATCAGGTACTAATGATAAATTCTTAATGTGGTTGGCAGCTGTAATCATAATTCCAGTTTTTTCTGGAGGCGTGTTTTTTTGAAAATAAATAAAATGTTGCTTAACATTTTCCATTCTCAAGGCCATTATTCTTTCTATTTCCATAATATCTTCAACTTCCATCAATGTTATCAAATGACAAATAGCTGTACATAACTAAAAAATAAATTAACATTATTACATAGTGACAAAAATTAATATTTAAAAAAGAAACTAAAACAAGCACATTCTTAACATACATGCTGCTTGAGACTGTCCTGATGTTTATATTCTTTAAAATCAGTCATGTTTGCAGCATTTTCTAAACCATCAAGTAATGACATAAAGACAAATGAATAATGATTACAGAAATAGGTTCTTCTTCTTATATTGCAAAGTGCAGTGGTAGCATTTGCTCGTACTTTAAAATTGTTACAAGAAACAATTAAATTGCATAAAGTTTTTAGCAGTGATCCCTACAAATAAAGAATCTACATACATTATTCGAGTTTAAAAATTGAAATTTTAGATAAAAGCTATTGCTAAAAATTATACCATCCACTTCTCAGAATGATTGTATAATTCTACGTTTCCCAACATAGTGCCAACAGCATAACAAGCGTTCCAGCGCATCTATAAAAGAAATGTATTGATTGTTTAAGCTAGAAATGACAATTTAACAATATTGTATGTGGTAACATATAAAAAAAAAAATCATTCATACAAAATATAAATGTGTACTTGTGTTATCAAACTTAACTGATATATTATAGCACTGACATCTATTTCGTGTCTTGCATTTTAATAAGCAAAAGTTGTGTTGCCATGAGTAATTTTCATAATCAAATTGTATTTAAACCATTTAATTTCACCCCCAAATTGAAGGGAAAATATGCATATATTTTTAATTATCATACTGTACTTTTAACCTTTATTTAAAAATATCTGTGTTCCACAGTGTTTCTGTATTCAATACAGAATACATGACTGGAGTGCATGGGCGGATCTACAAGGGGAGGGGGGGCTTTCGGGCTGAAGCCACCCCCAAAATGGAAAAATATAACCATGTTTTATGGAAAAAAAAATTTAAAAATACCTCTTAAAGTATTATTCTTCGTGTAATTACATTTAATAGTACTTAAGGAATAACTTAAACACCATTTCATATAAGTAGTTAGTTTCTTTCTGTTTTTCCAAAGTAATTATCGTTATTTTTATGAAAAAAAAAAGGTTTCGGGCTGAAGCCCCCCCAAAATTAAATCCTGGATCTGCTAGTGCTGGAGTGCATCTGATTAACTGAATAAGTTTCGTTTGCTATGCATAAAAATAAAAGATCACAAAGAAATTGATAGCTTTAAACACTTTTTTTTATTTTTGACTATTAAAAAAAACCTTATCATACTTAAGTATAATTTCTCTGTGTGATATAAGTAAATATATATTGGTTTGATTCTTTCTTAAAGAACCTAAAAGCAAAAGCGACATTATATTGTTTTCAATAAATTAATAATAACTAAACTATTTCTTTTGAGGTTAAATAAAATATTTATTATAATGCCGTGAGCAGGGCTATTGTATGCTATGGAGCACAGTGTTGAAGATCCATTGGTATGATCCAATAAATTTGTTATTGAAATTTTTCATTAAAAAATTAATTCTTATGTTTAGGAACATACAACCCACCTGCCTTTATATTATGAAATTCTGCTGGAAATATATAAAAAAATGTCTTTCACAGCCTCAGTTAGATATCATAATATATTAGTTAATTAAAAAATAAAAAAGGAAGATATTCTTTTACAAAGAGCGGGAAATTTTGAGTAAGTCCTACGGCATTTTATTAAGTAATCTTCATAATAACAATATTAATTGAGATCACCAATAAAATAAAAATAACTTTGATAAAACAATATAAATTAGCAGCAGAGAATAGTATCATATATTACAATATGTTGTGTTTATACATAAACAACTCAAGTTTCAACCAGGCTTACTTAGTGATAGTAAATTCACTCTATCTCACAAAGGACTCTATCTTAATCAGTTGGATGTTCAAACTTAGAGATGAATTGTTATATTTGTATAGGTTTCAATATATAGAATAAATTATGTTCTCCAAGTGACCTTACATACAGTAGAAGATATTTTTCATTTTCTAGCTTTATACCTCTTTCTGGCTTGATTAAGAATAAAATATAAAAAAACATTAGATGTATTATAGTTTAAAATTGTTTTTAATGGTAAATATTGAAACAAACATGTTGGTTATTGTAGAATATCCTAGCATTACTGGTATGAATTAATCAAAATGTCTTTAATTTAATTTAAATATTAAAAACCCTTGCCAACATTCTAACTGAAGACTACGATTATTTGAACAAAGTTACTAAGTTTTCAAAAGAGACAAGACTACAACAAGAATTAAAAATGTAATCAAGTTCATGAAAAATTTTAAAAATGGGCAGTAATTATAGAAATTTTTCGCCGTCCATAACTAAAATAAATAAATACAATTATTAGCAACCATGTTCAATGTGTAATATATTGAGTTGTCTGGAAAATAATGCAAGATTTTGAGTTTTCTTTAAATTACCCCTTTATATAACAATTGTTTACATTTACTAGATTATTCATTTGTATGAATATCAGTACTTATTAATCCTCTTTGAAACGATAATTTTTATTTACCTCTGAAGCATTCGCTGCTTAAAAATAATTCACTCTTTACTAAGATGTCAACGTGTGATTTTAGTATAATTTTGTTTTAAGAGTTTAAACTCGGCCAGAAAGGGGCCCAGACGGCCAGAAACATCAATCAAGTCTGGGGCGAGAGCAACATTAATGAGTGCACTGTTCAAAACCCAGAACAACTGTTTGAGAACTTGCAGGGAAACTTAAACTTAGCAAATCGACCAGCTCAAGGCGATTGGAAAAGTAAAAAAGCTTGAAAGTTGGCTTCCATACTCATTTAAACAACCTCCAAAATAACCAGAATAATGAAGTTCGTGCTACATTTCTTTGCCGAAACAAAAAGACCCTTTTCTGTCCAGAATTGTTACTTGTGATGAAAAGTGGATACTTTAACATAACAGTAGACGTTCTGGACAGTGGCTCAACAAAGGAGAAGCAGCAGAACATTTTCCAAAGCCCCCAACTCATCAAAAAAAACATGATGGTTACTGTTTGGTGGACTTCATTTGGTTTGATACACTAAAGTTTCTTAAATCCTGGAGAAACCACCAATGCAGAATCCTATTGTAATCAAATTAATGCAATGCATCAGAATTTAGCAATAATGAAGCCATCTTTGGTCAATCAGAAGGAGCCCATTTTGTTACATGACTACGCCCAGAAACATGTCTCACATTTGATGTCACAAAAACTATCGGAGCTTGGATATATGAAACTCTGCCACATCCACCCTACTCTCCGGACCTCTCGCCTAAGGATTATCATTTTTTTTAGACACCTAGACCACTATTTACATGACTAAAAATTTAATGGACAATGGAAATAATAAAATGCTTTTTGTAATTCATCAATTCTAAAGATTGCAAATTCTATATAAAGGGAATGGAAAAGTTCTCAACATGTTGGCAGAAATGTATTGATAGTAGTGGAGACAATTTCGATTAAATAAAACAGTTGTAATTCTTTCTTTTTAAACCAAAATCATGCATTATTTTCCAGTCAACCCAATAGAATAACTGTTGTATCTGTTGATAAAGGGGGTAAACTGTAATTATCCTCTTTTTCTTTCTTTTTTTCAGCCTTGACAATGTGTGACTTTAAAAGCTAAAAAAAAAAAAAAAAAACTTTATTCAAGCATACCTTATAGTAGTAGCGTAGTGACTTCAGTCCTATAGGAAAGTATTGCTGATCAAAACAGTAGTGTATAATGTATAAAAATTATGATTGAAATTATCTTTATGAAATATTTTAAAAACAGTAGGTAATTAATGTTTTGAAAAAGTTTTTTTTGTTTAACAATCAACCCGCCATTTATATAAGATATTAGTAGAGACGAAGGGAACTATCTATTCTCTAAATTTCAACAGCCATTATTTTCGCAATCGCAAGTGTTTTAATAAAATCCATTGCAGCTCTAGAAACAATAAGGGTTTGAGTAACTTAACATAAATAATTGTTTAGATTTAGAGAACTTACCTTCATTTTTGTTCCTGAAGAAGTGCATTTTAGAAAAAATTGTACGGCCTTTTCTAGCAGATTCCTGCACTGAATATCTTTCAAATCTTCTTTTGATAAAATGCTTAAAATATAACCAATAGCTCTGAGTATGTTGGACTTCACCTACAAATTTGAATATATATAATTATTGAATACATCTAAATCATTAATTAATAAATCTTTGTTATAAGAAAAGACTATGAATTAGATTCCTAAATTTTTACATAATAATGATAATGTATTTATAAGCAAATATAAATTATTTCCACTTTTGTTTCTAAAAAAAAAACTTATAAAATATATAAGTTTATAGAATATACTGTATTTACATTATGGTGAATGCACTAGTGATGGACAGGTTTGACTTTAAATGTGACTAATAAGCTTCCTTGTTTAAGAACAATAGGCATTCTAAAATTTTCTTTTGGGGACTTAGTTCATACAGTTGTCAATAGACGGCATTGTTCTTCATGCTAGAAAAAAATGGTACTTTTAATAGTACCCATATTGGTTTTTAAAGAATCCCTTTTTGGTAGTTGGAATTGAAGGTCTATCTTCCTTCAAGCACCTAGACACTAGATGAAAGAACTGAGAGGTTCGTTTGTTAAGTAACTAACCTTGTTTGTCACTATGTAAATAAAGGGCAATATGGCTTCTCTCAAATGTTTTCTTGGGTGATTCATTATGTGACTGGCCTTGTAACCAGTCACTACCGGCGTGGATGTAACCTTAAAGAGAACCTTAACATAAATCTTACATAAGGGAGCGAGATGGCCAAGCGGTTTAACATGTGTGCACAGTACTGCATGTTGCCCGGCAATTTGATAACTGAAGTTATAAATGAAAAAAATAATGAAAAAATCGGTGTCGGAGGGTCTTTTAACTCTGGTATTATTCCCTGACCCAGGAAAATCCTGAATAGCCTAAAAGGGGAGGAAAAAAAAATCTTACCTACAACTTTGGTCTATCTTGATCTTTTTCTCGCCAATAGTAAATGACTATGTCTGAGATCCATAAGTGAGAATAGAGATTATGCAAGAGTTTAATGTAATTATCTTGAATTTCATTGCTATATATCTTTTAAAAATAGACTTTAGGATCCATAATTTTCAGATAATTATGAATCTATTTTATTTTCGAAGGAGAGGTTATTGATAATATCTCTAGTTAGCTAGTAATATAATTATAGCATTTTATAAACGATGATCTTGGGAATCAGATTATAATAAGTATCTGTTTAAAAAGGTCTTTTCAATTTCGATAAATAATTGCTTTATTTCAAATTTGGATAAATTGGATGTGATATCACAACTGCTGAGATATTATTTCCTGAATTTAATTTTGTTTGTAATGATAAATAAAACCCAGAACTTTGTTAGGTCATAAATCAACTAAATCTCAGATCTAAATTATAAAAAAATCATGACAAAAACACATTTAAAAATAGATAATATCACTAAATAAATGAGATGAGCTATATATATTTTTAGTGATCTAATATGGCAAAGAAAGAAAACAATTTCTTTTAAAATAATTACAAAGATAACTAACTTCTAAAACTATTTATTTATAAGTCTTTAATATTATATGAAATCAAAATCCACCACTATAGTAATATATAACCATTCATTTATTTTAATAATAACAACAATTTTATAATCATAGTGATAAGTTTGTTAACTAACCAGTTCATCATCTTTCACAACAGTAAGACATGTTGAAAGAAGTTTTTTCATATTAAAATGGTTTAAAAATTCGGTGGATCTGAAAACAAAGAAAAATAAATAATATAGCACCATAATAAAGCAAGGAAATAAAATTAATTGTAAAAAGAATATAATACATAATTTATTACTCATTATTAATAAGTAAATCAACAAGATTTCCAATTGCCCATGCTGCCTTAATTCTAACCATAACATAACTATCAGAAAGAGATTTTTCCAAAAGATCTCTTGCATCATATAAAAATTGTTCCTGAAAAAAAATCAGGTTTAATAAACTAAAATATTATTATATTATGAATTTAAGTAAAATGGTAAAAAAAAAAAATAAATAAATAAAAAAAAAATAAATAAATAAAATAAAAATTATAACCTGGGATAATTGAGGAAACAATAAGAAAATGCCCAAAGTGTGAACAGCTGCAACTCTTACTTTTGGTTTTTCATGATTTACACAACCAAATATTAAAGTAATAATGAGGATTTGTTCTTCTTGCTAAGAAAAAAGAAAATAAAACCTTTACATTTTTTCTTTTTTCGATCAAAAATAGATAACAGATAAAACAAATCACCTTCAGACTGTTAAATATAATAGGCCCCATATTAGCTAAACAATCACATGCTTCACAAGCTATCTGATCAGGACTTTGTAATAAACTGATTAATGGACCTTCCATAAGTTTATTCCACACTTGCTTGTTATAAAGTTCTAATTCAGCTAAACATAAAATACAAAAAATATAAAAATTAATTATTATTTAGTAGTAGGGGGGTACCCCCCATCCTAACAGAAGACCAACCCCCATTTTACAAATTATACAACTGTTCATTAATTGTGCTACTCGTTGCTCAAATTGCAAAACTGTAATTTACATGTATTCAGTGGTTCAGATTGTATTATTTTTTATAAACATAAAATAAACGGAATGAAACAACAGTTCAGACAAATTTTTAATGGACAACCTCCCAAACAAATTCTCGAGTATATATTATGTATAAAACAAACAATATAATAATATATATAAACATAAACTTATATATCGACAGCAATAATTTTTGTGGAAAGTGAGATTTTGAGCTTTTCCGATCATTCTTGTCCTGGCCTATATTTCGATCCCATAAAATGAAATATATATACCATTTCTTCTCTATGGCCTTTCGTAAAAACTTGTAAATTGTTGAAGTAAAAACATGTAAGTTACAGTGAAGGTTGTGAGTTAGTTTCACTACCGAGAAAATGTAATAGAATGCTCAATGAAAGGTGGTCATGTAAATATAGAATGTATAAATATATCTGTCCTTCCGGCCCTATTATCAGCCACAGAAAAACTTCAAGAAGACCTGAATAGTATTTGTGACTGGGCGAGAGCTAACAAGTTGAAGTTGAATGCAGAAAAGAGGAAGGCAATCTTAAAAGGCTCCAATCACCTCCTTGAAACTGTTACTAATATTCCAACTCTGTTTCTCTACGATAATCTCATAAAATTGTATCTCTCTATCAAAAACCTCGGAATGATCTTTGATCAAACGCTTTCCTGAAAAATTATATATCCAACATCCCCCGCCACACCATTTCCACCTAAAAACGTCTAAATTACTCCTGCCACCTATTTCTCCTTGAAACCCGTAAACTCCTAGTAACTTCCTTAATTTTCCCCCACTTTGACTATTGCTGTATGGTATATAGAGGCGTCTCTGGGGAGCCACTTTATGATCTTGAGGCAAAATTAAAACGTTTGATAAATTGCTTTGTACAATTCATCTACGGGATCCCAAGAGACACCTCTGTTTCCCATTTTTATGCAGAGTTAAAGTGGCTTTATCCTTCCTACCATCGTAAGTATTCTCTGGCATTCTTCTTCTTTCAAGTCATCCAATCCCACCGTCCTTCAAACATCTCCGAGATCCTTCAATTCAAATCCTCTGTTAGTTCCCACAATACTCGTCTCTGGCTTCTGATTTATACATAAGGGCTCACCGAACCACTGCTTTCAACAGATAAATCATTATCCGATTCTCATTCCTATGGAACTCCATACCTCTCCACATCCGTCAATCCAATACCCTTCCTACCTTTAAATCCCCTCTGTTCAATCATTTCTTATCCATCCAGTCCTCATAAAATTGTAAATAGTTACTACTGTAAATATGTATCTAAATCTGAGTACTTTCAAATCTCTCAAGGCATATACGAGCCTTTAGGTTAACAGAATGACTAATTCCTACTTAAACATTCTTCATCATTAATTTTCGTAATGTTCCTAGTAGCAAAATTTATACCTTTGTTCAAATTTCTATATTTCAACACTGCAATCATTTACTCTGGAATCAACTTACACACTGTCTGTTTAGATAACTTTTTAAAACTAGAAATATCACTAAAATGACATTACTCAAAAATGTTGAAATTGGAGTCAGTCATTCTGTCAACTGAAAGGCTCAGAGACTGAAGTTATGTGGTTTATGCATAAATGCAGATGGAGAAACTAGATTTTTATTGCCTATATAAATAGATATAATAAATAGACTTTTTGTAATTTTAATGGTCTTAATGATTTGTTATCTGTAAGATTAAAGCTTTTTATCACATTTTAAAAATTAATCACATTTAAAAAAAGCTCCGCTTAAAATGCACTTAAAAAATTTTATAATAGCCCAACATTGCCAAAAAATAGTTTCTATTCCAAGTAGAGCTGTAAGTGAAAGTTGTGTGTTGCGGGCACCAGATTTGTACCGTATTTATTTGTTTTAAGGGTTCAAATGACTGGCACTTATTGAAACGGGGTTGAGACTACGCTCGTATATTTTACAACATCACTCTCCCCAACACGTACAACATAAATTTGTTTTTATATCAACATAAACTCAATGTAATATTAACAGTAATAAAATATTATAGACATAAATGTTTTTATTTTCTTAATTTGTTTGCATTAACATTGATAAAAATGTTTGACAAGACAATCATAGAACTAAAGCTGATTCGGAATAAATTTTTTTTTTTTAAAAAGCAAAGAAAGAAGCATTATAATAGATATATTTTACTTACATTTTCCTATTAATTGTTCAAGAAATTTATTTAAAGCAATTACTACATGAGTTTGTTCTTCAAGACTTGCCCTGCTCAAGTTAGAAAAATAAATTTTATCCATGAACTGTATGTTATCTTGTATTATATAAAAGTGATGTTTGCATAAAATACCAAGTATCTGCCAACATATAATGCGAACCTTTTGTTTACAGGTTGAATCCTGAAAAATCATTTAAAATAGGCTATTATTTCAAATAATCATTAATTCCATTAGTTAGTATATTATTTATTATTTACATAATTCTTTTTAATTTGTTAGTCCAAGACAGATAGACAAATTTTAAAAGTTACATCAACTTTCTTTATTAAAATAAAAAAATAAATGAAAGTATTACTGGAAATGATTCTTTTAATTATGAATTTACAACATAACTTACACAAACTTTCATATAAATGATTATTAAACTCAATGTTCATCATTTACTACGTATTTAGCTACAGAATAAATTAATTATTTTGACAAATCTAAGGGGATATTATGGAAATGCGTGTTTTTTTTTCTTTTGCTAAGTTTTTTTAACAAATCTTAAATATATTTATTTAATAGCAGAAGTAACTGCTACTAATTTGTTCCTATTTTACTCTTTATATTACTCAAAAAATTACTTCAGGATCATCTTGATATGTAGAAATCTTGATAAAAATAAACCACAAAAACATGAACAGTTTTAATTAGGATATAAAAACTATTTTTTTCTTATGGTTAAAAGTTCTGTTTTTATATTTATTTATACCATTCAGTGATTCATGAAACACATTTACCGAAGCCTGAAATCATAAAATCTTTTACCATCATAAGTAAATTAGACAAGAACAAAAAAAAAAGTTCTTAAAACCTGCCTTGTTAACACAATGAGATTCTTTCAGAAAAATATTACTACTACATACAGTGAAAACAGTATTGAAAATTCAAAGATAAAAACATAAATATACTACATTAAAAAGGATAAAATTCATTAATGAAATTAAAATAATAGACGATGTTCAAAACATTTTAGAGATACTATCTATATATTAAGTATAATTTAATAAAAATTCATTTGAGTTATTTATTAAATCAATAAAAAATCGAGATAAATGCTGACTATTTAATCAATTCCTTTATTCCTGTTAGATCTGTGAAAAGAAAACAGCATCTATAAATAAAATCCTTAATCTTGAAAGATTTGTGAAATATGAAATATCCTAGTCCAAAGAATAAAAACTATTTATTAATTCCCTATAATGGAATTCTTTTCTTTGAAAAACAAAACAAATTCAGAACATTTTTTTAATTTGATCTATAAGATTATTATAAATAAATTTCATACTAAAACAATAAATAGTTATAACTACGCTCAGAACAGGTATGTAATAGCAACAATTGAAAATCCCTGGTTTAACCTTTTATGAAAGGAATGAGAAGCACCAAATCGGTCGGCACTGTACAGACAATGGGTTAATGATGGGCAGTCAAACAATATTAACCTCAATTTTTCTTCCTTATTTCAGTAGTAACTCAATAATTCTCAGGACAATCAATCATTGCATAATAAGTAGTCAGAGATGCAAAAGACTAAAAGCTACCAACATTCAAATCCAATAAAAGAATTATAGCAATTTAATTAATCCTCAAAATATGAAAACGGGATCTGATAATTTCTCTAGGCTAGAGGCCCATTTAACTGGGCTTATGAGGTGAGGAAGTTGGCCAATGAAGCACTTATATAAAAATTCATGCATTTAGAACTGAAAGTAATGATGCATTACTTCTATTTCATTCTAACTGAAGTCATCAGAATGAAATAGAAGTTTTTAATAAATCAACCTTATTTATTTAAAGTTTGAGCTTTTAATTATATTAAAAATATCTATCTTATTAGAGTTTGTCAATGAGGAAATTCCCCTTTTCCTAACGTTTTAAGACAAAACATTTGAAGGCATTTGCACTCAATAAATTTGCACTTTTAAACCAGAACAAACAAAACTATATAATTTATATAATATTTACTTATCAAATGTGATTTCATACCTGAAAATAATAATTTAAAGAGAATTAAATTAATAATCTTTATATATTGTCGGCACCATTTTAAAGTAACGAATGTAGGTCTGTTTAACATTGCACATTCGTTACTTTAACATAGTGCTGACGATAGGATTTCCCAAAGATGTTTTTTTGTCTATAGGCTATATCTTCATTAATACTTGATCAAAGCCAACAATTAAGCTATCATTTTGGAGATTACCATTCAGAGCCAAAAAATAAGTACATCTCAGAAAAATTAGAAAAAAAATGCGAAGTAAAACAATTTTTTTTGTCCAAAACTCAAAAAATAAATAATTAATGATTGATTATAGGTAATAAGAAAGGTTTCTTAGAATGTCCTACTAAACAAAAATAACAACATAAAAATCTGATCTTTATTAGCAAAAATATACCCTATTTGAATTTGTACAATTGTTTTGGTTTCTTATTTTTAATCGTTCACTGACCTGTATATAATTCAAATTATTTGCATGGGCTAAACTTGTTAGATCATTTTAGAACAGAAATAAATTAATATTTTATTTTATTTTAAAATACCTCTAGTAATGCTGCAGTTAACGATAAAATCCAATAGGAAGTTTGAGAAACTTCAACTTCCTTCAAACCTTTTAGGATTTCTTTCTGTTCTGCAATATGGGGTTCAATACATACGATTTCATACAAACATTTTAATCCACCCTCACATACATCAGGATCTGTTTAGAATTTAATATAATATTTTATTAATTGCAATTACTTATAAATAATTTATATTTAGTACTACAAAAAAAAAAATTCAATATCAAGTTATAAGTTCAATGAGAACATAGTAAGCCTAAAGTCTAAATTGAAGATAATAGCCAACACACACAAAAAAAAAAAAATATATATATACACATATTAATGCTAAATACTTATAAAATTGAGATTTTTTTTTTTTCATGTTTCAATGTCAAACTATTCGTGTTACCTTACTTTCTTCTTCAAATAAATTTAAAATTAATAGTTCAAGCAAGGAGGAAGACATTGAAATGTCTTTATTGGTATTGACGAATAAAAAGGACTCAGAGAATATGGAGTCATCCAAACTTAAACCAGAACTTTCATTGTCGGTTTTTTGTTGCAGAAATATAAATGTGAAGTATTTAATTTAGAAAATGAGGAATATTTAATACGAAAACTTTTTTAACGAAAAAAATTTTTAATAGATAAGATTTGAATAGGAAGCAACCTTAATTAAATAAAATTAATATATTTCACAACTAACTAGTTTCAGGCACCATGCTTGATTTATATCATGCTGCACAGTTCCTACACACTTCGAGTCTTTATTGCTTTGAGTCAGTCTTGCCTCATGAGCAGAGAATCGAACAGTGTAATAATCCACAAATAATGACTGATTTTTACCACCGATAGCATAAGATTTCTTTCACAATAACTTTTAGTTTTTATTTTATAACCAATCATTGAATAGCATCTAAGATATATAAACAATAAAGAAAGCATATCAAGTTAATGGGTCATATTTTTGAAGTCAGATTTAGAGCTATGATGCAAAAAGATTAAGAGTGAAAGTTTTCACTATATAATAATACATAAAACAGAAAAAATATATAAATATTAAGCCAAAATGAATAGTTTTTCCAATTGTTCTATTTTTTTTTAGTACCTTTGTGCAATAAATAGGGTTGCAAACTGTAGAAGATGTTAGAGAGCAGTGAAGGTCTAAGCCTATGATAGGGGCTAACAGAGATGAGGGTAGCTGTTGTGTGGAGTAAAGGAGGAAGTACAGAACTAGGAGTTCCAGAAAGGCAGCTGCCAAGGCAAGTATGTAGGCTTGTTATCAGTTCTGACAATGACTCAGAAAATGCCATAAATGATGTACTCACACTGTTAACAAAGAAATAGGCTTAAAATTTAAAAACATAACATCTGGAAAATCATAAGATTTAATTATTTTATTTGATTAATTAATCACTAACATTATAGTCCATGGCACATACCCTTTTTTATCAAATTATTAACATCAGGCTGAAACTTCATCTCATCATAACCTACAAACATTCTATTTACAAAAATTCTTGGAATTGGGGCGTTTTCAATTTGGAGGTCAGCAAACTTTGTCTATTTAATTAAGTACTAAAAACTCATAAATATCCATTTTCTTTCCACTTTAACCATAAGATAAGTTGAGCACAAAGTCGAGATAAAAGGTGGCCTTAAAAAATATTGAATCGTTTGCCGTGACCTACACCTCCAAATTGTCAAAATAACGATGTTATATAGGCCAAACGGCTCGATAGTTTTGAAGGCGACCTTTTTTCTTGATTTTGTACTCAAGTTATATCAAAGTGGAAAGCAAATGGGTACCTAATTAAATAGACAAAGTTTGCCAATCTCCAAATTGAAAACGCCCTAATTCTGAAAATTTTCGTAAATAAAATATTTGTAGATTACGATGAGATGAAGCTATTTACGGATGTTAATAATTTGATAACAAGGGGTTTGTACCATGGACTATTATAAGAAAGTGAAATATTGAAATATCTGTAGTAAAATGAAACTATTAACAAAATTAAAAAAGCTTGATTAACAGAAAAATATATTAATAAACTGTAAACATTAAAAGAAGTATAAAAACAAAATTTATTTTTATTTTTATATATTTCTAATCTGTTTTCACTCCATAACCAGCTTTAAGAGTACAAGTTATAAATATTTAACTTTACAACATAGTTAACAAATTTATATTTATTGACAATTTTCTTCCATAAGTCCAATTATCTTTTGTTATTTTTGTTGTGATTTCTTTCAATTGAACTGGCAAATACATTTTCCCTGAAATTTTATTTCTGAATTGAAATTTCTTATTAATATTAGTTGATAATACTTCTTGTCACCAGCAACTATCTGTAGATATGAATCAAATTCATCTACCTCCATTTCTATTGCGTCTGTTTTCCATTTACCTATAAAAATTAGCCTTGGGATGATCATCTTATGTTTTAAAGTTTTCTTTTCCAATATGGTTTCCCCACTTATGACATTCATATCTGCCTGATATACCACTTTTACTAAACTCTACTAATATTTCATAACGCTTTTTATTAATAATTAAATGTTAGGGAATATGCCAAGAAATAATTTGATATAAAAAAAAACATGCCAAATCAATAACATATTGGTTTATTATTTTCAATAATCAACCATTGTGATCGACCAAAAAATTCAAAAACTTAACCCCCTCTCAAAATTTGAGGTTTCACGTTTCAGGACGCCTAGAATTCGAAAAACTAATAAAAATTTTGTTGTCCGTCCGCCGTCCGAGGCATTTTCTCCGAAACCACTGGACCGATTTTTTTCAAATTTTGATATAAAATCAGAGGTCACCCGAGGATGGTCCTCCTTCATCAACATTACTATCCGCCTTTTACTTTCAAAATGGTGGCCAAAAAACCTGCGTTGCTATAGACTTCTAAACAAATGTACAGATTCCAATGAAACTTCACTAAAGTCATTTTCTCGATGCCCTTTACATTTATCTATATAACATACTTCAACGAAAAGAAGCTGGAAAAAAAGTTACGAGGGATGGTAAAATTAAATTCCGAATAACTCGAAAAGTTTATACTTTTTTGTTGATATTGTATATAGTTTTTTAAAAGTTTACAAAATTTCCTAAAAAACAAAAAAGTTTAGTCCAATAATTGGAATCACCTTTTGTTTTTTTTTCTTTATAACTCGGAAGGTAATGTTACTTTAGATGTATAATTGTTTGGAAATAATAAACCATTGTGAAATAATTTGCAGCATTTTTTAATGAAATTCAACCATAAACATCGCTGGTTAGGAGAATGATCCAAATATCATTTCTTTATTTCTGACAAATTTCTAGTACAGAATGCCATATTTCTTAGTATCCAATGAAGGAGAAAATACGCCTCAGGATAGAAATACGTACATGAGTAGGGCTCCTGAAGTCATGGGGTGCCACAAATAAGGGATAAAAACTATTCTTGAAAACAAAAATAGTGCTATTTCTATCTAAATTCCACTTTTATGAAAATTTATAATATGTTGATATTGTTAATATGAAATAAGTTCTACTAGATTACGAAACATAGGTTTTTTACAAGTTATAAAATACCACATAACAATGTTAAAGAACGTAAGAAATCAAGTTAAACAGAAAGGCAATCTTAACCATGTTAGTAACTGATCCCTACTTCTATTTAGGAAGCTTAAAATTTTAAAATATATATAATAGCAGTTTTAGGTTTTGATTACCTATGTTGTGCGAGAGCAAGTACTGGTTTTGAATGATGGAGTAATGCTGCTATAGCAGCTAATATACCAATCTTCACTTTTATCACACTTTCCATACGGAGACAAAGAATTAGAGTACTAAGTAAAGGATGATAATACCCATATAGCTGCTTCCATTTCAAAATCTAAATCAATGAAATAAATTTCAAGGTACAAAGTTACACACATCTCGATATAAGACTGACTTAATTACTTTTACTAGTTTTTTTTTTTTCCTTTTAACTCTTGAATGAATAACTTATTTTTTACAAAACATTAATTTAAGAAATGTTTAAAACAAAAATAGAATACATCCCATATTTTTTTAACTTCTGAAACTATAAGACTATTATTTCAGTCAGCTAATGCTAATTTTTTCATAACAAATATTAAATTTTATATAAATAAATAACTTCATATTTTTCAGATTAATTATTTTTATTTAAATATAAATTTTAGGCTTTGGGAGCTTGATTTTTATTTATTTATTTTTTACTGGGACTTACATTCGCCAATCGAATAATTAAATTGAAGGTAGCATGACGTGTTTTAGCTTGTTCTTTTGTGAGGTTAATAACTTTGCCACCTTCACCATCACTTAAATCTGAATCACTTGTTAAGCCTCCAACTTGATATACATCTAAATTGCAGACAGCCTGAATTTCCAAATCTTCATCTGATTTTTCATTCCAACTTATACGCTTCACCTTAGCTTTATGTTTTTTTTTATTAGCAGAAGTATCCTATAAAATAAGATATATATAGAAAAAAAATTAAGAAATCAATGAAATTCATTAAGGCTTAATTTACAAATAAATATAAATCATACAGCATCAGGTTTTGTAGAATCTCGAGCTAAAGATGTGGACGGTAGCACAAGCATTTTTTTAAAAGGCTCATTACAGCTGAATCCAAGAACAGATGAGGCCAACACAACGCACATTATATCATTTAATTTGTCTAACAACCATTTAGTGTTTCCTTTTGGGCATAAGCAATCTAGTGTTTCGACCACTACCCTCAATAACTAAAAAATAACACATTACTATTAAATATTTGTATGGGTGTATTAAATAAAACCAAATAAATAGTAAATTAACCTTGGCATGAATAAGATTATCAGTAAACTGAGATTGGACAATATTCAGCAGCTCATTTATTACACGAATTCTATCTTCTTTGAACACGGTCTTTGCAAGTGACTGTAGACAAAATACTCTCCACATTTTAACATCATTTGGTTGCATAACATTGGTAAGCAATTCAAGTTTTTCATATAAAATAGGAACCTTAGTATCACCATTCTAAAAACATAAAGCTAATTAAACTTTTAATTACAATGATAAAATGAGTAAGAGCATTATTAGTCAATATTATAGAATAATATTATAAACCAAATCTACATTATATTAATACGGTAGTACAGATCCCTTTTCCAGGTCTCGACAGCAATGGATTTTGATGAATGAGTTATCAAACAAAAGGGAATTTCATCAAAAAGGCTTCTATACTCTTAGCAAACGAGAAAACTACACTCCAAAGCTCTTTCTCACCAAACAAATAGGTCTTGAGCAAATAAAATAATTTATAAGTATAAGTTGAGGGATAGCTGTGTCTCATTCATTAACTATTAAATTGGAAGGATATTTTCCAGGGAGAGACAAGCCAATAACTTATTAAGTAAATTGTTACTTTAGCAGTCATAGTAAAGTGTGCAGCTTCACCAATCGTGTCAACTATCTATTTACCAATAGTCTATCTCGATAATATTATATTTTATATATGAATAAATATGTTTAGCTGATGCCCCTTATAAGTCGAATATATTAGGAAGAAAGATGGCTGCATATAGTCCGTAACATCTGGCTAAATAAAACAAAGTGGCCAAAAATTCAGCTTTTCAGTTGTGGATTCTTCACTGATAAAAAATTACAACTCAATACATTTCTTGCAGAGACAGATCATTACATCTTTCTGATACCAGATAACACTTGTCCTCTTACTAACAAATAAACTTTTGAGAATCTAATCCTGTTGTTTATTGTTAAATGTGTTCACGCTGGCAATGTGATTAAACTTACAATGTAAAATATTAATTTATAAACTAAAGTAAAATACCATGTCAAAGAATATCCTTAACATTCTTTCTTTAAATGAACATATTTTTATAAATTGAAATTTACTAATTCATAATGTCTAAATATTTCATCAGCACTTCTGTTACAAAATAAAAAATATAAATAATATCTGGTCAGATAATTTAAAGTTGCCAGAACCCTAGCTATTGGCATGTGTCTAGGATGAACGTACCAGACAATGCAGATACAACAAAAATAGAAGAAATTGAGGAAATAATATGAAAATAGCTAGTTCAGGTTTTCCTGAGTTACAGGTCAGAAGCATTGTCTGCATTTTGAAGTACTCTTAAAAACTAACCTGATAAAAAGTACAAAACAGTGGGCTATCAATAAATCATGTTTTTGATTTTTAAATCCCCTTTATTTTTTATAGTTTCCTCTCATGGCAATCTCTAAAAGTCGAATATTTCAACATAAAAAACATTAATTAGATAAATTTTCTTGTAATTTAGGAGCAGTGGAAGACCTCTATAAGTTAGAGTTTAGATTCCAATATGTTTACAGCCTTAAATTCACGGATGCCTACATGACTAGAGCACCATTTGAAGAGTTTCCCTTCTCCTGTTTTCTCATCAGTCACACACTTGACAACACATTCATGTTTTTTTTTTTCAAATATTTATGAAACAATTGTCAGACACTGAATGCAAAAGAGAAACAGATTATCATGGCAGTAGCATGAGGGAACAAAGCGATATTGCCAAGTAATTTGGTGTACCTATAAATATCTTATCAATAATTTTGAAAAATTGCTTGATAAGTATGATAGAGCAAGTAGAGTAGATAACTATGGCAGATTTTACAGATGATGACTATGGCTTTATAAATGGCTGAAATAAGGCTGGAACAAAAAAATTTCATACAAGAAAGTTGCAGATTGTATTAAAAAAATGAAGGGTTTTGAGTTTCAGAGAGATGGCTCTCACACTTAAAAAAAAAATACAGGTTTTTTTAAATAGGTTATTGTATGTACATAAAAAAAAGAGGAGATTTTTTTACATTTAGTCATTATTTTTTTCAACATTTACAATTTAGGAGGTGAGTATGGCTTCGAGAAGAAGGGTGGGAAGAGCATGAGAGGAAATTTTTTTTAGAAAAGCATGTTTTTTTTTACTGATTAAGTACTTGAAAATGAATGTGAAAAAGATCAATGATCTTGAGATCTTTATAGCTCGAAGTTGGTTATTTTAGAGCTTGATAGCTTAAACCTTTATTAGTCAAAACAAATCAATAACTTTAATTTTTTTATCAGTTGCTAAGATTTGAGTTACTGAAAGTCAAATATATGATCGAAAATAATAATCTCTTAAAAAAATATATAAAACTATAAAATATCACTATATAAATATAAAATTTTATAAAAATAGAAAATTCTACCTCTGAAAAAAAGGTAGAATGAGCTCTGATTATGCCATTCAAAACCTGAAGAATATCTAAGAATGCAATGTCTGAGGACTGAAGAGCAGCAGCGTTGATCCATTTTAGAATAGAAATTAAACTCTCTTTGCCAAATACAATTTTGTGTTTTTTTAGCAAATTAAGTAGTAAATTACAAGACTTAGCTACTAATAAAGAATTATTTTTAGGAATACTCGTGCAGCACTTAACTAGTTGTCTTTCCAACTCCTGAAATTACAACAACCAAAATTAGTTTATATCCATCCAAATTAGATATATCTTAATTTAAGCTCCATTACATAATGTAAATCTAAAATATAATCATAGCCTACTATTTTAAATTAATTCCTACCGCTACAAAAATATATTTGAACTAATTCAAAGAATTTTTGGTACTTGTGAGTTAGCTGGTCGCCACGGACTGCTATCCACCATTATTTATAACCTGAAAACTGACAATTCTGATACCTATCTTCTTATTTATATTTATGGATATTGAAATAGACAAAAATAAATGTAATAATAACATAACACTTTTATTTTCTTTATTTTGGAAGACAAAATAGCTTAATGCTATTTAAAATAGCAAGGAACAGGTCCTCTTCTTTGCCGCCATAAAATGCACATAATAAATATGAATCCAGGGATTGCCTCACAGTTCCTTGATGTTTCTTATACCTCTACATAGCTGAGTCCTATAATCATTCTATGTGTTGAGTATGGACCTCACTTGAAGGATCAACCAAGTTATACTGATGATACATCTGGAAATGGTTGTAGTTTGTTTCATTTAGTTGCTGGGTGTTGTATCATTTCTAACAGTTAGGATAAGTAGTGGTTCTATCTTCTATATTAGTTTTCATACATTTTACATACATCTAATACAGTTGTTGCTTTTCTATCTTTTGTTTCTCGACAAACTCCGCCAAACATCCATTGTTCAGGTAGCACTCTCCTTACATGATTTTTTCTTTTGGAAAAAAAGACTTTTGTCTATTTCAACCACTTTCCCAATGGTTCCAGCCCCTCTATTTTTTGTTTAGTTGACCTATATAGAACGCACAACTAAGCAGAGAGGAGTGATAAGAAAAGGTCACATGAGATAAGAAGGTGATTCCGTTGCAATCGGCTGAGTCTAAATTTTTATTCCTATATTAATGATAAATCATGGTTAAAATTTTACTTCCCCTCAGATAGTTAGAAAATAATGGTGAATTCTGAAAATAATCAGACAGAAATTCAGAGGCTTTTTGCTAACAGCCATAAAAATTTGGAAAGCAGAGCTACCTATCAATATACCAGACCAGCTCTGCATCTAAAAGTTATTTAGGCATGTTAACCTATGCTTCATAATGTTGGTTACGACCGATATCACAACAAAATCATGGTCCGTTAAATAATGATGAAAACTAAACATATCGAATTAATGCAGAGCAAATGGAACTCAATAAGAAATTAAACATTGTTAGAGTTATCATAGCTAAACAGATCTGGTGGATTAGACGTAGCAAAAATGACCAAAGATTTCTCAGAAAATAAACTATAATACCTACTACTAGAAGAATTCAAAGATTTGGTCTTTCTTTTACATGCTAAATCTACTCTTTTAAACTATACTTCACTTCAAGCGTTATACAATCAATTTTAAGGGGATTCTAGAAAGATATATGAAAATATGTGATTATTGCTAAAAATCCATTTTACTTAATGGCAGGAACTGTCCTAGAGAAGACAGGAGGTCATGATTTTTTGAATGATAACGACGAAAATAATTAAAGTAAGACTTTGTATTTATATAAGTATATTGAGGGTGTCATGGATTTAATTGCCAAATTCTAAAAATGTATTGTCTATAAAAATAGCAACAACAAAAAAAGTTTTACAAAGAATCCAATATTCCAGAAATAGTTTTAGAGCTGACAGGTGATTGAGTATGTAGATATGTTTTGAGATTATAGCCTGTCTGAAATCTTAATCAATGACAACGATTACCAATGATGTTTAAAAATTATTTTATAATTCTTTTCTTCAATATTATTCTGCAAAAATAGCAATAAATGCTTAAATAAAGTGACTAAAACAAAGTAGAAAGATCATAAGATTCTAGTCCAACATATTTATTTCAGTTTTCAGTGTTCAGTGTCAATCAATAGTACAACTTATTCCCAGTTTGGGTATAACAAATAAAACATGCTATATATTTCAATCATTGGCTTATTTTCAACCGGTTGTATAATTGATAAAAAAATTATTGAAGAATTGGGATTGCAGTCAAGGGAATCAAATGAACTAAAACTAAAAGCCAATTATTTCTCCACCTTAATTTGACTAGATTTTTATTAACTGTACTTAAAATGTGTTGATTGCCATTTTTTATTACTTTGGAGCACTAAAATGATTTCCACTATGGCCATTTTAATACAATTCAGTACAAAAATAGAGAAGCCTTCAATTTTTCCTATTATAAAAAATTACAATATATAATGATTCAGAAAGGAGTTGACATCATACCTCCCCATCAATTTTGTTGATATCATTGTTATGAAATGCATTGAGATCATCTAAAAGTACATTTACTTCCTGAAAATTTAAATTTACACGACTTAATGATTCATTTAGATATAAAAGTTTGTCATTAAAACTATGAGTTCCTGACATATCAAATACTGCTCATTAATGGATAGTATTTATTTGAAAAATAATCGTTCAACTTGCTAAGTAAATAATGTAATATCACATGATAAGAATGGTAATAATTGAGTAAATAAACACATAAGAGTTGTACTTTTAGTGTTATCTACTGCAAAGATTAAAAACATTTCACTGATTTCAAAGAGGATCACTCAAGCTAACAGAGAGACTCTCATTTTCAAGTTGAAGACAAGTAAACATTTTCAAAGATTAGGTCTTCCTTTTACCCTCTGAATCTACTCTTTTTAACTATACTTCACTTCAAGCATTATAACAGGCACTAATTTTATTTTCCTTTACGACTTATCTTTCTAGCATACGGAGGGAGAGGGAGCTATATTCTACATATAATCAACCTTATCTAACCAGAGTGGGGAGGTCAAGATTCATACCTGACCCCGTCAAGAAAAAAGTTGAAACCTGAACATGCCAGAGACCGTCATAACCTTAACAACCTTAAGTCCATAGCAGCCCCGATTCGAATCCTGTCTGGGTGGGTAGAAATTGATTTCCTGACGGACCATCGTAATGAATCTCGACCTTCCCATTCGGGTTACATTAGGCTGGTTATTCCGTAGAATAACACAGAGTATGAATGAAATGGCTAGGTAGGGAGTAAAATGAAGAAAAAAAAATATCTGAATATCCCAACTAAGGTGTATGTTATCCGTTCTAGTAGATATATAAATTAAATATTATTCCATCTAATCATTTTCATTCTGGTAAAAACAGAAACAGTTATTCATCTCCATAGCTTGAAGGGGACTGGTCCGATATCGGTATAATATTGTAATTGCGCAACAATATTGCTCTGAATGTCTTAAAGTTGGTTCAGACATAACATGCACGACAGGGCCCGGTACCTTGCAACAGGGACATACGGGACCGATTTTTCAATAAGATTAGTCCAGCATTTAATGTTAGATTAGGCTAGAGTAGAAATTAAAAAAAAAAAAAAAAAAAGGAATAAACTATTTTCGCCTTAATTTTACCGCGGATTGTGGGAAAACATGAGAGTATTACCCGTGTTGAAATAAATGCAGAGGTAATATCTAGATAATCAAGCGTTTCATTCCCCTGGACGAGGCATAAGTCTCCCCTGTATAAAGCCGATTCAGGAACGTCGAATTCGTAACAAATAAATCTGCGATGGTTTTACTTCATAAATAAAATACTTTTATGGTGAATAACTGAGAAAATGATTTAAATATATTATAAGAATTAAGAAAAAACAACATGAAAATGAAGGAGCTATTCAAATTAATTTTGATTTAATTTTCTTCTTTACATTTTTTACATTTAATTTAACCCATTGACTGCGAGACCTCATAACGAGTGTTTCTTCCCGATAGCGGGACACAAAATCGAAAAAGAAGTTTGGTAAAGAGACTTTTTGTTTTAAATACTATTTTGAATCACCTTGGAAGATATTAGCTTTCAAGGATTTATCTGTGCCTCCTCTTGGGTGGCTATACAGCCCTGGAGGCCAGGTCCAAAAATCGACCTCAACGCAGGCGAAGGTTTAATCGTAAATTACGAAAGTGTATGTTATTCTGAGTAAACAGGACCTTGTCTGTCGTTCCAAAGCCGCTGCTTGCAAAAATGGCGACTGATTTAAAGAACATTAGGCCAGTAATTTGAGGATCGAAACGGGAAATCCATTGCGAAAAATATGAGAAAAGTTTTTATTTTTTAAATTGTATATATGGGCTTAGACATGTAAAAAACAAAATTGCTAACGTACGCCACCAAGGGAAAACTTTTAACAGCCAAAAAAGTCATATTTTTTTTACCTATAACTCCTAAACGATACATCAAAGCGAAAAATCTATTGATTAATAAATTAAAGAATGTTAAATTTTGCGTCGAACGAGTAAATAAACTTTTTAATTTGGTTACGTGATAAGGTGTAAAACCACGGTCAACCAACGTAAACTTTTCAAAAACTGAGACTAATTTCAATATATGGCGCTGTAACTTGGAAATGCGTTCCCTAAGAGGAAAAACTCACAGAATCAAAGTTGTAGAGCATCACATTTTGCGTGCAGAGTACTGACATTTTTATTGTAGGCCAATTATATATCTCGAATCGAGATTCTTATTTCTATATGAAATACGAGTCTTTTGACACATCGTTCATCAAAATCCGTCGCTGCTAAGAGATGGAAAAGAGGCTTATACTGCATGTAACAGACTCTAAACAAAAATAACTCAGTAGAATAGACATCCATACTGTTGAAATATTGAAAATCACACATACCTTCATTACCAATTTCTTACGATCGGGAGATTATCGATTTTGTTCGGAGTAAATGAAATAAATTAAAACGGTTGCTCCTCGGTGGACGCGAAATTTCATGCTCTACAACTTTGATTCTGTGGGGTTTTCCCCTTGAGGGACTCATTTCTAAGTTACAGGCCCATTTATAGTAATTTGTTTAAGTTTTTGACAAATTTGGCAAAAATTAGAGATTGACCGATACCGAAATCAATATCGGCATTTTTTTAATTTTTTCAAATGGATTTCCAGCAAATAAGGATAACCTAAAGACCAAAATATCGGCCTTATGACCTTATTTTAATGAAATTGGGCTGGTAGAGTTGGACCAATTTTTATTTTATTTCTTTTTCCTGGCCCTTCCCTTCCCCTAATTTGGAAAAATACCGATATACCTTACCTTAATAAGGTATATCAAGGTAATAAGGTATAAAAATACCTTATTTTATTAAGATTAGTAGTTTGATTTATTCTTTTTTATCTATTTATTTTTATTTTATTTTTTTTTTTGTTTACCACTGCGCAATTTTCCGGTCATCCTTTTAAACCGATACATCGGCCTCTTCCACATTAAATAGTGTATTGCTCATAAACATGTCAATCATTCGGCAATGGATCAACATAAACATAAATTTGATCAAAGACCGATTAATCGGCCTTATGACCTGAATTATTATCCTAGTGGCCTAGATTAAACTGTATTCTTGGACATTGCAGTGTCCTCAACCAAACTTTGCATTAAAAAAACTAAACATTTCGATGGTTTTAATCTTATTGCATTACGTAAGAAACAACAGATGAATATGTCTTCTGTTTGTTTATGGCAGTATTGAAGATAGAACAGATAACTAAACTAAGTCAGTTTTTCTAATCAAACATCAACCTTCCAATCTGTCAACTACCTAGGAACTGCAAAATTATGATTTGATTCATCTTTATAAATTCTTTTTTATTTCTTTAAGTTTTTATAAATTCTTAAAAACGAAACATATTACTAAAAGTATAGGCTAACATAACATATTCATTGGTCAATTATTGTTTATTCATTATACGTACTTCCACTTACCTGAAGTGTTTTGGGTTTAGTACTTTGTTAGGAAGTAGTATTTAAAGGCCAACGGTTGTGATCAAGCCCAACCGCAATGTTTTACTTGTTAATTAATTATTTAATTAAGAATACCCACTTTATAGAGGATGGGTGTGCCATAAGAAGGTCTCTGGATCACAGGGTCAATCCACGATTGACAAAAATCAGTTGACATCAGTCGGATTCAAACAGGGACCTTCAGCTTAACAGCCCAGTATCCAACTAATAGAGCTACTCTGTTCCATATGTATAGTATAGTAAGAGAAAATATTAAGATTGTATATTATTCTTTCTTAATCTAAGTTTTTAAAGAAAATACAAGTTTTAGGTTCCCTGAGATCAAATCTAAAAAGTTGCAAAAATGGTTGCGTCCTTCTCTGCACAATATTTTTAAATCCAACATATATTTTTTTGATATAAATATTTGATAAATAAAAATCCTAACAATATATAGGTCATTCAGTCACGCTTACGCTTACGGTCATTCAGTTAGAGTTAGGTCATTCAAGTATGCTGATGGAGTTACGAGTTTTCCATTGCTTACAGACGGTATAATAAATATGGTTGAAGTTATTTTTATGGTCTTAACGAGTTTTTTTTTAACTCATAATCATATATTGATAAATATGATACGATTGAAATTCACCATTGTGTTCTTTAAGCTACATTAAAAACTTGGTATATTGTATTCTGACGACGTCCAGATTTACCTCTCCTTCAATCCGACCGAATCCTCTGACGCCATCCAAAAATTATAGGAAGATATAGACGGATTTTGTGCCTAGGCAAACCACAATAGAATTACTCTAAATTCCGAGAAGCCGAAAGCCATCCTGATCGGAAATCCCTCACTCCTCAAATCCTTACCGACACTTCCCAATCTTTTCCTGAACAATTCACATATCTCATTCCATACTTCTGTAAAAAATCTTGGTGTTACCTTTGATCAAACCCTCTCCTGGAAACCACACATCTCCCAAATTTCCCTCCTACTATCTCTTCCCTGAAACAGTTTAACAGTCTCTGCTATCTCCTTCCATATAAATCCCAACAACTCTTGGTTTCCTCCCTTGTGTTCCCCCACTTCGACTATGGCTGTCTGGTGTACAGTGGGCTCTCCGGAGAATTCGAGGCCAAACTTAAATGCCTGATGAACTGCGCAATACGTTTTGTTTTCGGAATCTCAAGAGATAAGCATATAGCCCTATATTACACCAAGTTGAAGTGGCTCTATCCATCCAACCGCCGTCTGTACTTCCTTGCTACCTTTCTATATCAAGCCATCAGAACGCTGCGACCTTCCTATATTTTTCACAGCCTACAATTTAAATATTCCATTCAATGGCGTCCCAATAGATCCCGTACTTCTGACCTCTATCTATCCACCTCCTCACAGAACTGCTGCGTTTTACAAATCCTTTATAATTTAAGGCATCTGGAATATCATCCCTCCTGGTATCCAACATGTGGCGCTATCAGTTTCCTCATTTAAATCTCTCCTTTTAAAGCACCTACTTCTTTCCCAACCAGATTGATCATGAAAAGTAGATAAGAGAACTTTTTAAGTTCCCCAGAAATGGTTTTGTTTAATTATATTATTTTTATTTTCACATGTTTGTATTATATATATCTGTATGTATTTAGTGTTTATTTTTCTTCCAATATTTTTATTTTAATGAGCATTATAAATATTTAATTTAATTTTATGGCCACACAGGCATTTCCTCTGTATCTATAATTTGTCCTAAAGGGACAAAAGTCCCAGAATGATAAAAATCTATTTTCATTTCATTTTAATAGCTCAATTTTGCCAGAAAAGAATTTTTATACAGTGGAAGTGAAAGTTGTGTGAAGCACCACATGCTAATTTTTTTCTTCAACTACAACACAGTAATGCCAGTAATAAATAAATCATGATAGAATATCATCATTCTCATAGTTGATAATTTGTATCATTCACTGTCTTAATTTTATTTTTACTTTCACTTACGTACATATGTAATATATAGTAAGGGTAAGTATTGCGATCGAGAAAATTTTTATTAATAGTTCGGAAAAAAAATTGAATTAATAAAACCAGACAACAGAAATTTGGAAATTCTAACTACCCTAAGGGAATGGATATCCATATCTACTTAAACATCTTGTTAGTTTGAGAGGGAAATTGACATATATAAATATTTAAAATAGGTGTATTAATCAGGCGTGTATCACTAAACATTAAGGCTCCAGGCAAATAGAGTCCATCCAATATATCACTGCGTGTCAACATCCAGAAGTCTTGTTCATGATGTGTCAGGCACCCGACTATTACACCAGGTTTAAATATTTGTAAATGTCAATTTCCCAATCAATATACCAAGATGTTTAAATAGATATGGAAGTCCATTCCCTAACGATGGATAGAATTTCTTAATTTCTGTATTAGTTTTTGTTTTTTTATATTCAAATATTTTTTAGTTTTTAAAATATTCACAATTCATTTTCATACCATATGATCACATATCATTTCAAAGCAATTTATAATCGAGATAATTAAATTACAATAAATTTTTGTTTTAAGTATTTTCAGCTCAAGTTGTTTCTAAACATCCACAGTTTTTAACGGAGTAATTACAGCCGTAAAAAGTAAAAATCAATCAATCATACCATCCGCTCTAAAAATTTTAACACACCTTTTAGCTTGATTTTACTTTATTTTATTACTTTAGATTGATTAAATACACTTTACACAATAATTTGCACAGGATTTTAAGCTAAATTCTTTCAAAACACTCACAGGATTTTACTGATTAATTTAAGACATCAAACATAAAAATCGTTGAAACTATACGGTTAAAAAATCATTAGATACCTTTCAGAGGACACCCTGAACACATGACCCTCACGTCTTGTTTTTAAAATACTCACGGGACCTCACAGAATAATATATCTATCTCTAACAGCTATCCAGCCATTCAATTGAAAAAATCTTTACATATCTTTTAACAAATCGATTAAACACATTTTATTTAATCACATTTCAGTATTTTCAGCTTGTATTGTTTCAAAACACTAAGGGAATCTCACCAAATAATTGGCACCATCAAACTTAAAAATCTATCCAGCCATTTGCTCAAAACACCATTATTGAGCTTTTTGCAAATCGATCAAACACATTTTATTTAATAATGGGTCAGTATTTATTGCTCTTATTTCAAAACACTCAGGGGATTTCGACGAATAATTTGAGCCATCAAAGTTAAAAATTGAAATCCCTCTTAAAGCGTTACATAGCTTTTAGCGTACAACCAAAACACATAACGCTGGTTTCTCTTCGCTTAGTTGAGTAAAAATGAAATAAATAATATGTTTTAACCTTTTAGAATGGGTTTACAATATGAAAGATTTCCTTTTTAAAAAATATGTTAGCTATTAAATATAATTGAATGATAAGTTCTAATATAACTCATACTCCTATATTTCATTACTTACAAAAACCGTCATCAGTCTGTTTAATTAGTCATGTTTTAAAGAAAGTTCAAGAAAATTAGAAATTTGAGGAGGATTCCAGGCATAATTTGAAAACAAAATTAATTTTCATCCCTTAGCAATAAATTGTACAAGAGAATAAAAAATTAAGATTTAATTGGTTTCATGTGATATTTTAAATAAATTAAAACAGAATTAGAGACAAAATTTTATTTTTTGAATTCACCTCATTGCATGCAACTGTATGAAATAACTATGTTTTCCATCATATTAACATAAAATTGTCTGTAAAATATTAAAACAATGAGAGAATAAAATTGAAGTTTTACACATTATTGAAGTAAAAAAAATAATCCATAAGTACAACTGTTTATAGAAAATTACATAAAATAATGTATAAAAAGCCTGAGTATGTACATCTGGATTGTGATAATCCTTATAATACTATTAAAATAAACTTATCTAATTACAAATCTATCTTTATATCAGTGGGCCATAACAATTGAAAAGACAGCAGTTAAAACTTTATCACCATTAAGAAACTTTATTTACAAAATTATTCAATATATAAAACTAAAATAACACAATAATTTAGAAAAGTTTATTATACTCTAAATACTTTAATTATGTGTATGTTATACTCAATAGTGACAGTGTCATATTCTGTACAAAAGAAAATAAACACATTGTCCATTCAACTGAGTACAAGAATAATATACTCCTGATTCTCAGATTATTCAGTTGCAGCCATAGCCCGAGCTTGGGCTCTAACCCTCTTCTCATATTCAATGCGATTTTGGCTAACAAAAAAAAAAAAAAAAAATCAATAATGTAAAATTTTTAAATAAAAATAAAATTTTATTTAAAATAAAATAAAAATTATAATATTTTAAAAATGTATTTATCACGATCTCCAAAATTAAAATTTAAGCAGTTTTGAGAAATATCTTTATTAACTGCTAATTGCTACTTTATAAAGTGGACTTTTTCTTTCTGTAATTATTAAATATCTTAAAATTATAGTTTTAATTTTTTCTACTTGTTTGAATAAAATTTCAGTCAAACAAAAGTGGAATAATTCACACCAATTTCAAATTACAGATGAAAATAGATCATTTTTTACAATACTTCTAACGAAATAAACATTAATTTATCTTGTATTACTATTATTTTTTTTATCTACTAATTATTATAAATATAACTTTAGTTAGACTTTATATTTAGTGCTGTATTTATTATCAGTAATATTAGCCATTAAACATAATTTTATGGCAACATTTGATAGATTTTAAATAATTTATTTTTTGAAGTATTAATTTGAAGGCGTGTTTAGAATTTATAATCGATAAGAATTTAGTGAAAAACTAGCATATTGGTACCAATAATTATTATGTAAATAACAGTAGTTATTATTAAAAGAAAGAATATAAAATACCTATAAATAGTGTAGGCTTCAGCTTGAGCTGGATCTTTAATATTAGGTTCATTTAACAAATCTTGGATACCAAGCAAAATTTGCTTTATTGTGATAGCTGGGCGCCAGTCCTTTTCTTCATCAAGTAAAGACAAACAAACAGTACCTGGATGAAACAAATAAGATAATATTATTAATTTATATATGCATATACAAATTAAAAAGAATATAGTATTGTTTTCCTTATTTTTCTTCCTTACTAACTAATCAAGGTATAAAAAAAGCTATAATGACTTTTAATTGTTGTAGCCTACTAATATTTAATTAAAAGGGAAATAAATGCTAAATAGAAGTTAAATTGAATTTCTATGGAAAATAAATGATACACAGAAATGTTGGATCTGACTATGATTAATTTTGGTCGAGATTCAATTACATGTGTAGCTGAATTATAATCTGTGGTACACACCACTTTGTCAAATTATTAACACCCACCTGAAACTTCGTAAATAGTTTCATCTCATCTCATCGAACCCTACAACTATTTTATTTTCGAAAATTCTCGGAATTGGGACATTTTCAATCTTGAGATTGGCAAACTATGTTTATTTAATTAGGTACTAAACTTGTAAATATTCATTTGCTTTCCACTTGAATCATAAGATAATCTGAGCACAAAATCGAGAAAAAAGGTGGCTTTAAAAAATATTGGGCCATTTGACATGACCTACACAACCAATATATTAAAATAACGAGGTTATACAGGCTAAACGGCCCAATATTTTTTCTCAATTTTGTGATCATTATTTAAGCTTTTACTTTTAGCATTATTTATCATAATTATCTTTCGACACAAGTAGAAAGCAAATGGGTATTTACGAGTTTTTAGTACCTAATTTTTGTTAGTACCTAATATGAAGTTTGCCGATCTTCAGATTGATAATGCCCCAAATTCCGAGAGTTTTCATAAATAAAATAGTTGTAGATTATGATAAGATGAAGGTATTCACGAAGTTTCTGGCAGATGCTAATAATTTGATAAAAAATGGTATGTGACACGGACTATTATGAGGACAGAGAAAGGGGGGGAAAGGTTGAAATATAACATAGCACTGGATATTTATCTTGGTTATGGCGGGAACTGTTATGAAAGGCACAACTGATAGGGTTTACTCAGAGAGACCCTAACCCCTTAATGGACTCAGTCAGTCCCCACACATATTTAATATGTAAATAATAAACTATCGTCTAATAATTAGCAATATTTTAAAACTCTAATATTAGTTTTTCAAGTAATAAAGAACTATAATTATAAGAATATTGAAATAGTCAAACAGAGCTCTCTGAAAGAATATAAACCAAAAATATATAATATAAAATCCATAACAAAATATCTATATTACGAGTCATGTCCATATAATGAGAATACTATTGGACTGTCAGAATTTTCTTCTTCAAAAGTTGGCAAGGCTTTCTGTCCTAGTCTACATTGGATATTCTCACATTCGCAGTCATTATCTATCATCTGGACGTCGGAGTAGAGAGATTAATGCTCAAATTGTTATTCTTTTCAATTGCTTTGTTTTTTGTTTTTTTATATCTTCCTATTTGTTATATATATGTACATCTTTTGTTTATAATTAAGTATAGATTAAAGGGACATTTTTTTGTGTGTGGTTCAAGTGTCTTATATTATATATTTTTCTTTCTTTTTTATATATCTAACATATGACTTAAAATTATATTGACTTTTATTGTTAATCTGGTCATATTCTAAATAATATTTCAAAACAAATCAAAGTTTCTTGGATAACTGTGAGACTCATGTTTTGTAATTCAAAACAAATGGAGGGAAAAGAAGCATGTTTCTTGCACAATTATGACGGTCCTTATATATATATTATATTTTAAAAATAAATATATATACCTAGAGTATCCTATTCCTATAATTTTTTTTTTTTTAATATAGAAATTGAGTAATCTTACTTTATGGATATGCCTTGTATCTGAGGATCCCTAGTGACCTCAGAACTATTTTCTTTGTTTATGAATTTCAAATTAAGCTTGAACTACAATGAATTTATATTAATATATCAAGCACATAACTTAATAATTTTTTAAGGACAGTTTTTTAACAATTTGTCCTGCTTCCCGCGACGTTTTGGAAAAGTCTTGATTTTCGGAAAAGATGCACGAGAAACTAAGAACAGCATGAAAACAGGAAGAGAATATTCAATATTCAGTGGCCATGTGTCTATTCCGCTAGGATATGAGTTTTAAATTATTTTTATTAAGTTAAACTTTAATAATGACGAATAATTGCTAAGAACTGATTAGCAAAGTTCGCATTGGTAATCAGTTATTAGAATTAATCACCTTCAATATAAGTTTTGTAGCATTTTGAAAAAGAGCTGCTTGATTGTGTACAACCTGCTGGTGTGGGGATATTGTTTGAAATATATATCCTACAAGCAATATTTTATACATTCCTGCATAAAAAATTATCATCTCAGGAAGGTATTGAGTTGTTTCAAGCCATTCCTGATGACGAAAACATTAAGTCACACTTTATCACTAGTGCGCTTACCCTACTATAGTTCTGATTAAAAACTATGATTTTTAAGACTAAATAAAACAGACATGGTAACCACTAGAATGTCCTTACCTGATGGGTAAACGTTTGGATGGAATAATGGTGGCTCAAACTTGCATTTTGGCGGACTAGAAGGATAATCGTCTTTGAATATCATCCTTAGTTTGTAAGAACCACCTTCCCATGGCGTCTACAAAGATCAAATAAGTACATAAAATATAACTATAACAGAGTAAAAAATTAATAGAAATATAATTAAATCAGTTATTTCAAAAACAATACAAGTGACATTGTAAACATTTTTGAAAAACACGCAAAGAAACTACTATACACTAAAATTTTCATAGATATGTCTACAAAAAATATGTACAGCAAACCATCCGGCTAAAGCAGATGATTTCATCAGCCGTGGATTGACCCTGGTGTCAGGAGACTCCTCTAAATAAATTTTATACCATTAATTAATTGGTCAGAAGAATAAAACCTGCCTGTCGCAGAAAAATTCCATTACAACCGTCGGCCTAGAAACAGTACTTAAATTATATATATTACGATAAAAATTACATTTGCGCTATTTCTGAAACAATAAATTCAACTATATAAGAAAATAGTTAAGTAAATATAATTTTAATATGATATTAAGGCATTCAATTCATATTGAACATACAGAATTGCATTAACTACATTTATGAGCAGTAGGAACTGCGACGATGGTAAACTGTACACGTTCAACGGAAACTGTTTACGTTATATTTGGACAAGATTTGAATTCACAAGTATAGGAACTTCTAAACATTTTATGATTATTTAATTTGTTATGTTTGCTTAATAGATGAACTTTAAAAGGAAATAAGTTCAGTAATTCTTTTTTGTCAAATGATTTATGAAATTACATAATAAAATGAGTTTTATTATTAGTTATTAATGTTTTTGATAAAAATTCGATAAAGATTCGTAAATTTTGACCGCACTATCTTAAAATACTAATTGATAGAATAAATTGAAAATTCTGTCTTCTCAAACTATCATTTAATTTCCAATAAAAATTATTACCGAGGAGTTGGTCCGGGGGGTAAAATTATTACCAAGTTTTCTTTCTTTTTTTCTGTTGTTTGAGTTGTAAATTAATTACTAAAACACTTTAATCATACAAAATAAGATATTTACTTTGGTTAGAACAAATAAAAAAAATGGAAATTTACAAAGTATAGTAATAATAATGAACTTTCACTTTAAATTAGTATTGATTTCCTCTTATGTCTTATGGTATAAGAATTTTCAACATTAATTTTTTACTATCATCACGTTTTAATTTTTTTTTAAAAATCAATTTATAAATTTCTTTTGTTATACTCATACATATTAAATATGTATACTTAACTTATTTTTAACAAATAAAAATGAAATTATTTTATGAAAATACATCAAGTCACAGGAAAAAATAAATAGTGTCTTCATAATAATTTATTGTAATAATTTTTTTTAAAAAAGAGATATACCTTAAACTTAATAATTAAATGAGGAATGACATCAGAGTAAATCTATCTTGTTTTAGGTCCAGAAAGTGAATATTTTTGAATGTACTTTAATGATTTATGTATATATTATATATATATAATTTCTGTATACGGTATGTACGTACTTTTCTCAATTTCATTTTTCTGTGAATACCATGATTTATTGTTTATATATATAAAAATAGTATGGTTAAACATAAACATTTCAATATATTATATATTGATGGTCAATCCCACGGATAAGTACACATTTTATACATTGAATTAAAGGAATATTTAAGATTTGACCATATTCCTAATGAATTAATTATCTTGGGGTTCTAATACAATGGTATATTTTTTCATGTATTTTGTGTCCACTTTTCAGAAGACATAGATTGACAAATTTCCAATAGTTTCCACAACTTTTTTCCAAGTTTCCACAACAAAAAGGACTTACATCTGTGATATTACAAAGAAAAACTGGAATCATAAAGAAAGTATTAATCAAAAGACATTTACTGATGGAAATATGAAATGTTGTAGCTAACAAAATCTCAAATCAATCACACATGGCTCAATAAACTTTTCTAATCATAACATTTCTCCTTTTCTGCCTTTGTTCACCGAAATAAAAATGTAAAATAATAATATAATAAAAAATCTTGAATTTAGCATTAAAAAAAATCACAATTATGGATGAAAATTTATAAAATGTAAAATATGCTGCTAAATCTGATATGTATTGAAATTTTCTTTAGGATCCTTCAATTTCTATTACAAAATTGCTTCGTGTACTGAATAAACAGGCACATTCAGAAAAAATTCGGACAAGACCTTTAACAAAGAGGGGTTGTGAGATTCTCGTGAGAGAGTGCTCTATAAATCCTTTTTTTGATATAAAAAGAAATTTCGTTCTAAATTAAGTTTGAATACTTAAAAGGTTAGAGTAAGATTGGAAACAACGTAATGCTAAATTTTAATAAAATAGATGAGGCCGTATTGAAATGCAATGTACATTATATACTAAAAAGCCGATAGTCATTTAATCCTAAAAAATAATTATATTGTTTTTATTGCTACAAGGATAAAAAATTGTAATTTTTCTATAAAACAAACATTTTTCAAGAAACCATTCTGTTCGAGATACAGAACTTCGACGATACTTCAGAATAAAAAAACTTTTTATTTCCGTAAAGAACATAATCATCATTAAAAAAATCAGTCGTTAGCTATAATTTCAGTCCATTTTTAGATAAATTATCTTTGAAAATAATGAATCTCTTGATTTTAAAAAATCTCTTGGGATTTAGTTTTGATAATTAACAACAAAGACTTTATTTATTTGGATTGAATTAATATCTTACATTTTTAATTTATATAAATAATTTATTATTTTATGTCAGTACAATACATACAGGTTGTTATTTTAATCTAAGTGATAATGGATAAAATTTAACATTATAAGCGAATTTAATCAGCTTGTGAGATATTTCTATTTTTTTATGATTTTTATAAATAAAATATTATAAAACACATTTAAAGCTAAATATTAAACGACTCCCTCGGCACCTGGATGCGAACTCGTGTCTATCTTAAATCCATTGTCTCATATATCACGATGCTGGGAAACGGCGGTGCTGTGCACACACCCGTTTGTCCACCCCGCCCACAGAAATTATGATACTTATCAAGCTTACAAGTATGAGATATTCAATGGAAGCTAGGCTCTGGTAGCCATAATTCTATTTCCATGAAGAAGCTGTCTTTTCCACATTTTAAAAACACTAATTACAGGACATTCTTGATAATTCAAACACGTCTATTGCAGTCTGTACAGATTATCAAAGGTTAAATTTAAAATCATATAAAAACTGTAATAAGTAACGAAAACAAATGAATTATCAGTTAAATATAAACACATTAAAAACAAGCAAATTATGATTTCTGAAAATGATCATCTACATTGAGTCTCTCATTGGTTTTTTGGTAGTAGACATACGATTTGTCCACTACAAAAAAAAAAAAAAATGAATTTTCCTATGAAATAAAATTTAATATAAAAAACCTAATATAAATAAAAACGTAATCCATACCTGCTTTTGAAATCATCAAGGCAACCTTCAATGGTAGCAAAACCTGCTTAGTCATCCTTCTTAAAAAAATTATTAAAGAAAACCTTTCACTTTTCAGCTAAGCAGCCAGAAACCGGACAATCCCATGATCTCTGCTGCAAAAACCATGTATAAAGAGATTCCTCAACTTCGGGATCACTGTCTAGTTTAATTTTTTTATGTTCAGAGACACCACAATAAAATGTCGACACTTCCACATGAAGCAATTCCAATAATAATACTGGGAACTAGTCATTTCCATTCTGTCTCCAGTCAACTTTTTTTCTTTCTTTTTCTGATTACCATGGGTTTTACTTTAGTAGGGGCCAAGATTATAGAGACAGTCTTATATTTTGCAAATAAGGATCAGACATATTTGGGACTCTTTGCATTTATTTGTTACAAACTCAATTTTCGGCGATAATTTTTTTGGAATTATCTAATTCCTACTGAATCCATCATCATAAAAAAGCACAATTCTTTGCTTAATATTAGTAATGCTATATGTGAATGCAACATAACATTCTTCCAACTTTATTGTGAAATAGTGCAAAGATCCAGGCAAGCTAACACCAACATTAGAGAACTTTATTTCGGCGTAACAGGTGGCTTGGACATTGGAGAGTAGGTGTTCTTTTCCAATCCATGTACTCATCTCCATAGACTATCTGACTTTCAGTATTCCTACTTAAGTGGTGTCTATCACACTAATTGCTGTAGGAAATGCATACTGGTTTTGTTATGACCATATCGCATCTATTGTTTTAATATCTATTTATTTACCATCAACAACCTCAATAATAGTGCAAGGATCAGAAATCTGACTAATTCTAACCTTCTGTCATATATATATTATAGTAATTTTTCAAGCATAAAATTTGCTTTTAAGTAATAATATAACAATAACTAGTTAGATTTAATAGTATGATAATTAGTTATTAAGTGGCCAACATTAATGGAAAAATCTAGATGGCACTAATATTCCAGTTTATTCTTCATTAATCTAGAAAGATCCCCAGTATAATACAATATAAATAAATAGTTCTAAACATGGAGAAAGAAATTCATCTACGATCAATAAAGAGATAATGGTCCATTCAGTAAATCGGTTGGTGATTTCTTTGTGAAGAGGGCTATTGTTATTGTTAAGAATGTATTTTGTGTCTTCAAGTGGAAGTTATATTTTTATTTATTAAATACAACGCTTCCAATGAGATTTCTATTTATAAACAATAATTAAAATTTAAGTTCATTGATAAAAGCAATCTATTAATTGTTAAATTTAATTTTTGTATATCAAAATCTATAACATTACAGCAGAACAATATATTTTAATTTTACAAATGTTGAGTATTTCGTCTTGAACTAAACACCTGCCCACAAGCCACTGTATAGTATTTATTAAACAATTAAGATCTTTTATCAGTAAAATAAGCAATAATAAGCAGAGTTTATTCATTCAGAGTAATATTTTGGCATTTAAGTCTGCCCCCATGAGACATAAAAAATAACTTTTCATAGTAAATGTGAAGAGTTACTCCTTATTTGAGGGCACCCAATTTTATGAAGCACATGTTTATTATTTTAAGTAAAAGGAACAATAATAAATAAACATTTTCTTTTGACTGAAGTATCATAACCATCTTTAAATACTTACATGACTAGTTATTACAATTTACAATAACAAATCAGCACATATGTCTATTTATCTTTGGTAAGAAAATTGAATAAATTTAATCCATAATCCAAACTAATGGTAGCAAGAATTAGTTCAGATTATAAGGAATTTAAAATACACATCAATCAATAAATAAAACATATGAATGCAGTTTGCACCCAACATTATGCATTTTATACATTTCTATTAATAACAAAAGAAGATTTCTTGTTTTTCCATTTGAACACATAACAATCAATTATTTGTAATAATAATTGTTAATGAAACCTTCATGGTTTTAAAGATTTTTTTGATTTGATGAACTTAAGAAGCATCTTTCACTTAATGCTTTTCTTTCTTCAACTAAGACACTATTTTATTAATAAATGGTCCAAGAAATTGAAGGCAACCTATTGCTTTGCTGTACTAGCTGTTTAATGGGATGATTTGTATATAGAAATAATATGGAAGTGCAAAATTTTTTTAGCTTCTTGTAACGGGATGTTTTTACCCTTGTTGATCTTGATTGAGTAATTACTTCATACTTTTGATTTTTAACTGAAAATGTTTTTTAAATATCCAGTCCACTCAGATTTTACCATAATCCTAGGAGGAAAGTTTCCTAAATATCACATATGTAAATATATATATAAAAGGAATTTGTTCCCAGTTTTTAAAATAAATCTAAAAATAAATATCCATAGAAACTGCTAAGCGAATTATTGTTATGATGTTAGAACAGGGGGTTCTCAACCTTTTTTTGTGACATGGGCACATTTGATGTTGCACAAAATAGTGGCAGGATTAATTAGTATTGGATTAAAAATAAATAAATAAAAAAGTATCAAGTCCTTTGTTAAAACATACACCTTTTATGATTTATGTATATTTTCTATAACAGACAGACTAAATGAATGTTCAATCGGAATTGATCATTAAAGAGTAAATAAGTAACATTATGAGAACAAAACTCACAGTATAAAAAATTATACAATTCAGTGAGAGAATGTTGACAACAGTGGTGACAAATAGTACAATACTACAAGCACACCAAAAACACTAGTCAGTATATAAGGTAAGGCACCCAGAAATTCAAGGTGGCTGGCAAAATTGGTAGGATTAAATAATTAATTTTACAGGTTGGTAAATATCCAGGGAGGATTGAACAAAACAGGTATTACCTGGCAACGTGAGAAACCGAAGACTGAGAATTCGAATGCCAGTGGCGAGGGGCTTTTAACTCTGGCCTTAATTACGTATAATTATCATAGTTAGCAAACATCTTCAGCAATGTTAATAAAAAGGAGGAAATTTTTGTTATCTTTATTCAATTTTAATATTTATTTCACACTTAGATGTGTGCATTTGTAAATAGCTCTGAGAACTCATGTGTGCCCACAGACGCAAGGTTAAGAACCCCTTTCTTTGGATATTACTGAGGTGGACAGGATTATAAACATTTAACATTTAAACACAAAATTTATTTACTTTACATAGGTGTAAATATTATAACACTAAACATGCTAAGTCATTTTAGCAGTCATTTCATGTTTGGGTTCAAATGCTGCCACAGATATATCTATCTAAACAATAGTCAACATCAACCCCCTATAATTGTACAATCTAATTGTTCACCGACACATCGTTTTCTTCAAGAAAGATGGCTTTCTTAATTGATTCATTTAAATATGTTAATAAGCAATTGAGCTCTTATTATCGATTGCTGTTTACGTTGAGCTTGATATGTTACTCAAGACTTAATATTCTGAAGTAATATCAAAGTTAAAGAATAAAAAACCAATTCAACTTAAATATTATTTAATAAGACGTACTCCTTTCTTCCCAGGTATAGCACATTCCCAGTTCATAAGGTTGAGAGTTCCATCAGGAGATCTAGAAGGTCTTGCAACAAATCCCTGTAACATAGAGATAAACAATCAATCACGAAAGATTATGATAGAATGATCGTTAATTACACATTACACAACAAATAATAACAATATAATTATATTTAAACAAAATATTTTAAGAATTAAATATCTATTCCAGGAAGATAGTAATTAAAAACATGTATCAACCTTAATAACACATGATTACACAGAGGAACAAAACCATCTTTGGATCAAAGCAATGAAGGGTTATACATTAATTGTAATAGAATTCCCATTACTTTAGTTAATAGGACTGGATTTGTCCTTATAACAATTATTGTAAACTCTGTTCACAAACAAAAACAATTTTGTTCATACAGTTTTATTCCAATTTCAATGCTAATGAAATAAGCTCTTTTCAATCCAAGGTACAGATTTATTACTTAATAGTATAAATATCCTGTTTCAGTTTTATGTAGTTCACACTTACAAAAGGATGATCCTTTCTCCAGCCTTTCCTTTCTTCCGATAATCGTGAGATGGCTATTCCAGACATTTTGAAATCTGACCAACAAAAAATAATAAATAGTCTAAAATCTAAAAAGTAATAACTTAAAAGCTAATAATTTGCTGTTTCCTAACTTTGTTAGAATTTTAAAAATGTCAGTTTAAAAATACTGATTTGAGAACAAAACTAAAACAGAAATTAATCAATATTCAATACTAACATAATTAATTGTACGCAGTTGAACTGGAAGTTTAAAAAATCAGCCCCACTGTTAGACAGGTCTTATATTCAAATCATCATGTAAAAATCAACTAAATATAATTGAAACCTAAACTATAAAGACTTGAGATGATACAATAAGCAACTGAAATCAGTAAAATGAAAAAGCTAGAATATCATATCTTTAAATGAACAAAATTTAATCAAATGTATTAATAAAAGATTTCATAGACATGTCTTGAGATTAATTTTTGTTTAATAAAACATAAACTTGATAAGAGTTTACAAAATAAACAAACTTTTTCTGTGCTCAACAATAAACAGTTTTTTCAGAAAACCATTTATTTATTATTATTATTTATTTTACCCCAGCATTCTGGGGGTTCATACGATCTGATAAATCAATTCCACAAATCTTCCTCCAGCTATTCAAAATTACATGAGTTGTAGAAATTAAGTATATTTTTCTAATAACATTAGATAGCTGATATTTCAATAATATTGTTTCATCTATAACTAATAGGGAATACAAATTAGCACTCGTTTAATACACAACAAAATGTTGAAATGCTGATCCATTAAGGCTTTATTAAAAGGCAGTCTTTAGCTGTACAAATGATTGAGCATTTGTCATGAATGAACATGTGTTCCTCCTGTTTTGCTTAGATATGTAAAGGGCAAACTGAATAGGTCCACATTCTTTAGACTGATCCAAGAGCTGCATGCTTAATTCTTACTCATGTGTACAGAAGAGACGATGACTGGCTTAAGAATGAACATGAACAATGAGCCTACTGACTCCTCTCCTGTCAGCAAATCCTTTTATGTTGAGATATATCTATCTCTAGCTTGAAACCGATAGTAGTTTAGAAATTTTAAACAGGTACTACTAAACCTAATAGGAATAGGAATGTTCTGTATTCAGAAAATATGTTGTCACAGCAATGCGTTCTTTAGCAAATATGGCTTTTCTAAATGTTGTATCTTATTTCTCAACTATTGTCTTGATATTATTCCATAAAATTGGGAATCCTTAGGTGTCATTCCCTTGAGTCATCATCTGTTTCATTTCTAATTGTTTTTAACAGTAAAAAAAAAGAATTGCATTTTATTTATACGATTTTCTTAGCCACAACCTCTTTCTCAACAAAAATCCTCAACGATCAACTATCGGTTCACCATTGCAGGCAAACTCAGTAATTTAGGCAACATTCAATGCAGTGCATCTACTGCAAAGCAAAGGCTGTGTTCTAAGCATAACATTTAGTACTCTATGGTTCAGTCTAAAGGAACAAAGACCAGTGGCTTATAGTTCATTTTGAGCATAACTGTGCACCTCCCTTTATTTGGAGCTCATACTATATGGGGAAAAATGCTCAGGTATATATATGACTTCCACTAGTTTAAAAAAATAAAAATATGTAATAGGATCTTTACCATTGTAAGGAATGTTTGAAAATTATTCCTGTAAATGTTTTCGGAATCGCAAAAAAAGATGTTTCATAATTGTGGTTGCAAGGTTCCCAATCCAGTGCAAAACAGTTGTTCTAATAAAATAATAGCAACACCATAAATACATCAACAGTAGACAGCCCACATTTTTCAATCACTAACAAGACACCTTAAGATTTTATATCTGGATCCTGTTTGAAAAGTATTACATTTGGCTCAGGGTATATAACCAAATTATACAAAAATGAAAAAGCTAAGCTGGAACATTTCAATAACAAATGCAGCAGCAATAAACTAGAAATAAATTAAACATGTTACAGAAAAATATAAAATTTATTAAAACTTCCTAACATACTATAACCGCTATTTTAAAAACAATCACTGTTTATAAAATTCTGAAATAATATATTCCTTCTATCAATACTAACAACAATGCAGATACATAAATATAACCCTCTGGACTAAAAAAACATGGATTGAGAAACTAAAGAAAGCATCACATTTTTCTTAAAATTGGAGACGGTTATAAAAACACTTCAAAACAAAATATAAAACAGAAATAAATAACTAATAAGAAAGAAGAAATTATATAAGTGAGTATACTAATACCAAATTTTTTTTGTCTGAACATTCACACATAAACCTAAAATAGATATTACAACATTACTAAGATATGATTATCATTGTTCAGAATAGTAGAAATTCAATATGCAGGCATGGGGACTAAGCCTAAATACAGAATTATCAGAACTGGGTAGAGAGCACAACAGAACCTAACAAAACGCCTAAGAAAGATTTATAGATTGCATATACACATAATTACTAGGGATGTTGAGGAGTCATAAAAACAGAAAATAAGATAGCAACAAGATAAGATACCATCACTTAGTTTAATGATTTTCTTTAAAAATATGAAAATCGTGTAAAACCAGTAATAGATAGGAGATGTGAAATCATTTAAGTAAATTCTACATAGTAAAAAACAGTATAAATACTAACAAGCAATCAAATGAAAAATGTGAGAACCTGTAAATAAAATAACCTATCGACACATACAACAAACTACGTTCTAAATAAATGAAAAACACATAGAAATATTTTATATGATCATGATCTTACTTACTGTGATCTGTATCAGGTACACTTTAAAATAGGAGGGTCAAACACAACAATTAATTTAACTACAGAATGATGCACAAACAAACTTGCAACCAACTTATCTGACCAAGTTACAAAATGGAGGTTAACAGGGAAAACCGGAAGTAGAGCAATAAACTCTTATTAAAAATACTAAGGCTGTGTAAAAGTAAAAAAATTCAATAACGTTATATTTAAAAATCAAATTAAAAACGAATATGTTTAAAGCCCATTAATTTTAATTAAATACTGTTCATAACATAAATGGAAAACTACACTAATGATGTCTTGGTTGTGTTATCACATCAAAACTGTTTAGTTATCTATGTTATTGTTTATAACATGATCATGCCATATCTAAAGACATCATTAATGGGATTGTTTTAATCTTTTGTATTCTTTAGAAGTTTTAGATGGTAAAAGTCACTGTGATTCTAAACAGGGACGTTGATAAAACAATTTATTGGTGGTGAGGGGGGGGGATAGAATAATCTGAAATTTCTCAACATTTTTGAGTCGATTTCCTAACAATATTTAATATTTTAATTAATATTAATTTTTAATAAAATGGATTTTCCCGGGTCAAGGGAGAGGGTGAGGAATTATGCTAAAGTTAGAGGTTCAATAAGTTCGTTTATGAAAGCAATCCCCCTTTCTCAATCTTCTTGCATTCATTTCTTCTTTCATGTCTTATATACAGATCGTTCATGGACTTCTTTACTCTGATTAGTGCAAGGAAAACATTTTTTGGCCCTCTCGAATCCCTACCATGTGGCCGGCCATACGATTGAAGCTTCCTGTTTTCAATGGTATAAAAAATTTTTTTTTTTTTAGCTAAATTTTTTCTAATAGCGCTTTTCGATATATACTGTAGCTTTGAGATGTCGCAGCTTCTTAGAAAATCCATCTGTAAGGCTCGAATTATAATATTGAAAAATTACGACAGTTAAGTCATTAATATCATTTTAAAGAACAATATGAAAAAAGGCCTCCTATAATGTAATATATATATATATTAGTTATATATATATATATATATATATATATATATATATATATATTTAGTTATATATATTTTTCCAAATATATATATAATAGGAATAATCACATTTCAAAAATTATCCGAAAGCCTATTGCTACCCTCAAACATAGGCGTCATTACGTAGAAGAGAGAGCGGAGAGGTATGTTATGCTTCCCCTGTTCGACATATCCTCTGCAGTTGACAGCGTGTGGTGGCCGAGTGTTATCCAGTAACTCTAGAAGTATAAAACTCCCAGTAACCTGTATGACCCAGTGAGAAGCTACCTCCAGGACCAGGCATCGAAAATTGGAAGCAGGTTCTTTGAACTAGAAGACACCGTCGAGTTGGGCTGCTCGCAGTGATCTGTTATGCGTCCTGCCTTGTGGAAGCTAGTCTTTGACGATTTGGTGGAAAAGCTCGAAGAGGCGCGGTTCCCTGCCACGGCCTATGTTGACGATTTGGCCGTCGTGGTGGCCTCAAACAGCATAGCCGTTCTGAAAACAGAAGCTGAACGATGCGCCAGTTTGGTCGAAAGATGGTGCGAGGGAAAGAAGTTGGCTGCAACAAAGACCCAGGCAATTCTCTTGAGGGGCACGACTGACAGAGCACATCGTACTATGTAACAAGGGTGCTGGACAAGTTTCAAATCCGCAGAGGGCAAACAAAGCAGACAGGAGTCGTCGGCAGGAGCAGTATCAGTATGAGGTTGCCCAATATAATTATTATAATAAAAGAAAAAAGGTTGTGCAAACTGTAATGAATGTCGACGCTCCAAAACGGTGTCCTCTAAAAATGGCCGAAATCGAGAGGCATTATAAAGATCTCTTTGAAAGCGAAAATCTCTGCGGGCGAGCGGAATACGAACAGTGTGCCCCGATGCCAAATTTGCTGTCCATTGACATAGAAGCTGCCAAGAAAGCCATTAAGTCAACGTCAATGGACACATCGCCGGGGACTGATGGAGTTCTGATCCGCACAATAAAATATTTGAAGATTGAAGTGTCAAACATTATCAAAACGATTGTAGAGATAATGCTGAAGATGGCCTATGTTCCGGAACCACTTCGACAAGGGCGCACAATATTAATATATAAGGGCAAAGGTGATATAAATAATATCTCTACCTGGAGACCGATCACCATATGTTCGATTGTGCGCCGAATCATAGAGAAGGTTCTGGACCACGAATTAAGAAAGCAGCTCACCTTCCACAAGAGTCAGAGAGGCTTTATAAAAGGTCTCCCGGGAACGCACGTCAACGCGAGGATTATCGACGCGGTATTAAAAGATGCACAAAAAATGAAAAATGACTGTGCGATAGTTTTCCTCGACGTTGTCGGTGCTTTTGACAATATTGGCCACAAACACATCGTGAGCTTCCTAGAAGCGAGAGGTGTGTCACCGAATCTTACAAATGTCATATCGGCTCTCCTTAGCACGAACACCATGAAGATTAATAACGGTGTCCATGCAACTAGCCAGATCAAAGTGCTGCGCGGTGTGCCCCAAGGCGGTCCCCTGCCGTCTTCACTGTTTAACCTGGCCATCGATCATCTCTACCGCGACCTGTGCGATGAGGACTTATCCAAGAAATTTGGATACAAATTAAGGAATTAGCAGGATTGTGTGGTCCTCACAGGTTTCGCGGATGACCAGGCTGTGTCGGCGCGAGTAAAGGGGGCCGCAGACAGAGTGATTGACAGCATCCAGAGGACATTTAAAGAAATTGGTCTGGCTATAAATCCTCAAAAAAGTATGGGCATCTTTGTAAATAAAGGAGAGCTGGAAACTACGGTGCTCTCCCTTGAGAATGGTGAGTACATCCAAACATTGAGGAATGGAGATACGATTAAGTATTTAGGATGTACATTCTCGGGAGAGCTACAATTCAAAGAAGATTCGGTGACTAAATTGAATGATAATTTAAACAAGCTGGTAACCTCTTGCTTACTCAAACCTGAGCAGAAACTCAACAGTGTCAATCAATATCTGTTCCCGGGTCTTACTTACCCTCTCCAAATTGCGCCCCTAACAAAGCTGCGTCCTGCTATCCTGGAGGGCATCGACATTAGGATTCGCAGGAGCGTAAAAGCCATTATTGGACTCCCTGCGAATACTTCCACAGCCATGTTGTATGCCCCCACGAGATACCGAGGATTGGGATTATTCCGCTGCCAATGGGAGGCTCCTCTTCAACATTGGTCCATTGCTCAGCGACTGTCCAATGTACCAGATGCCCTTTTTCAGTCTACCTTCGATTATTCGGCTGAAATTACTGAATGTGCCGAGAGATTGGGGGTTGATCAGGGTCATCGAAATGTGAAAGCTCTACGGCAGTCGCTACGAGAAAATGCATTTGAGGAATGGGCCAACTGCAGGTGGCAGGGTATTGGTGTTCCCCATTATATTTAAAGAGACCCCGAAAGCGAATAGATACATCTACGAAAAGCAAGTACTTTCTGGGTCTGAATGGTCGTATGCCCTAAAACTAAACATTAATTATGCACCCCTGCGTGGAGTCCCAGGAGTCAGCGGACAGGTCGGAGAAGTTGGATCCCTCTGCCGTAAATGCGGCAGAGAGTCTGAAACACCAGCCCATGTGCTGGGAAAATGCCCCAACAACTCCCTCCTCATAACACGTCGTCACAACCGGGTCAAGTTCGAGTTGATGAGGCTCCTTAGGGAAAGGAAATTCACCTGCTTTGATGAGGTATATTGCATCAATAGTGAAGGCTCTACGAGATACGCGGATATCGTCGCATTTCCCAAGACAGGAAGGACAGCGCTGATCTTGGATCCAACTGTCCGCTTTGAGAGCAATGACCTCGATCAGGCGGGTGAAGTGGAAAGGGAAAAGAAGAACACGTACGATAAATGTATCCCTTTCCTAAAAGATAAATTCCGTGAGACCTTCGGAGAGAGAGAGTTCACCGTGAGAGGCCTCTGGTTTGGGTCTCGCGGAACTATCCCAAAAAGAACAAGGAGCTTCCTAGGTAGAACTAGGTGTCGACATTAAGGACGTAGCGAGGTTGGCTAAAAATATAGTCCTCGACTCCCTGGGAATCATTCACCACCACGTGCATGGCTAGCCCGAGAGAGTTTTAATTTATGTATTTATTTATTTATTTAATGAATAATTGAAAACAATAGAGATAAAGAGAGAGAAGTGAGAGAAAGGGAAACTAAATGTTAAAAAAAAAAAAAAAAAAAAAAAAAAGAGCATGAACAATGAAAGGAAGGAAAAAGGAAAAAAATGGAAAAAATAAAATAATAAAAATGTGTATATATATATATATATATATATATATATATATATATATATATATATATATATATATATATTACTAATATTAACTAATACTTCTGTATATTTATATATAAGTTCATATATTGTGCAAAGGATAGAAGAGTATGCTGTGTATATAGCAACCCAATATAATTGGGCAGCAATCCTTTATATTTTATGAAAATAAAGTGTTTCTCTCTCTAGAAAAAAAAAAGGGTATGTCCAAATGAGGTTGTCACCTATCTTGGCATAAAAATTGGTCGAAAGTTCAACGTGACTCTTCACATGGACTATATAAGAACTAAAGTCACAGTGGCCCTAATTGGACTCGGTCGTGTCGGAGGCTCCTTCTCGGGTCTCAGGTACTCAGCTACAATGACTATACACAAAGGAGTAGTTTTGGGTATTCTGAGACATGCGTCCCCAGCCTGGAACCATAGCCTCTCGCACCGATAGAAGAGTAGGCTAGCATCGATTCAGAGATTGGCTTTAGTACGAGTCACTAGAGCCTATAGAACGGTATCTCACAAGGAAGTGCAAGTGCAAGACACCTCTCGATCTCCTCCTGCGATCGTGAGAAAATAATGAGAAATTGTTACCTCTTTAAAATGAAAAAAGAAGGTTCGGCGGATCTACCGGAACATTTAAAGATGAGAATTGAAGAAGACCCTAGAAGATGGAAAAGAATTATCAGGAAGGACACAGTTGATCAATGGAACCAGCGATGGATGGCAACTCCGAAAGGGGCTACCCTAATAAAGTAGGGAGTTAAAAGAGAAGGAAGTTAAAACAAGCTGCAGCGGCTTCGCGGACAGGCTTCAGGTGGAAGAATGGGGAAAAAGAAAACAAACAAGTCTAATAGTAGTTTAATAGACCTAAACAAGTCTAATAGACCTATACTGCCAGCAGTGGGATACGCATACTGCGTAATACCCCACTGCTGCTACAACCCGTATTGCCTGTAAGGCAAGACAGGAAGAAAAAAAAAAATAAATAAAAGAAAGAAAAAAAGCTACCCTCCTGAGATTCCGTGACTCTATGCCCCTTAAAATCCGTCAGCTCCTAGTTTTCTCTCTCATTTTCCCCCACTTCGATTATGACTGCCTTATATACGGTGTACTGCCTGGTGTCTACTTCAAGATCATATATGTACTACAGTGTCTTTTATTTATTTTAATATTAGGGTTAGAGAACTTTGTAAATTAATTTATTTTTAATTGTATTCTAATGTCAGGAAATTGTCATCTCGTTATTCATTATAGTTATTCTGAGAGGACTAAATGTCCCAGAATAAAATTCACTTTCTTTCTTTATAGAGGCTGGGTGTGGCGCAATAGAGTCTGCTGATGTCAGGGTCAATGCACGACTGATGTATCATTATAAATAATTACCTGCCGAAGCTGGATTCGAACCCGAGTCCTGGAACATAAGAGTACCTTACTCGTTGAACTTTCCTGCTATCTGGAAGCATATATTGTATATATTATATATTTTAGAAGGTATATCACATCTAAATTACCTTTAATGCTCGGAAGGGATGTTGGTAGATTGAAAGTAATTATCCTAACTGTCATTACTTTATCAGTGGGTCGTTATTGAAGGACATTGTGGGATAGCATCTTTTTCCCTCTCTAGTAACTTTTTAACACCTATAATTGTAGAAGGAATTCTGAGCTATTTTAAGGATTATGACATTTATCAGCTTTGATTATCCTTATCTCTATCAGAATAATTCTTGGTCCCAAGCTCTGGTTGAAGGACATTTGCATTTATTCATGTTATTTTTACATTTTCTCTAATTCCTGCCCATATTGTTTTTAATTTTTTTAAAGGAAAAATAAGGTTTTAATTGTTTACCTGTTCTGTATAGGGTAATTGTGGTAATCCTTCCACTATTTAACCAAACAGACATGGATACAGAAAAAAGAATAATTTTAGGTATTGATATTGGTACAACATCTGTTAAAGTTTGTATTCTTGACAGAAAAGAAAATACTATAATTGGAAGGCAGACAAAAGATACCCAAGCAAATGTTCCGAGTGAGCTGGGTTGTGAAGGTAATAAACAAAATGTTCCCAAAATTTTGTCTGCTCTTCATGCTTGTGTTTCAAGATTGCCTAGAGATTCTCTTAGACAGGTTTGTTATTATATTTTTTAAAAAATAGATTGTATTGAATTTTTAATGATATGAATATTTTATCCTATGAAATGTAACATTAAAGTATATTCAATTTAATGAGTTTTAATAAGAAAATTTTATGCCCATTGACAGAAGCTAAAATAGTTTTTGTGAAGGGGATGGGTATAAAGAATTTTTCACTATGACAAGACTTATGTTAATGAAGTCTCCAATATATATTATCTATTAAAATTAACTTAAGAAATATTATATAAGGATTTTTTAGTCTATTGTTTTTGAATGATTTGATATATCAGGAAGTCAATGAAGTCGTATTATATTTTGCTACCTTTAGAGCAAATGCAAAAATTGAATGTTTTATAGGTGATCATGAAAACTGATTATTTCAAAATGATTTATTTTTACATTTTTATATTTTATTTCTCTCTGGTATTGCAGACTATAAAATGTCACCATTAGCGCTAATAGAATAAAAATAGAAAATTTTTACATACCATCTTTTGCACTAACAGTACTAATATTTCAATCCATAATCTTAAATTTTTAAATTACTATTATTAGTGTTTTATTATAGATTTTTATATTATCGGCCATTTAATGTATCAGTATATTTAATTATTGTAGGTTGAAGCCATTGGTATTTGTGGCCAAATGCACGGAGTAATGCTGTGGAGCTGCTTTGAGGATTCTTTACCATGGGAAAAAGCTGATATTGAATCTTCCAGATTTGATGTTTTATCAGATAAGGTGTCATCATTATATACATGGCAAGATTCACGTTGTGATCCTGAATTTCTTTCATCTCTTCCTAAGCCAGATTCTCACTTGAAAGCATGTTCTGGATATGGTTGTAGTACACTTTTCTGGATGTCAAAAAATAGGTAATATGATATAGTTAATGGTACTAGTTCTGATGTGCTACTCCAATATGCAAACTGGGCATAAGATCAAATGTTCATGTTAAATAGTAGTGGTGGAGTGATTCCCAAATGTTTTTTAATTTTTAGCAATAGAACATAATGGTAATCCTAGTTGTTAGATTATAAAAATGATTACTGCTTTAATTAGATCATGATTGTTGGAACTTCTGCTCTCTCAAGAGAGTTATTCAAGGATCCATCTGTGGTGATGGAACCTTTTCAATTCTTCATTTAAATACTTTATGTTTATTCTCTATTGACAAGAACCTCTGGTTAGTAATACTAGTGAACTAATAATCTCAATTAACCTTACCTTTTAATATGATGCAGATTAAATTCATTAACATGGTTGTCAATATTAGACCAATTTAGGAATTTCTTTTACAGTTTGATCGACATGATCTTGGGCCCAGCCATCATATTTGAGTGACACTTGTAAAGTTTTTTTTTTAAAAAATGGTATACTTAATCCACCGCAGCCATATCACTCGTATTATGGCACTATTAAAGTTTTATTGGGATGATATTTTTGTCCTGTGTGTTTACCTCTATTTTGATAAGTAATTATATTAACCTAATATATATATATATATATATATATTATATATATATATATATATATATATATAAATGTAATTTATCTAGGTGATAAATAGTCAGGACACAGTCTTTTTTAGGATTTTATTGGTGCCGACGTTTCAACCCAAGCATGTGGGTCATCATCAGGGCGTACTGGCCGGTACTTGAACACTTGTGCTCGAACCACATCCTGATGATGACCCACATGCTTGGGTTGAAACGTCGGCAGCACCAGTAAAAACCTTAAAAAAGACTGTGTCCTGACTATTTATCACCTATGATATGTAGAACACTCGACTAACTTCCTTCAATAATTTATCTAGTCTTACAATTTATTTAAATTTAGAAAATAAAACTTTAGTTACTAACATTTCTTTCTAAAACATATTAAAACATTTTCTTTCTAAACATCAATTATAGAAATCATAATAATAACAAGCAAAAATCTCATCAAATTTATTCATGGTATTTTGTATTCAGGTATTGGTTTTATATAATATTGGGGCGTTACCCTCTGTCCACCTAACGGCGGACCAATGCCCAGTTTATAAATTAAACAACTGTTCATTTACTTGTTATTTGTTGCTCAAATTATATAGCTGTAATTTACATGTCCAGTCAAATGAGCACAAAAAAGGGTTATAGCTTGCAAAAATTCGTGTAATTCAAATTTCATTTTTTTTTTTGTTAGATACGTCATAAAAATGAAAAATTCAAGTTTTCACCATTGATAGCCTTGTGGGTTTGCTGCAGTGCTCTAAAAACCATTGAAATTTCGAACTTTTTTTGGTTTACGGTAAATATTTCTTTTTTTAAAGCAACATAGATAAGAAATAGTTATAAGAAGAGCATTATTGTGAAGAAATCGAAATGGGTAAATTTTGAAAGGTCGATATATCGCTTCCTGTTGGGTTTAGAAAAAATGTTATGTACAAAAATGTCGGATAATTTTAAGCTGTTTAAGATTTAACATCACTATTTTTTATATATCTGCTCTAAAAAGGAGATATTCAGCTTAAACCAAAAAAAGTTCGAAATTTCAATGGTTTTTGGAGCACTGCAGCAAACCCACAAGGCTTTGGGTGGAAGGTGGAAAGGTGGAAACTTGGATTTTTTATATTCACTACAAAGCTAACGATATAAAAAAGACATTTAAATTATCCGATCTTTTGCAAGGTACCATGTTTGATTTTACTGGGCTAATGTATTGTTCAGATAGTATTATTTTTTATCAACATAAAATAAACTGAACGAATGAAATACAGTTCGGATAAATTTTGAATTTCTTTAAAAATTTATATTATACATTGCTTTCTTACCAATTTGTAACTATGATATATATTCAACTTGTCTGGCTTTATATAAGCCCAACATTTATTTGAGCCTTTTACTTCTAATATTTTCATTGTACTTATATTGTGCTTCCTCTTCTATTTCACAATAATTTCAATATGATATAAATAATATTATATATAATAAGATAATTAATATATTGTATCCAAGGAGAAAATGTCTAGATCGATAAATAACTGCTGTCACCTAGGTAAAATCAAACTACCACTCCCAGATGAATGCCATTTTTCTTACAAATTTTTGATATAAAATCTTTATTTTGTATTAGGAGAATAGGAGCTGTAATCTCTATTTTGTATCAGGAGATATGAGGTTACAGGAGCTCAATACATATGTAATTAAATGAACAGTTACTATATTAAATTAAATTACATGAATAATTAGTGGTAATTATTGAAATTATAGGAAAGCTCCTTTAATCTCTTGAGGTCATGGTGGCCGAGTGTGTTGGAGCATTGCTCTCCTCCTCGTGCCTAGCGACGCTGATTCGAATCCGGCCTGGGAGTGGTTGACATTTATTTCGTGGAATGAAATTCGACCCTCCCATTCTGGTTAGAATAGATTGTACATTTAGAGCAACCCTTCTGTATGCCAGAAATAGTCGGTAGGAGGTTATCCAATAAAAAATAATAATAATAAAATTAAAAAAATTAAAAAAACTCCTTTAATCTCCTACTCTCCTAATACTAAAATAAAATAATTTAACAAAGTTACTAAAAACTTTTATATATAGAGAGATGTATTTACATTAGTAACTTGTCATTAACTAAACTTGTCAATATAAAAACAGGAACTTTTTCCTTTCAATTTTTGATGTCATAAGTCTAGCTGATAAATTCTAAATGAAATTTGACCATTGTTTAATTATTTATTTATATTTTTATCCAATTATTAGTGGTTGTCCAATAAAAAATAATAATAATAAAATTTAAAAAAACTCCATTTATCTCCTACTCTGCTAATACTAAAATAACATAATACATTGAAGTCACTAAAAACTCTTATATAATAGAGAAATGTATTTACATTAGTAACTTAACATTAACTAAGCTTGTCAATATAAAAACAGGAACATTCTGCTTTCAATTTTTTAAGTCTAGCTGATATATCCAAAATAAAATTTGACCATTGTTTATTTATATTTTTACTCCTTTCAATTTCTAGACCAGAAAAGCTTAATAAATTCAACTGTGCTGGTACTGTTCAAGACTTTGCTGTAGCTATGCTTTGTAATTTAATGAAACCAGTAATGTCTGTGCAAAATGCTGCTAGCTGGGGCTATTTTAACTTATCCACTAATCAATGGAACATGGAGGTAGGTAAAACCTGTTTAATTATTGAGTTCATTGTGACATAGAATAGTTTTAATGAGTAATTAGTCTTAATATCGTTTTCCAAGCTTTCTATAAAAACTATTTCTCTCCTGAAATATAAAATTGTGTATAATAAAATTTATAATGTCGAGGAAAATAACTTTATTTAACCCTTACACCTCCACTCCATGCTTCAATTCATTTTAATTTTCTCGACGATGTTTCAAGCAATTTTGATCATTTTCCAGTTGAAATATTTATGTCATTATCCTATCATCTGTGTAATATTATTTTTTATATAATTATTGTAAAAATTTTCTTTTTTCTTCTCACATTCTTCTAATATTAATTTCATAACTTATTTATGAAAAGTCAATTCTTTGGCCCATCAAAAAATTAAACATTTTTTTTTTTTAATTTTCATCAAATGTTACACATTTTTGTCCTTTTAATACAATAGCCTTATGTCCTCTGTTGAAATGATATAAATATTTCAACTTGAAAAAGGGCAAAATTGCCTGATAAGTCGTAGAGAAAATTAAAATGAATTGAAGCAAGGAGTGGAGATGTAAGGTTTGAATAAAGTGATTTTCCTCAAAATTATAAATTTTATTAATTATAAATGCCCCAGAAAATTTGGAAGATTTAATATCAAATTGTGTTTCGCTTTTTAGACATTATAGAATAAACTTGGTTTTGTGGTTATGTAACTTAAATTCAATCAAATACTTCTAGGGTGGTAACGAACTAGATTCGATTGTATCATTTTTTATTTATTTTTTTAAGAACTATCATATATTCATTATTTTACTGTTTCACATGGCTTTGTACTCATTTTCAGATCAAAAGAATACAAAAAAAATATTTATATGATATTCATCTGTTCATTACAACAGTCTGAATTTCATCTTCAAATAATAACTATAAATTTTTCAAAAATTTTTTTTTCCCTTTCTGGCCTTTTTTTTGTCTATAGCAGGTTTTCCCAGACCAGGGGAGAGGTCGAGGAATTAATACCGGAGTTAGAAGTCCCTCTAGTATCGGAATTCTAACTTTAATTGTAACAGTCGTACTTGGCCATCCCGCACCCCTAAATTTTTAAAACCATTAAACGTATAGGAGTAATTTCTTTCTTATAATTAAAAAAGATAATAAAATTTCATTTGTTCTGAAGATGGGTGAAGAAGCTTCGCTAAACATTAACATAATTAATCTGTAATTTTTACTTTCACTTACCTATATCTCTAATATATAGGGAATATAGGGAAAGTATTACTATCATGAAAGTTTTCAAATCTGAGTTCTCAACAGAAATATACGTTTTGAGGTCCCCTGAGTTCAAATAACCAAGTCCCGCAAAATTGTTTGTGTTTATGTTATCAGTCTAACTCAAAAACGAAAAGTCATAAGAAACTGAAAATACATATTTAAGTCAGGTTTATACCTGGGATGTTACATCCACTTTTTCATTAAAATCGGCTAACCGGAAATGCCACTTTATATCTTCGATTTTACACATTTTTACAATTTTCTTAAAAGTGGCCCTAGCAATTTCGATTAAACTCGATGTATCAATGTATAATGAAGTAATCTTTAATATAATTTAGGCCTTATCCCTATTGATTTCGCTTAACAGGGTCTTAATGCCCAATGTTCATATACGTATTCCTCTAAAGTACCTTTAATTTGGTTTATTTTAAAAAGTTAATCATTTCACATTATTCAAAGTAATGAAAAAAGGATAAATATTACTTTTGAAAGAATTTGGTTATTGAATAAAGAAGGGAAAAAAATGCTTATCCAGGTTGAAAACGAATCTTCGGAAATAATTGTAGAAGGTATATGTATAATATATAGTTGGAAAGCGGAGAAATATAGAAAAAATAATACATAATAAATAAAGTTATAGAAGATAACAGAGAATGAGGTAAAATTTAAATAATAATTTCTAAAAACGAACATTATTTAACGTTAATCACATGTTTCCGAGGGAATTAAATGATATTTTCTTCCATAACATAAACTTTTAAAAATTTTGAAAAATTATTTTAAATCCACCAAATCAAGGCAATGACATTGTTTAAATTTCTATTTCATTGCACTTGTGTGAAAGAAGTTAAATATAAAAGTATTTCATGAATATCTTTATAACCTTCAATTCATTTATTGTAGTTTAATAACTGTAGAGCCGATAGTATATTTAAATAATTAGTTATCTATCATACTAGAAGTCCATCATGTAATTTTAGAAAATTAAATTAGTGAATAATTAGAAGAATTTTCCTTTTTGTAAAATCACAACATAATCCACTTAAAATTAGTGTTGCAACTTTTCAACTATCGATAGTAGTCAATAAAAATATCAGAACTCCATTTTAGTAAACATTATAATAGAAAAATAAGATTTTAATTACTATTATTAGTACAATCCATAATCATTTATTGGTTAGATATACTTTCAAATCTTACTAGGCATATATATCTTAGCAACTGAAGTTTTTTGGTTTACAAATTCAATAATGATTTCTTAGCTGTAATACCTTAAATTTCGTAGCTTCAGTTTTAACTCGGTTAAAAGTGCCCTTCAAAAATTTTATAACAGCCTAAAATTGCCAAAAAATAATTTCTATTCAAAGTAGAATGGTAAGTGAAAGTTGTGTGATGCCCTCCCCTGATTTTTTTTTTATAGATATTTATGAAAATAAACTAATTAAGTCTAGATCGCCCTTACCTTCAGTTAAATTTTTTTCATCCTTGTCTTTATTTTATTAAACATTATAAATGAATGTTTTTTTTCAAGATTAGATGTATGTTTTGCTTTGTCTGTCCTCACTTAATACTTCACTTTTAGATTTTAAAATCTGCTGATTTTCCAGTTCATTTGTTACCTGAAGTAATTGATTCAGGAAAAATTGCAGGCTATCTAGCTGAAACATGGCATGGCATTCCCGCAGGAATACCAGTAGGTCAGTTATTTTATTTATAATCTCTATATGTATTATGTTTAAGTCATTTTATTTAGCAACAGTTATCGACAGCAAAAGACTAAGTACAATTTTATTAGAACATGTGGTTTTGAGCTTGTCTGGTCTATCTTGACCTCACCCGTATTGAGAAATATATATTAGAAAAATTACATCTTTTTTTTTAACATGCTATAGAAATTAAACAGAATGTCTAGTTCATAAAATAAAATTCATGGTTTCTTTTGTCTTATGAACAATTTTCGTTTTTGCAGTGAGATTTAACCAGTTTAAATTTTCAATTACCACGGATAGTGATAATTTTTACCTTTAAACATCATCTCATGGAACATACATTTTTATTAATTGATTGATAAGTCTACTATTACAATATTTTACTCCAGCCATAGAAATGATCATTTATCATTATAAATATTTTTTTAAACTTATTTATTGAAAAATATTACAATCTGTCTCAAGGACATTTATAATAGTGTTCAGAGATCACATTCACACTCTTGAATTATAAATAAAATAAATTATACAGAAAAATAATATAAGAATAAAATAAATAAGAATAAAATAACTTAAAAATAAATAAATAAAAAGAACACAAACATACCTATATACAATATTTGCATTCTGGCGAGAGAACTCCAAACCAGACTTGCCCCTCCAACTGTTGAGGGAAAAGCATGACTCCAGGAGATCCCTGCACTTCTCTCTCAACCGCGTCACTGGGACTAAACCCAGTGGAGATTGAACAACAGTGCTAGACAGTGAGATATTAAACTTCTAAGAAGCTTGTTCTAATCTAGATGAATAAAAAATAATTAAGGAGCTTATAATTTTCGCAGAGATCTATTCTTAAAATTTAACTATTGCTGTTTTTAATTATTTTTTTTATTTAATGGAACAGTTAAAAAAAATAGTAAGATTAAGAGTTGATTTTCATTTTTATCTTGAATGAGATTTTATGGGAGTTTTTTGTTATCCAACTTGATTTTATTCGAGAGTTTATGATGATAATATGTAAAAATTAGATAAGTCTTCAAAAACAAAAAAAAAATGTGTCTTAGTAGTAAAGCAATATGTTATTTTCAAGAAAATCTGTAAAATTTATGATTTTTTTCAACCACATGCTAAACTTGAAAAGAAAATTAAATTAGCTAGGGTACTATTTGATTTATGAAACAACATGAATACTGGGATTTAAAAAAACAAACTAATTGAGTTACTTCTCTCTGTTTTAGCTTAGTAGTTAGTTTTTTAAAATTATTTCATCTCCAATTTGAGTATCTATGTTCTAATCCTCATACAAATTAATGAACCAATTTTAGGTGCAGCATTAGGAGATCTGCAATGTTCTGTCTTGTCTACTTTACGCAATGAAGATGATTCTGTTTTGAATATTTCTACTTCTGCTCAAATGGCATTTATTTCTCCTTCATTTGATCCTCTTAACTTTGATGGTAATTTGGCTTTATTTTTTTGAAAAGCAACTTAACTTAACATTTTCTTTAGAAGATATAAATTATAAGACAATCAATAATGAGTTTTATAGCTTTCCCAAAACTAGCTCACGTGGCACTTTGTCGAAGCTAAGTTTTATCTTCATCTTCTGATATTATTTACAAGTATGTATATATATTTTACAAAATTGCAGTATTATCCTGCAATTTATTTATATAGCTGTATAAAAATAGGAGTATACATAAAAAACAGCAACATTAGTTTCAGTTAAGTGACACATGATATCGCTCTCTCTCTAACTGCCATTCGATGTTGGTTGAACTATAATGAAATAATTTATTTCAGAATTTTTTGCTTCACAATTAAAGTATTATAAATTAATATAATTTAATTTTTGTTTCTAGCCAACTCCAAAGTACTATTTTTACCATATTTCAATGGAAAGCATTTGGCTGTGGCGGCTGCTCTTAATGGAGGAAATGCATTAGCAACGTTTGTCAGCATGCTTCAACAGTGGACTGTCGAACTAGGTTCACCTCTTCCTCAAAGTAATTATGAACTTATATTTACAAAACGTATTTATAACTTAAACTAGGCTTTCCTAATAATCATCGAGTTGTTGATAATTTGATAGTTTTTGGTGATGTCTTGGTATCAGTAAAGGGTGGGAGATCACGTCCCCAAGTAGGCCATTTGGCCCTTTTCATTCTGTGGATCTGCCATGAAATAAATTTCAACCTACCCAGGCTGGTTTTGAACCAGTGCCACTAGACTTGAAGTTAAGGTCGAAAGGAATGAAAAAATTCAAAAGAACACAGAATAGATAAATATGACTCTGAATGTATTTGTTTATCATTTGCCATCCTCAGACAGGATAATATTCATTGACACCCTATTATCCCAGTTTGTTCCTGAGGTTTTTACAACAATAAAGTGTAATAACTTAATCTTTTCAATAATTATACTCATTAAAATTGTATATAGTCATCTTATTTAGGCATGTGGAAAGTTATGATAATGACTCATATGGATGTGGTACACTTTTTCTCTAAGGAATTTATTATAAGATGCTGTTTTTATTGAATTTAATTATTCAAACATCATACCAAACTAGACTTTAACACTTTTTTTGGTAGCAAATTACTACATAGTAAATTTTATATGTTACACTTGAACATCTTAGTGATAGTTACAATTGCAATTATCTCAGAAGTTCGGATATTTTCATTATAAATTCCTTCTATTTCAGGCAAGATATGGGAACGTGTAATTGAAGCTGCTAGCAAATGTGATTCTTCTGATTTGAATGTTGTCCCTACATTACTAGGAGAAAGACATGCTCCAGAACAAAATGCCATGGTTACTAATATAACTAAAGGGAATATTTCTTTGGGACAAGTTTTTAAAGCATCTTGTAAGGGAATAATTGAGAATTTACATAAGTAAGTAACATATTTTTATTATACTCTTTTAAAAAAAGGGGCCGGTATAGCAGAGTGGTTAGCGCGCTATACTAGTAAAGTAAAGATCATAGGATCGAATCCCGGCCCTACTTCCCAATACGGCTGGTCCCCGCGGGAAGTTAGACCATTACCCTCTTAATTGGGGAGACCTACAGATGTAATACTTGTAAAAACAGGCTATACAAAAAAAAAAAAAAAAAAAATGGTAAATTAATTTATAAAAAAAATAATATATCCAAGTTTATTCATTTTGAAAATATGTGTGCTCTTTCATCAAGTAATGATTCAACATTTTCAGATTCAGTACCACCTCCCTTCTATAATATTTATAGCCTTATACCATTTAAAATAAAATATTGATGGTGAGCTGGCAATACCTTCTGTTAGATTATTTGGTTGATTATATATCTTCAGGGGGCTTACAGCCAGGACAAAATGAGAATTATGATTATGATTGTTTTACTAGAATCGCATTCAAATTTAACATTTCACACATTTTGCCAAACAAAAACACATTTAGCCAGTCAACACAATAGTTTTTTCACTGAATTTAGTAATGATTTTTTCTCGAGTCCCTTTTCACCTTTTCCCTCTAAGTTAGAGATAAGTAAGTTAAGTTCTTTATTTAGAGGAGAAGGGAATAGGAAATTTTATTATATAGTGAGACTGACTGGCAGATTGTTGTGGACACCCTATATCTTGCAATATATCCCCATATGCTCTAAATACAATTAAAAACAGATATATACACTGTCTTAGGTACAAACTTAAGATTGTCTGAACGTAGTATGAAGCGCCGTGACCGTGAACTTGAAAGATAAGACCCGCTGAGGGGAATTATCTGCCACGTAAGCTATCTCTAGCAAACGAGCACCAATTTAATTAATGTATATTGCTAATTGTTAATAAAAAGTTACTTACTCACCTCACTGTTTACAAAGTATGAGAACAGGATTTGAGATAATAACCAGATAACAAAGTAGCAAAGACAGAACGATACGAATATTGAACTTCAGCTGCGGCCATGACACTTGATCATATTAAAAACTTAAAATATGAATATTTCATAAAATATAATCATATTCCTGACTTGTGTATCATTAGTTCCTACCTTATCATATGTTATAACTTTGCTTTTCTTGATATGGTTTCAGTCATCTAGGTAAAACATGATTGTTTCATTTAGTTGGTCATTTGATTATGTTATTTTTATCTATATTTCTCTATGTTGATGAAAGATGGTCAATCTAAATTGATTTATGCTGCGAATATATTAAAAGTAAGATGATTAGAATAATGAATTGCCATATCAAATAAGTTTTAGGCTTTTTTAACTGTATCGATCTGAGTAGACTTTTCCAGAAAGATTTCATTTAGAGGACAGCTATATAATGGAAATGTATTTAAGATTTTTGCAGAAAACATTACCATTCTACAGCAGATGGTGCTTAGATAGAGGTCTAGGAAGCCAGTTTTACTAGGCATTGGGTGAGTGTGAAACCCTCAGGTGCAAGCTGTTTTTTTCTTTCTATCCTTGTTTTTAGGGAAAAAACATGTTTACTTTTGTTTAAAATAAATCTAATGGTTCTTACTGCTTTTTTAGTTTTTACTCATAATTTATCTTTATGTTGGGTGACGGTTCTATAAAATTGTTAAATTCTATTTTCACTGGATGTTTCTCTAGTTTCACAATATTGCTTTATGCTAATTCTTGTCTCTTATTTTACCCTATTGAAGTCTGTTTTTTCATGCTACCATTTAAGTTAAGGGCTTTCATATTAAAAAAATTTATATAAGATATATTTTTCCACTGGCTTCTATTACTAGTTCCTTTTGAAAGTTGTTAATGAACCTCATTAGTTTAAATGGTAACAAACTTCCTCACAAATTTGTAAATAAAATTTTTTTTTCATTTTGCATGGTCATTTTTGTTTCTAATGTTTTATTTGATTATTAATTTATTTATATTATGTTAGCATAAATGAATTTTTAAAGATGAATTCATCTTTGGATGGGTTCATCCAAAGATTTTTTTTTTTAAACAAATTAACATAGCTGATTCTGTTAAAATTTGGTGTGGGTTACAGTTTATCTTTTAAAGTATGTTCAAGGACTTTGCTTAAAAGCTTAAACCTTACAAAATGTTTTAATTTAAATGTCATTTTATTTATTCATTTAATTTTTATTATACGAGGTGTAATTTTATTATAATTATTTCTGTATCAATACATTGTTTTCCCAATCTCAACTTTTCAGGAGTGGCAAAAAAAGTAAAAACAATTTACATCTTATTAGGAAGTGGTCTTAGCCCATGATACAGACTCCTTTTAATTAAATTATTAACATCCCCCTAAAACTTCCTAAATAGCATCATCTCATTGTAACCTACAAATATTTTATTTACGAATACTCTCGGAATAGGAGTGTTTTCAATCTGGAGATCGGCAAACCTTGTCTATTTAATTTGGTACTAAAAACTCATGAACAGCCATTTCCTTTCCACTTGAATCATAAGATAATGTGATCACAAAATTAAAATAAAAAATGGTGACTTACAAAAATATTGAGCTGTTTGGCCAATATAACTTCTTTATTTTGACATTTTGAAGGTGGAGGTCATGCCAAACAGCCCAATATTTTTGTAGATGACCTATTTTTTCCATTTTGTAATCATATTATCTTATGATTCAAGTGGGAAGCAGATGGTATTCATGAGTTTTTAGTACCTAGTTAAATAGACAAAGTTTGCTGATCTTCAGATTGAAAATGCCTCAATTCCAAGAACTTTCGTAAATAAAATATTTCTAGGTTACGATAAGATGAAGCTATTTACGAAGTTGTAGGTGGATGTTAATTATTTGATAAAAAGGAGTTTGGACAACAAATTATAAGATAGAGGAAAGTAACAATTATTTGAAGAGAAGAATAGTTCAGTCAAAAAGGAAGGCAAAAATAAATGATAATATTTATTTTTTACATATGCCGACGTTTCGACATGAAGTTCAGGCCTTCATCAGAGCTAAGAAAATAACCAGATAACAAGGTATGAGAAACATAAGTAATGATGGTAAAAAAGATAATAAAAAATAAATAAAAAATTAGAAAAATAAAATAGATAAATATAAAGTAAAATGAAATTGTTAGAATAATGACTAAGAACTAAGAGATAAATAATAAAAACCGTTACAAAGTGTGGAATGATGAAGTAGGCATAATCAAAAAGGGGTGACAAAAGTGTTACAATGGGAATCTTAGAATAAAATGTAAAACATAAAAAAGAAATATAAAGTTATTTAAGAAATGAAAATAAATAGTAAAATTAAAACATTGAGAATGGAGTAGTTAGATAGAAAATTGAGATATTTTAAAGTATTTTCTTAGCCCTGATGAAGGCCTGAACTTCAGGTCGAAACGTCGGCATAAGTAAAAAATAAATATTATCATTTATTTTTGCCTTCCTTTTTGACTGAACACCCCAACTATTCTTCTCTTCATTATCCACGACAGTCAACCAATTACCAATTATAACAATTATTTGTTTTGGAAAATTTAGACATCACTAAGATAACTCTAAATCAAAATGCTTTTTACTTTATTTACAGAAATAATTATGTTTACTAAAAAAAAAAAAAAAATATAGTTATATTTTTAAAACATATAGTGCAAAAGTTTAATATAGCTTATTGTAACATGTTTTATAGCATAATGCCACGTGAAATGCTAATAAGCTGCAATATTTCTCGTATACTTGGTGTGGGATCTGCTCTAACACGTAATCCAGTTTTGCAGAATGAAGTGAAAGATTGCTATCAAGTTCCTATTGTTTTTGAAAATAAAGGTGATGCCGCTTGGGGTGCAGCATACTCAGTGTCAATAGTTCCTTAATGTTTAGGAATAAAACTGTAAAAATCTAATACATCACACCTACATATATTACTGTGATCAATAGATCAATTAGATCTATTTAGTTTGTGTAACTCTGCTCACTTCAAATAATTAATTATTCATTAGGTATATACTTAATATATTAGGTAACCACATACTTATGATTAAAACTGATCAAGTGGCAGAATGTAGGCTTTTCCGTTGTCTAAAGTTTAAACATTATAAAATCTTCTCAGATATTATAGGTGGTGAATAATTAAATAACAATTATGCTTTAATTATTAGGCATGGTTAATTTAAATCAGTTTTAAGAAATTTGGATTGTTAAATATGCCTTGGATTGTCTAAGCATGCCTTTTTCTTATTTTTTTTAATCCTTTAAGATTATAGAATAATCCATGATATCATTGTATTGAGACAAGTTAGTCTTCAAGTTCCTTACAGTTGTAACAGTGGATGACTACATATGTGGGAAAAATCACTTGAAATGAAAAGTATAGATTGGCTTTGATTTTTGTTTCATCCAAAGTGCGCATCAAAGATGAAAGGATAAAAGAATACTACTATTCTACATCTGATCACTACAGCAATCATCAAGTTCCTGGAACTGATGATTCTTCTAGAAGGTGGAGTGAAAAATGTAAACAACTCCTCCTAATTCCCCTAGTCTGGAATGAAACTATATCATAGTGTACAATTATTTTTGTTGTTCCTGTATTGAACTACAGTATTGAATCTTTTAATTAATTAATTAGTTATTGTATAATAATTGGCATCCAGCGATTACAGGAAGTCAAATGCATGGGAAAAGTGTACTCCTCAATGCTCTCAAATTTGATTATTCTTAGATTAGCTGAAGTGGGTATAAAAGATAAAGTAAAAAATGATAATAACAGCATATTGAGCTTCTTGAGGTTTTCTCCTTGTAACACATGGTTTCACTCAATTATGCCTTCGAGTATGGCCAGTTGTCGATAAACTTGCATTCAGTTGTGCTATCAGTGGCCATGAAATTAAAAAAATTCTATTTTTATTTCTTCTTATGAAATTTTATTCATTCTTAAATGAGAAACAAAATGATGAACAGTGCAGTGAAACCATAGAACTGTATCAAAAAATGTGTTTAAGGATGATTCATTTTGAATTTACCCTAAAAGTGATACAGTTTAAACACTTTACTTATTTATCAGGTACTAAACTTAGGTTGGAACAGAGCCTCCTACAAGTTCAGCTACTAGTCATTTCAATTGTTAACAGCTGCTCTTCATTCTAAGATGTATCTAGTGCCTTCATCCACACAATCAAACTACTTTAGTCTTCCTTTATCACCTTTTCCTGTTCTTGTTGGAAAAAGCTTTTCATCCAAGAACTTTTGGATTATTTTTTCTTGCTTCATCCTGGTTATATATCCGTCCCTGTGCAGCCTTCCATCTAGTATAATTCAAACTGTCCACAACCACCTAAAGACAAATTATTTCTATATTAGTTCACTTTCTCCAGAAATTTTCAATGCATATTGTTCCAAGAACTTTTCGCTCAAATCTTTGTGGTCTGATCACAATTTCATAAAGGAGTTATTTTGTGACCCAGAGATAGCGCTTTGCTTCAAAGAAAGCTGCTACTAGGATTTTATTATTCTTTATGATTAAAAATCCAAAACAGAATGGTTACTGTGATAGACACATAAATTAGCTTTATTTATTTTATATTACACCATTCATTTCATAATTATTCATTACATTATATTAATATTAGATAAAAATACTATATCTATAGTGAGATTAAATGATTTAGTAATAGCACCTAGGTTATTTTATTGCCAATAGTTCCTACACTTTAGTTTTAGATATTACACTGTCTTCCAGGTGGTGGAAAGTAAATTTATGATCATGATTTTAGTTATTAGATATGTTTTATTAAAATAAAATTGAAGGAACTTGGTTTCTTTATTGCCTCCTTTTGTTCTTCCTATTTTTACCAATCCTTAAGGTAAAAAAAAAATATTGTTGTTTTTTATACTGAGATAAAGTAATTTTTTATCTTGTTTTAAGTTTTTGATTTATTTATTTTTTGGATATAGTTACTTCCTTTGATGCTTATTGTAAAACAAGAATATTTTTATCATGTGACCTAATAATCTTGTTCTTACCATGTATTCAATTTAGAAAACATTAGAGTTTTCATAATTTTTCTGTATAATCATTCAATCAGTTTTTATGATTACCTCAGTTTCTTAAAATCTTGGTGGTAATATTAATTCAATCAAAAGTTAGATTGTTTCTGTTTGGAAACAAAGAAGTGATTCTTGTTTTAGAGTAATGCTACCCATTAAGGAGGAAAGTTCCACTGTTTAGTGGTACTTAATGACTTTAAAGGTGGCAGGGTAATTTTTTTTAATTTGATGATTTTATAAAGAAAAACGCTTCGTTCTTTATTACAAATTATACCATACACTCATTACAGCACATATGTGTAATAAACTTAAAGGAATGTATTCAAATTCATTTCACCTTTACATCTGATCAAAACCTTTTGAGTTCTTTTTCTTTTATGTATGCTTCTATAAAATAAGTTATTAATTTTTTGTAGACATTTCCACTGATCTCATATTGAATTCGAAACCTACACTAACTGCCCAGCAATTGTTTATCAGAGCACTTCAGATCCTTTGAAGTACTCATATTCACCAAAAAAAAAAATTAACATTCATTTATCTTGGATTTGATTATTGTTGTTCTTTTGCTCATCTCTGGTTTTATTGTTTTGTATACTTGAAGAGTGAGCACTTTATTCAAATGATATCTAGCTTTAAAATTATTTTTCTATTATTTTTTATAAAATTAGTCGGCGATATATTTGAAGACATCGCAATACATGTAGCTAGGGATGGAATGTCCTGGGCGGAACGAATTCCACCACTAGTACGCTGATTACAGCGGAAGTAGATTAACAGAATGGTCGAATAGGTTGTTTGCTTCAAAAGTGGACCATAATGACTAAATTTGATTTAGTGTTTAATAAAGAAAAATAATTTAATAAATTATAAGATCCTAACCATAATTTAAGATAGAAATTTTCCAATTTTAAAAATATTAATTATAATGCAAAGATTCAGACATTAAAATAATAATAAACTAATTATAAATAATAATAAACATTTTAATCTAATTTTATTATTATTAAGACCAATGATAAATATGTGGTTCTGTAGTGCAAATGAAATTTGTCATAGATAAATTTTATATCATTGGTTTATTTAAATTAAGAAAACCTAAGATTTAGCATTTTATTTTATTTTACTTTTTTTAGATATCTATAAAAGTCACAAGAGATATCAATATTGTTTTAAAAACCTTTTAAAAGTGTAAACAAATATTAATTATTTATTAAATTTTGGCTTTTTTTTTATTGTTATTGTTATTTTTAATTTATTTTTAATTCACATTACAAAGACAGAATGAAGAAGAAACAGAACTAACAGTCTGGTTAGTTGTAATCAAAATTTCTTGAACCTATTCCATGAAACTGTTGGAATGGTTCCACCGGAATTTGAACCAATCTGAGATTTCATTCTAGCATCTGGTTGGAATGATTATGATATGGATTAAAGTGTCTACGTGTGTTGTTATTTTTAATTTATATTATTAAGTGTTAAATTAATTAAATTGTGCGTATAATAAAATAAGCAAATGAGAATACAGAAATGGATTTTTATTCATCAATAGTTTTCTGTAACTTGGGGTAAGGGAATATTTAAGGAAAATTAAGACAAATATATGAATTTTATCAACCAAAAAATAGCTTTGTTTAAAAAATAAAGATAAAAAAACAAAACAAATTTATAATATAAAATTTAGAATGAAATAAAAAACCAAAACGGTAAAAACTTTAAAATAAATTATTTCAAAAATTGGAATTTAAAAACAGCAATTTTTACTTCAACAACTGATAGTGGAGTAGACCGTTCATTAATCAACATGCCACTTTTGAAAATATTCTTTGACATGAAACCGAAGTGTTCCATTCCGAATATTCTGCACTTGTACTCTTCTCAAATGAAATACCAAATTACTCTGAGCAGTAGTCTAAGTAGACTAATTTTGAATAAATCCAGAAAATCGAAAATTATTACGAAAAGAGCTGATTCATTTTTGTACTCTTTAATCGTCAAATGAAATAGTAATTGAGGTACTCGGTAATAGGGCAGAGCGAGTATTCGAGTAAAATACCTATACTCTGTACTTTTTTCCCATCTCTATCTCAAACTAACACTGTGGGAATTCTGAAAAAAAAAAGAAACATTATATTTAAAAATTTTAAAGAGGAGACAGGGATGCCCATTCTTCCTATTCCAAGGCCGATGGCGCATGAACCTCCGCCACTCCAATATATTTTTTTATTATTGTCCTCTTCTTAAAAAACAGTGTAAGGAAAAGTAGCATTTGAAAATTTTAATAATGGTTAGCGTTTCTTTACGAAACACTCAGACAATAAGAAACGTTTTTAGTTGAATAACACTACAAACATAGAAGCCATAAGACCGAAGGAGTAAAATATTGTACTGATCATTGACGTCATCTGACAGTGTTGTATGTAGTATATACAATAACAAATAACCTTAACTAATTAATCCTAACAGAAAAATCATTGATTACATTCAATTAACCAATCCTGTAGTCTGTCCCATGCTTTCTCTTCTCTTCTGATTTGAAACCTTTCATTCGAAAACTCGTAACACGGTCGAAATGTGCCCCCTCAAAAATTTTGATGGCGCATCTTGCACCATGAAGCTCCCTTCTGGGCACTTTTTTTTTTACAATTATTAACGTTTCACTTCTGTAACCTGAAATGATTTGGAAAATATTAAATTAATTACTAGAATATACATTTTCTTCATAAAAAGATATGTTAAAAATGCTGTTGTTTTTTTCTAAAAAAATAAATGTTTAAAAATCATCGCCCAAGTGTTAGTGTCACCATCAATTTGCAAATACCGACGTTTCCCTACATCGTACAATTCGTGGGCTATTTAACTTGCTAATTATTCCAATAGCAGCACTATTAACAGAAACGATCTTCATCGTGGCCGGAAAGGCAATGAATAAAACACAGATTTGGAATTGTTTTATTTCTCTAGATCCTATCTCCAAAACTGGGTGATAGGAGAAAAAAAAATGAATTTGACATTTTGTGAAGAAATTTTACTTCATTGACTGGACTACGTGTTTTTTGAAGTGATTCATCCGAATTTGAGATTTGTGAAAACAATTTCCCGGAAAGTTTTGAAATAGAAATAAACAACTTGCTTTTCAATCTTTTTTTTTTTTACTTTTTTTTTTAAAGAGTTTTCCAGTGATAAAAACAACAACAAAGAAGAACAGCTTTGCAGTAGAACATGTAAACTTTTAGAACGGTATATCTCTGTACTAAATCGTCCGATTTCAATAATATTTATTTAAAGGAAATGTCATCAACCTTCTAATAAGTAAACACGTGATACAACAAAACCTCTATACTTTTTGAGATATTCGCTAATAAAATTTTGAATACACCATTATTTTATCAGGTTTCTTTTTGCGGAAGTATGTTTTGTACATAACTTTAAAGATCTTTCGAAAAGAAGACGTTTCATTAAAATCGTTACAGCAGTTTAGGCGTCACAGATTTATCATTCCCCATTTTAAAAGGTAAGGTCGGATGGTAAAGTCGGGTTCCGAGGATCAGAAATCAATGATCTTTAATATTGAAACAAAATCTCAAAACAATCGATCCAATAATCACAGAGAAAAACCGCAAACGGAGGACGGATGAATTTTCTTTATTCGATTTTCGGATTCTAAAACCTTAAATTTCAATGGGGGTTTACTTTTTTGTGTTCATGGTGGATTATCGAGAATCATTATTGGAAATATTAAAACAAAAATTGCGAAATGTTGATGGTTCATAAGTGCATATTATATCGAAACCCGTTAGTTTTTAAAAACATAATGCAAGAGGAATTATTTTAACGAATATGTGTAATTGGACGATTGAAATTTCACCGAAGGTCAACAATTATTTTCTTTTCTTATTCTATAAGCCAATGATTCGGTGAGAGGAACCTATCAATTTTTCAGTCATTCAAATCAGATAAGGAATCTATAAAGGTACTTCTGTCGAGACGAGGAATGGTGAGTGGCCAGTATCGAAATGGAGAAGGAGTCTAATAACCAGTTGCCGAAATGGAACAATGGTATGTCAAAATATTAAGAAATAAAAAAATTACAAACATAATTTCAGGCTGAAGTCCCTCCCAAAATGGTAAAATATAACTATGTTTTATGGAAAAATTATCTTTAAAAGTATTATTATTCGTCTAATTACATTTATTAGGACTTAAAAAATCACTTAAACGCCATTTCATACAGGTAGTTAGTTTCTTTCTTTCTTCCGAAGTAATTATCATAATATAAAAATATAGAAAAAAAAATCTTTTGGCTGAAACTACCCCAAAATTAAATCCTGGATCCATTAGTGCTTTAGTATATGGGACAAAAAGGGAATAGAAAGAGAGGGGAAACAACATTCTAACATTCTATATTTAAGATGGTAGTCCTGTTTAACATTTTGTGATTTTTTTTTCTAAAAAATTATCGATTAGACTCAGTAGTAGATCCAGGATTTAATTTTAGGGACTTCAGCCCGAAAGCTATAATTAAAAAAATAAGACATATTTTGATTGTTTAAGTATTTAGCTTAAATCACTCACTGTAACTAATATGGACCTATGAAAAAAAAAAAAAAATCTAGTTTTGTGAGGACTTTAGTCCGAAAGTCCTTCTCTCTCTATCCTCCCTCCCGTAAATCCACCAGTGATTACACTGAGGCACTAGCGGATCCAGGATTTAATTTTGGGGGGCTTCAGCCCGAAAGTATTTTTTTCATGAAAATAACGATAATTACTTTGGAAAAAAAGAAAGAAACTAACTAACTGTATGAAATGGTGTTTAAGTGATTCCTAAAGCCCTTTTAAATGTAATTACACGAACAATAATACTTTAAGAGATACTTTTTTTATATTTTCTCGATAAAACAGGGTTATATTTTACCATTTTTTGGAGGGGAGGGGATTCTGCCCGAAAGCCCCCCTCCCCCGTAGATCTGCCCGTGCACTGAGGGGTATGCTGTTTCAGTCAGCTACTTAAATTTATATTGTGCTGCTTTGTTTTAGTACACTCTCTATATAACAGCTCTTTTAATTATTTTATGATTATAATTTAATAAATGACTAAATTCTAGCTATTAGTATAAGTTTGGTTTATTATTCTCAATAATAAACTATTGTAATCGTCCAAAAAATTCAAAAACTCAATCTCCCTCCCTCCTGAAAATAGGAGATTTTACGTTTCAGGATACGTAGAATTCGAAAATCGAATAAAAATTTTTTTTTGTCTGTCCGCTGTCCGCGCATTTTCTCCAACACTACTAGACCGACTTTTTCCAAATTTGGATTTAAAGTCAGAGGTCACCCTAGGATGATCCTTTTCTTTTCAAGATGGCGGCGAAAAACATAGATTGTAACGGTGTCATAGATTGTAGCGCCTAAATGAGTGTACCGATTTCAATGGAACTTGACAAAAGTCTTCTTCTCGATGCCCATTAAATTTATTTAAATAACACACTTTAACGAAAAGAAGCTGGAAAAAAAGTTGCGAGGGGTGGTAAAATTAGATTTCCGAATATCTCAAGAAGTATAAACTTTTTTGTTGACATGGTTATGGTTATTTAAGTTTACGAAATTTCCTAAAAAACAAAAACAAAAAAAAATCGTTAAAAGCGTACAATTTGGAGCAAAGATAGGGCTCTAGATATTTTTCATGTTCTACTGCGAAGGTTGTATCCTTTGTTTTGGTTTTTGATTTTTGATAGTGTTAATGATGAAAAAAAAAATGTTTATGCCAATAATAAGAATCACTTTTTATTTCTTTTTCTTTGTTACTGGGAATGTAATGTTACTTTAGATATATAATGGTTTGGAAATAATAAACTATTGTGAAATAATTTGCAGCGTTTTTCAGTTGAAATTGCAGATCTTGTAGATCTTATACCCGCCTTAACCAGCCTTGTCCATCTCTGTCTATCTTGGGATATTTCTTTCCAGTTATCTGCATGCAGATCTATTGCATCTTAGCTATCAGTAGACAATAGGAAGAAAATATGTCTGATTTTTTCATCCACACTCCTTTCCAAAAATGAAGAACGGCTTTGTATTAGAACGTGTGGTAAATATTGCGAACGTTGTTTCTCTTTACTAAATCGTCCAATTTCATTGATATTTTTTAAAGGGAAATTTTATCAACTTTCAAATAAGCCAACACATAATCTAACAAAAAGTATATAGTTTTTGAGACACTTGCTAATAAAATTTTGCATTCACCGTACTTTTTCATTTTTCCCCCAGCTGTTTTGGGGGAAATAAGTAATGTACACAAATTTAAAGATCTTCGAGGAGAAAACTTTGGGCAAGTTTTGTTGAAATCGATCTAGTTGTTTAGGCGATACAGGTTTATTAGGCCTCATTTTCAAACGAAAGGTCGAATGGTAACGATGGGTTCCAAGGATCAGGGGGATTCATCTCCCCCAAGGCCGATGGAGCATAAACCTTCCCCCATCCTTGCCAAGATATTTTATTCCTCTCTTCTTCTTAAAACAGTGCAAACGAAAGTATAATTTAAATATATGTAGATTATATACAATAACACATACTGCGATCTGTTACATGTTTCCATTTGTCTTTTAATTTGAAACTTATCATTTTGAAAATTCTTAACCCCGTCGAAATATGGCTCCCTCAAAAATTGAAAACTCCGTCAAAATGTGCTCCCCTCATACATTTTGATGGCGCAACTTGCGCCATGAAACCCCCTTCTGGGCACCCCTGCCAAGGACTACACTCGGATGATCTTTGATATTGTGAAACCAAATCTCAAAACAATCGGCCCAGTATTCAAGGAGAAAACTGTGCAAGGCGGTGGACTCTTAGTGCTTGGTTTAGTCCGCAGGATCCGAAACTCCACCAAACAAAAACAAAGCAAGAAATCGGTACACCGTCTAAACAAAATGCATTAAGATAATGTATAGATAATATTACATATATTATATAATATTTCTACAATATCTTTACATAATTGTTTTTTCAGTCATCATAAAATATGAAATTTGGTATTAGGGATAAATTTAATATTTGTCCCTTTTTTAAACCAATTTTATATTGTCCCTGGAAACCTTGATTTCTCCCCATGGTCCTGTCGTTAGCAGAATACAAGTTCCTTTATTGTGTTTATTTGTCAAAGCCGTTTTACAATAACTTAGTTAACCCATAAAGCCCACTACGACGATTACGTAGGCGTTGGCTAAGAGACCTGATGATCTCATTTATATCCCGGACGTGATGGCAAGCTGTGGAGCTGCCAAAAAATTTGCTCATTGCAAAGAAATTTACAGATTGCAAATTTAATCTAATGTTCTACATTTTTTATTTTGTTAATAATAAATAAATAGTTTATCAAACAGCTTATTAATATTTCATTAAAAATATTATTTTTTTGAAATGTCTAATTTAAAGTTTACTATTATTTCAAGAACACCTCGTAATGTTACTAGATTTCATTCAGGATATTTTTGTTCAATGACAGTAAAAAAAAATAAAATAAAATAAAATCACCAAATTACGATTGTTTTCGAAAATTAATAGGTTTTATTGTTAGGATGACAGTAAATTTAATTCGAACTATTTTTAGTTGTCATTTGGAAAATTACGAAATATTTGTGCAGAAATTTTATGTAAGGAAAATCACTCAATTGGTAATGAAAACATTTAAAAAATGCTTACATATTTTGAAGTTATTGTACTCAAGCATTTCATTACCTAATGAAAGTACTCGCAATTAGTGCTCAGAGATTACATGTAATTGAAAAAAGTGAAAGAATATTTGGCTAAATATGAAATACTTTTATTTAGCAGTTTGGACTATTAGCTACAATTTTTTATTTTTATTATTTTAATGAAATTTAAAACTGTATTACATAGAAAATACAATAAGTAAAAAAGTATGTAACATTGGTAACATGACATGTACAACATGTAGAGAAACTACCCATTGGTAGAACTCAAATAGCTACAATTTAATACAAACTATGGAGGAACTATTAAACTTGTTTTCTTATTATTATTTTTTTTATTGATTATAGAATAATAATAATTATAATTAACAGATTTTAATTATACCATAGCAATATTTATTTTTATTTTTTCGTTGCCTCTACCCTGCAGGGTCATTGGCAACACCTTTTATTTACACTCTGTTATAGAAAGTTATTCTTTTTAAAAATTCAAACCTTTTTTAATAGCTATTTCATTGTCATTCAAGATTTATTTTAAGCTTTTTGGTTTTTTTTAAAAACACGGCCAAGCAGTGCAAGCACTCTTGCCGTTACAGTGGCTTAATGTGGTACTTGATGTCCACCCAAAACGCCGCCAGGACTCCGGCGACGCCCCCTATCACCAATTTAATAAGGTAAAATTTCTTAGCTGACCTCAGCACGATTGGTCTCAGGCTTCGCGATCAAAATAAAATCATCAGAAACAGTTTGAGTTGAACCTATAGCACAAAAATTGACCTTTTCTCCGATTTCTGAAAATTACAGATATCAGTCTTTGGTATGAAGTCACTCAATTGTTTTCTAATTGGTTAAACCATCAGTGCCGCCATTTTGTAAAATTCAAATATTACATAATATAAAATAGCTTAAAAAATAAATTGAAATTTTTTAGGGGGAGGGGCGGAGGAGAGTTGACGTGGTTGCTCTGGCCCACTATCACTTAATGTTCCTTATTGTTTATTTTATTTGATTTATTCTAAATAATTTCATTACCTTTTATTTATCTGTCTTTCTTTTCATATTATCACTCATATTGATAGCAACTTACCAAAAGTGCTGTTCTCCTAATTTTCACATGTTGACTAAATGTACAAAATCAAAATTTTATTTTGTAATTTCGACAGATTTTTTTATTTTTTATAATTTACTCCGATTCGGTTATCATGTTCCGATTGTTATCAATCAATTAGTTTGAGATTCGATTTAAATAAATTTGACTGTTAAAAGGAATTGGAATAATAAAAAATAACTATTAAATATATTTAAATTTGACCATCTTAACATTTTTTTATGGCAAGCACGTGCCAATAAAAAAAAATGTATCCCTAAAAACATTATTCTTGTTGTAAACCCGTTTTATTTATTTTTTGACAGTCCTTAAAAGACCACTTAAACGTTATTTTATATAGTATTTTTTTTCTTTTTCTTCCAAAGTAATTACTGCTTATACCCCTTGAATTATATTATTATTTATTAAAACAGTATTAAATAAAGTAATGCAATCAAGATGAATAATATTTAAATTTTCCGGCTTATTACTTGCGTCATTGTGTTCATGACTTTAGTTGATGATTGATAATCAAGAATGTATTCACTTATCACTAACAAAAAAACCTTTTTGGAGTGTTTTATATTAATTTAGAGAATCAAGCTCTCCTCTCTCCCAAAAAATAAAATTATATCCTTAATCCACTATTGCCCTCCCATTCAATCACACTGCATTTCACCGGATATTATCGATCTGGTTATGGATGATGCTCATTTTATATATTATGCTCATATTTATATATTACCTTTTCAATACATCAAAAAAAAAAATTAGAGTAATAAATCGATACTTTTTTGATAAATTAAAAAAAACTTATGATTAGAAACTAGAAACAACAAATCCTTTAAATTGCTTAAATCTGAAAAATCGAATCATATTGGAAGAAAATGAATATTGAATGCATTACTGAAAACTTATAAAAGTAATAGTATTTTATTAAAAGACTTATTACCATCCCGCAAGAGCAAAGCCGCATATTCTCCCTCCAAAAAGTAAAATAATTATGAAGTTACTACACGATGAAAGTCTTATAATACATATATGCCAAATATATAACTAAGATTTTTTATTTATTTATTTATTATTATTATTTTTTATCTTTTGAAGTTTATTTATTTGAATTAATCTATTGATTTTATTACTATTTTTTTTTACTAGTTTATTTATTTTTATCTTATTATTATTACCTTAAAGTGTATTTATTCATGTTATTCTATTAATCTTTTTTTATTTATCTTTTTTTTTTTTTACCTACCACCTAAATAGTTTAAAAGTAGTGTTTGTTAGTTGATTGGGCACTGATAATCTGGATGTTTTGTGCCTAGACATCGAAACAAACAAATACATGATAGTAAAATTATAAAAGTACTAGTTTAATTTCCCTTTGTTCTTTACTTTGAAAGTTCTTTTTAATCAAAATCTCTTAAAAATTCATAGTCTCATCCAAAAATTCATAACCCGTAAATATCTACCCCTTCAAAAATTACAAAAACGTAAAAACGTTCTCCTCTTAAAAATGTTGATGGAGCAACTTGCGCCATGGAACACCCTTCTGAGCATCCCTGAAGATAGACAATTTCACTTATTACTAAAAATTAATTCAATTTCAATTGGGAATAACAATTGATATGAACACAAAGTAGCTCATCGGTTTTTCGTCACTTTTTAAAATTCATCTTCACCTTGAGCTTTCAATTAGCCGATGGATCACTGCCTTAATCATTATTTCGACAAATACTTCTGAAGCATGAGATTTTTTAAATATTTTAGGATGAGCTACTACTTCAGTAAGTGTAAGTGGAACCGCTAATTAAATATTTAATGTCTACTTATCACTATTTCATTTTGGAACGATTATCGAAACAATTTATTATTCACACCAACTTTAGTATTTTGTTAATAAAACTCAACATCCTACTTTTGGAGCCCTGTTACTTAATTTGGTCCACTTGCGGATCCAGTATTTAATTTTTTTTTGGGGAGGGGTTCTGCCTGAAAGATTTTTTTTATATACATATAACGACAATTAATTTGAAAAAAAAAGGAAGAAATTAACTACCTGTATGAAATGGTGTTTAAGTGGTTCTTGAAGTCCTATTAAATGTAATTATAGGAACAAGAATACTTTAAGAGATAGTTTTTTCTTTGAAACATGGTTATATTCTACCATTTGTACCATCCAGAGGGGAATTTCTGCCCAAAATCCCCCTCCCCCCGTAGATCCGCCTGTGATTTGGTCTGTTGAATTACGGAATAAGACTTTATTGTTACATACCTGTATCATTTTACTTGATTTTGTTACAGGTTGGGGAGTCCGACACTCACAAATTTTGCTTTATTTTTCCTGCGTCTCTGTGGTGTATACGTTGAGAATGAATCTTTCAGTGGCTGTAGTTGCAATGACAACTTCAACTACCAAGGTAAAGTAGCTATCAATAATTTCTTAACGCTATATGATTGAGCAATACGAAGGAAGGAGAAAAAAACAAGTTTGTTTATTAATGAAACAAAAGATATTCATGAAAAATCTAATAAATTCTAAATATTCATTAATCATTATAGGAGGCTTTCAGTGGACAAAATGACTTACTCCAATTTCAACATTTTTGGATTATTAATTTTAGTGATATTTCTAGTGGGAAAATGTATACCTTTATTAACATTTCTATATTTCAACACTGCAATCACCTACTCTGGAATCAACTTAATCATTGTCTCTACGGATATAAATTTTCCAACTAGAAATGTCACTTTAATGACTTTACAAAAAATGTTGAAATAGGAATTAATCATTCTGTCAACTGAAAGGCTCATGTATATATACTATATATTTATTTAAAACTCAAAAACTTTTAAAGCCTATACACACTGAGCAGCGACGTGACCGTTGCGTGACAGACATGTAATCTTATAGACAGTGATCTCGGTGTGATCTTTGTGCACACCATTACTAGACTTGACCACCATCAGTCTCTGTTTTCGAAAGCAATAATTATTCCTAGACACTTCTATACATTCTCAGGATCCTTTTTGTAGATGATTGCTCTTAATTTTTATGAAAAATTTTCATGAGGACTATAAACAAAAAACAGCAGGAGTTTTGTCCACTCTTTAGAAGGAATTGATGGACGTTGGAGCAAAGTTTTACAGGCACTTCAGTATGCCAGAAAATGTTCTTACTTTAAGATTCTATTGAGCTAATTGCTAATCAACCTTAAAAAATACTGGACCCAAACTTGAGGAAAGCTATTTCTCCAAGAGAACGGCTTGCAGTTTGCTTGAGACATCTAAAATAGATAACGTATCTTTGGCCAACTTCACAGATGTATTAGTCCGCAGTACAGATCTATTTTTATCCGTCTAAAACTTCATGAATGGCTTCATCTTACGTAACCCACAACTTTTGTATTTACTAACATTTTCGGATATGGAAAATTTTCAATTTTCTCGGTGAACTTTGTCTATTTAATGGGTCACTAAAAAGTAATTGAACACCCATACTTTCCACTTCAATCGTAAGGTAAATCGATCACGAAATTGAGAAAAAATATGGCCAACAAAAATATTAATTTTTTTAGCATGACCTTCACTCATAACAAGTCAAAACAACGAGATTATATCAGCCCCAATATTTTTGCAGCCCACCTTTTCTTCTCGGTTTTGTGATCAGATTATCTTTGGATTGAGTAAATGGGTATCCATGAATTTTTAGTACCTCATTAAATTAATTAATGAGAAAAACCCATTTTTGATAATCTTCTTTCATAAAAAAGTTCTACATTACGATAAAATGAATCCATTCGCCATGTTTTAGACCTGGGGTCTCCAAACCATGGCCTTCGAAAGTATTTTGATTAAATTAACAAATTTTAAAAACTATTTAAAAAGCCATGCCCCGCGAAACTTAATCGAGATCTCAATGTGGCCCGTGAGCAAAAACGTTGGAGACAACTGTTTTAGACGGATGGTAATAATTTGATGAAAAGATGTTTGCAACGCGGACTGTACGTACTAATACAGGAGTGCCCATCCCCCAGGATCGATGGCGCATGGAACTTCTCCCATCGCATCCAAAATATTTTACTGTTCTCCTCTACTTAAAAACAGTGCAAAAAAGTAGAATTTAAAAATTCGTAGATTATATACAATTACACATCCTATGTTTCTACTTGTCTTTTGATTTAAAACTTTTCATTCCGAATATTCATTATTCCATCGAAATGTGTTCTTAAAAATTCAAAACCCCATCAAAATGTGGCCCCCTTCAAAATTTTGATGGCGCAACTTGCTCCATGAAACCCTCTTCTGGACACCCCTGTACTAATATAAAAGATAATATTTAAAGTAAACATCGAGTACATTTACAAACACAACAAATGCAACTAGAAACCAGAGATAATAAATAAAGCATTAACGCTTACGGTGAAATTTAAAATATGCTTTAATTTGATACGAAAAAAATTGCACTATCATTTGTGCTGTTGACTATCATATGCAGCAAAAACATTAAAAAAATAACATTAATTTGAACTAGGAAATAAGACATTTTTTAATTTATACATTTTTTTTTTTAATTATAGGGGCTTGTTCGGACAATAATGTCTCCGAATAACCCCCTATAACATTTTTTGTATAAATGTCTGCTTCTTTGAAGTTTCATCAAATATCTTCTGATGCACAACAGAAAGATAAAAAAATGTGAATAAAATTAAATATTTCAAATATTATAAATCTAAAAATATTCATTATACTAACAAATAATATTTTGTTAAATATTGGCCACAGAATGTCCCACTGGGTCCAGCTGAGAAAGCTCTTGTCTTGAGCAGCCTTTTTTGGGGATATGGATTACTCCAAACTATCTTGGGAAATTTGGGCAGAAAAACTAATTCTGTGAGAGTATTATCTTGCTGCATCTTGGCATCTGCCGTATTGTCCATGGCTATTCCATTGGCAGCTATTCACTTTGGAGCTGTTGGCATCATTGTTGTTAGAGTACTGATTGGTATTTTACAGGTAGGTTATTAACGGTTACTGAAATATATAAAATCCGAAAATTATATTTAAATAAGTTATTTTGTATGTATATTTTCAGGGTGGAGTCTATCCTAATATAAATAATTTATTATCAATGTGGGCGGTTCCTCAGGAAAAATCCGTACTTGCTCCCTTAGTATACAACGGTAAGTAACTAATTTCCTCCCGTTTTTTAGTTGTCTACTATTTATTCTGCTATTAGTTTTAGAGTAACTATTTCAAGCATGACGATTTTTATAATTTTTTAAGGAGTGGCTTCCGGAATATTCATAGCAATGATTGGATCCGGCTTCTTAGCTGAACGATTTGGTTGGCCTTCAATATTTTATAGCTCAGGTAAGGAACCGTTTCCTGTCCAATTTTTGTAACATTGTTGATTTTGGACTGTCGATTTCAAACAGAATCCGTCACTAAAGTTATAGTTTTAAATACTCTTAGATAAGAGATTTTTATGTTCTGTGATTCTTGAAATTGGAAAGTTTTAGCTAGGATATGGAGTTATAAAGCAATAACTGAAAAAGGTACAATGATTGGGCGCCATTTTGTATTCCGTCAGATTCATACTTGCAAATTTAATTTTTTTTAGCTCTCCGAAGAAAATAATTATATTTATTATTTTAGTTATAATTAAATAATATTTAATAAAAATAATTCACGTTTTTAAAAATGTGTTTTCAAATTAACATTAATGTTTGCTACTACACCTTTTGTGATTTCCTGATTTCAGTAAATCTGCTCTTATCAGTTATCAGGATTTTTTTTCTTCTAAATTGCTAATTAATATATTTCTTTTTTATCTTAAAAAATATTTATTTTCATTTAATGATTCATGTAAAAAAACTTATAAAATAATTAAAGTAATTCTACATATAAATAAAATTTTAAAGTGCACAGCTTCTTTGAGACACGGATATTTGATTATATATTAAGCTGGTGAATGTTGATTTAAAATTAATGTAATTGAAACATGCTAAATACACACACAGCTCATATAAAAATTGAAAATATTTGGAGTAATGGTATTTAATATATTTAATGATTGTTCCTATATATTTTTTTTTATTTGCATATTTATACAATACATCATGACATACTAATTATTACATGCTTGTGGTTACAATAGTGATGTGATTGCTTATTTGTAATGCAGAAAACCTAATTATTGTTACTATTTGCCTACAAATTGATCATCTTGTAATTTCAAATAACCTACTTGAGTTTTTCACATTAAAGGAATACTTGGAATTGTTGTTGGAGGACTATTACTTTATTTTGGTAAATGCAGCCCAAGTGACCACAAAGGAATTTCAAAGGAAGAACAAGAATTCATGAGAAACAGTTTAGGAGAAAACCCCTTAGAGGTAATCACAAACAACTTTTATGATGAAAAAATAAATAAATAAAACAGAACTTTCACTTACCTCTCTAGTCTGAGTAGAAATTATTTTTTTGCAAATATTTTATGTTGAAAAAAATCTTTGAAGTGCAATTTTAATGGAGCTAAACCTTTACGAACACATTTGTGAATTTTGTTCGCATTACTAACATAAGTGCACCATGTCCTGATTTTACAGTGGGAAAATTCTTGATTGATTTAATTTTCTAAAATGTTACTCAATGATTTTAAAGTATAAATCTACAATATATACATAATCATTCTAATCAATTATCGGATCTAAAGTTATTAAACTGCAGTTAATATATTTCAGATTATAAATAAATCTTCCCTGAAGTAAGTACAATACAGCCTCACTACGGTATGTATGTATGTAAAATGCATGTATGTACGTAAAGCTTAAAATAAATTTTAAAAGTTTCTATTTTGTTTCTATAGAAATTCCATTTAACTTCCATGGAAATTGTCCATTCAATAAAAGTAGACATTATTAACTAAAATAACTAATCTTTTGTTTTTCGTCACTCTCTATTACCTTCTTTTTATTTAAGGACTTTTACGACATTAGTCATATGTTGTCAATCAAATATGAATTTTTGCTGTCTTCTTCTGTCCTGACTTCACCCATACCCCTGTTCATAATTCCTTCCTTTATGTCCTCATACCAGATAGTAAGGTAATCACAAGCATATCATTTTAGATATGACATCGTACTTCCTTCTATGACTTTAACTGCTAAATATTCTGTTTTTTTTAATCTTTAGCTTTCCAATCTTATGTTATGATTATACATTTCTAAAATTATTTCCAGAATTTTTTTTTCTACCTGGAAAATATGTCTTATTTTTTCTTCTATTATTAATTATCAATTTCTTTCATGGTTTATGTTCACTCATTTCTTATTATTACTTACCTCGAGAGACTGTTAATTATTTCAAATGAACCATATAACGATATTTAAAGTAGCCATTTTGAAAATTTGTTATTATAGCAAACTACTTTAATCAGGGTAAGACCTTCCTTATATGAAAAAAACACTTGTCAATTGGTATAATGCGTTTGATCCAAATCGTTTGTTAGAGCCGTTTTTGAGAAAATTGTAAAAAATATATATGAACTCTGATATTAAGATGTTATTCCGGTGAACCGATTTTGACAAAAAAACTGCTGGAACGTCCCAGCCACATATTTACTATGTTACACACCTACATATATTTAAATTGAATAAAACAAAAGTTATTATCTAATTAAGTGGAATTGTAATGAATACATTATTATTATCCCTTTGGAAGTCCCCTACTATCATAATCATATACTTCAAGATATGTTATTAAAATTATATTTTAATTTCTTTATTAATTTCAGACCATGCGAAAGTTGCCAGTTCCTTGGAAAAAAATTTTAACTTCAGTACCAGTAATAACTCTCACAATAACACAATTTTGTAGTTCCTGGGGTTTTTGGACTATTGGAACTCTTACGCCCAGCTATATGAGTGGTGTATTGCACTTCGACATAGAAAGTGTAAGTATAATATTAAATATTAATTCAGATAATTGCTATTTGTTTATAAAATACTTGTAAGCAATATTAGTAAACCATATCTAATGAAATATATAATTTTCAGGATGGTTTCCTGTCCTCTCTTCCTCCACTGACTAGTGTGTTGCTTAGTTTTCTGTTTACCTTAATATCTATGAAAACTAAAGACCTTATACCACCTTTATATGCGAAATTTATGTGGAATAGTATAGGTAAGTTCACTCTTTTTAGCCTTAAAATAATGCCAATTTATGTTTGTATTACTCAAACTTTTCTCTCATACTTTCTTATAACCTTGATGAATGTTAAGGGATTACAGTCTAGCAATATAGTCTAGTCAAGGAAAAACATATGCCTATGTGAAATGATACGGTGTAATCTCTACTGGACATCTAAGTTTTAACTTTCCCAATCACCAAAAATTACATGAAATCTAAGAACGGCAGTAGATGTCATGCCAGTCACAAGGAATTGACAACAGAATGCAGTTTAAAATAAATCTAATCTCCCTTTCTATATTCACTGTCTACCACATTTCACAGTACCCAGCTGTTATTCATCATGATCATAACCATCATAATAATCTTATGATAATATTCTGAAGTACTGCTAGGCAGTGGGAGATTGCTGTTTTTAAAGTCTGGATCAGGTGCCTCGCTCTCTAACCAACTTTGCTGCTTCAATCCATATAACACCAATTAGACACTGTCCTCCCAACAGCTCATGTTCCTCCAGGGGATGGTCTCAGACGGTTTAACCTCGAGGCTAGTCCGTATGGTGGTGTTCCATATTCTATCACGTCTAATATCTTCAATATATTTCCTTCAACTTTACAAAGGGAGCGCATCTCTATGGATTGGATTCGTCTTTAGTGTTTCTAGGTGAGGGTCCACGAATCAGAAGAATACGAAAGGATAGAGAGAAACATTGGTTTATAGACAGTCATTTTCGTCTTCTTGGTTACCTCTCTTTTACCAAGAAAACCTTTCCGAAGTGAACAAAATGTTCTGCCAGCTGTTCCGATTCTCTGAGTGACTTCCTCATCGATGTAACAGTTTGTTGAAATGTGTACCTAGATATTGGAAATTATCTACCTGCTCTAATCTCTAATTTTGCTCTCAGCACTCTCATTATTTTCTGGGATTTCTTTCCTATCCGCTTGCCTTTTTGTCTTTTCCGGTTTGATTCTCATATTTATTGTGGTTATTTCTTTCTGGAGGAATAGTAGTTTATATTGTCTGTCTGTAGTTTATATGTAGTTTATATTGTGTTGGAACACTTAAATGGCAGCCAGCAAGAAGAGGTCATCAGCAGGTGCTAATATGGAGAATCTTCTGGATTATAGGTTTTTGTGTCCTAACTGGAACTGTCTCATTCTTAGTTTAGCTTTCTTTAGTGCCAGGTCCTAGTCTAAGACTGGACCTGCCAAGTCCTGTTCTAAAACTAGTATAAATACTTCTAGATCCACCCTGAGCTTACATTTTTTTGAAGAATAACTTATGTAATTAATTCATTATTTATTGGTATTTACAATAAATAATGCGAAAAAGCTGTCTAACCAAAGAAAAAACCTCTCCTGTAGTTTGCAAGTAAAGCTAAGAACCGTTATCATTCTTGGTCATAGAAAGAGTAACCAGCTAGTTCATTGAGTGCCTACCAATAACAAATAAGTCATATGAATTTGAAGTAAGTCTTAAATGGTTGTCGAGGAAGGATGCTCACAGCTGTATATTGTTAGCATCCTACCTTTGGAATCACCTACCTCTCTTTTGGTAAGGTACTGTGATATCTCAAAACAGTTGTGTTTAAACAAGTCTGCAACATTTTCACACCTACTATCACTGCTAGCTGTATCGATTTATTTTTTTTTTATAGGTATGTACGGATGTGCCTCCGCTCTTATTGCACTGGCATATACTCAAGATAAAACCATCGCTGTTGCCCTTATCACAGTTGGAGGTGGAGTGACTATAGCTTCCAACTTGGGTTTTCAGACAAATCACATAGATCTTTCTCCGAATTTTTCTGGAATTTTATACTCTTTCACCAATTCAGTGGCCAATTTCGCTTCTATATTCGGACCTCTCCTTTCAACTTATCTGGTTAAGGATATTGTAAGTATATAGTATGCCATTAATAGATTAATGTGCCAATAAAATGTTCATATTGATATTATCTAGTAGTAAAATTAAATTTTTCTTAAGTCAAAATAATATTTGATTGCCAACTATGATTTATATATCTAACTATATAGTTAAAGAAAAAATACTTATTTTTAATCTTAAAGGTAGAATCTTAGAAAATATTTATTGGAAGGAAATTAATAGAATATTATCATGAAATAGTTTTTAAAAAATATATAGCAATTCACTTATGAAACAAATGCAGAGCTGTTAAATTTGACACCAATGTTGCTCTTTGGCCAACCAAATGTAATTTTGAGATAAATCAGCTTCCAAAAACATCTCTCAGAAAATTGCTGTTAGTGCAGAAATTGTAACATTTCTTAATGTAATTAATTAGAAAATAATTAAGATTGTTTTTCCAATGAAACTTACAATATTGGAATTTTAGAGGAATGTAGAATAGAATGAAAAACATGTTATTATTGTCTTGCTCAAATTTATTGTTCTGTTAAAATTAAATCGCTCTACTTCTTGTGTTGTTAATTATTTTTTTATACTATAATTATTCAATTAAAAATAAAATTATATTATATATTAAAACGATTAATTATATGTTAAAATGTTCCTTTGCTCCGTTTCTTTATCTTGGAATTTATTAGTAGTCTCTTTAAAAGTTTGATTATTCTGATTTTGTCATAAAAAATAAACTTAGGTAAAGAAGAAAAATTGTTTTCTTAGACTTGGTCTTGATAGAACACAATACTTAATGAAAAACATCAACGAAGATATTGAAAGTTTTTTTTCTATACTTATATTTTTACTTTTGTTGTTTAATTCTTATATATTTAATTAAATGACTTATTTTTAATTATTATTTATCTTTATTGTTAATGCAATGTGTTGAATACTATTATCTTTATGTGTATTACCATAACTCTAATTTGCATATATAAAATGTTAATTGAGACACATCCTTTATTTATTATTAATGTTTATTGTTTTTTATAGGGCGATCTTCACGAATGGAGAATAGTTTTCCTGTTGTCAGCAGCTATTTTAGTTCTTGGTAATACTTGCTTCCTATTTTGGGGAACCGCACAAATGCAAGAATGGAATGAAGGCAAAATTAAAGAAGCACAAATTGAATGATGAAAACCAATAACCATTTTGAAACTGGTTATATATATATTTTAATTATGTTCATGATCTCATGGTACATAACAATCCACTAGCACCAAGGATAGTCACTTCCCAGCACGCCTAACATCAAGAGGAGGCTGAGAAGTTCATGGATGAGAAACTGCTCATGATCTCAATAATTTTATTCAATTTAGATCTGATATATCACTGTTTAATGGACCGTCACTTTTGTTAATAATGACAACCGTACATTTGTTTATAAATATTATTAGAGAAAAATTGGTTTCAAACATAACAGGATGTCATAATGATGTAGAGATGGTTGACTGTTGATATAATATGAGGAGGAGTTACTCGGGGGAGGAGGGGGTGCGGTCAAATAAATACTAAATTAAAATATAATCAAATAAATACATATATATTTATTCATTTATATATTTATTTATATATTTAAATATATTTATTTATTTATTTGACCGCACCCCCCCGATTAACTCCTTCTCATATTATATCAACGGTCAACCATCCCTACATCATTATGAATGCATTACCACGGGGTCAACAACAAGATACAAACCCACAATCCATACGTCACAGTTCCAGACTTAATGCCAGATCAAACAATCCACAACAAATGTCTTCCGCACATCAGAATCTCTCTGTTCTTCCCACTCATCGAAGTACCAGATTTCAAAAACCTTCCGGAACTTTCCGTCACGCAGCACTGATATCTAATCACTTTTCTTCACACTCTTCTCCATCTGGCAAAAATTAAATAATTACTATATTTTAATTTAGTATTTATTTGACCGCACCCTCCCCCCTTTCCCCCCCCCCCCGATTAACTCCTCACATAACAGGATGTCATTACAGTTACTATAAATTAAAGTCTCTTCTACCAAACCGAATTCCCAGTAAACCTATATAACTGAAATGATTCTAACCTATTAAAAATCTTCGTACCAAGCCTATGAGTGCTTGTTATTCAGAAGACATTAATACTATAAAATGGTTGAAAATTAAATTGGTATTATAAATTTGTACGTTATAGAGTATGCTTTGAAAAAATTCATTGTATATGGATATTTTTTAAGTTAAGTATTTGTATATGTTTGTTGTGTTAGAATGTTAAATGTTTTTTACTCTATTATTTTCAATATTAAATATTTAAAAATAATAAAAATATTTTTATCACTGAATCTTTTTTTTTTCCATTTATCTAAAGTATGTATTATGCATGCAATTATATGTATGCATTTTCATTGACATGTAGTTTGTTAGCAGAAGGGAGTTTCATGGCATAAGTTGCACCATCAAAATTTTTGAGGAGGGTACATTCTAATGGAGTTTTGAATTTTTTAGGAGGGCACACTTCAATGAGATTAGAGGGAAAAACATAAAAAAAAAAAAACTGTTTCAAATGTAATTGTATATGTTTTACGATTTTTTAAATTCTACTTTTGCTTACAGTAATCTTCTTGGTAGTACTAAAATCATTCCGTTTCCTATCTACATTAAAGACATCTTCCTGATCCATCACTCCCAATAATGTATCTATATTGATGACCTCCAAATATACATGTCATTCCCGTCTTCCGATCGATTACGAGATACTCTTTTTTCTTCTTATTAAAAATTTTCTTTGATCAAGTTTGATTGATTCATTTCATTAATGATAGGGTTTAAATAAATTATAAGAGGAACTTGAGTATGAGCAAGATAGCTCTAAATGTCATTCCGATGAACCAACTAGGAAAATTACACTTTAGAAGGTTTTTTTTTGTTTTAATAATCAGAAAAGGAATTACCCTCAACAAAATGCTCCAAAAATGTAAGAAGGTGATTTTTACTTTTACTCTGAGACTCTAAACCTCATAACTCGTTTCCTGTATTGTTATTCTAAAACTGACTTGTCCTAGAATAAATAAAGAAGTAATTATCACCAATATAAGGTAAAATATCACAAATTCGTCAGATCTTTATTATTTCTTCATTGGAATACGTAATTACAAAGTTCAGGTATGAATCAAGGGGAAGGTATGACCCGTCACTCAATGATACTTAAAATGTGTCCGAAGTGTGGTGAAAAACTGGATGGTGTATTCAGAAACAGTGTATTTGATCTAACAGTCTCCACTTTACTGTGATATATCTATTGGTAAAAATGATTCAAATACAGGACAATGTACAAATAAAAATCAGAGGGTAGAAAAAGTTGCCTGTTTGATTTCAATTCGATGTCTAATCTTCCCTTTAATACTATAGTTTAAATTATAGTATTAAAGGATTTATAAACGGAATAGTTCTTTAATTTAAGGATAGAGTAACTAACAAGTTACGGAGCCTTAACTACCCTGCAAAGAGATGTTATGCTGAACTTACGCCACTACAAAACATTGATAGAGTTGGTGCTGGTTATTCTGTTAGCTGTTTTCAATTAGGTGGGAATGAAAGTAAACACAGTTTTAATTAGATTGTATTTGAGGAATTGAGAGTCGATTCATTGCACGTATTCAATTTTTTTAGAAATCTATTTAAATAACTTGTCATACAAAGCTATATGGGCGATTCCATTATGGAACAATCCGCCGACGTTTGTTTTTTCGTTGTAAATATTCATACTGTTTCCGTTTTTTTGTTTATAAATTGTTTTATATTGACCTCCTAGAAAAGATGTAAAGTTGAAACTCATAATCAATAACAATTACAAACGAACATGCACGAGATGATAACAATTTTGTAGGTAAATAAAAATTAGATAATTTAACTGATTGTAAAAAATACCAATATAATTTACGCATAATATTATAAATCCTATTTACCGTAAAAAAAAACCTACGTATTAAATGATGTTTTTATTGGATGATAAATAGTCAGACATATCAATAATTTTTGATTGTTTTAAATATTTACATCAACTAAAGCAATGTTGTCTAGTTTTATTAATTTTGTATACATCCATGCGTCTTTCACCGAAGTGTAAAGACTGAATACATAAGTAAGTAATGAGAAGAACTATATTTTCATAGCAATCTTATGTATATATATATATATATATATATATATATATATATATATATATATATATATATATATCTAGAGCCGTAACCGTTTTAGGGAACCGTTCCTCATTCAATAATGCAAGCTTCCATAGAGCAGGACTAACAAGTGATCCCTCAGCATATCCTGTTTCTAAAGAAGCTTCTACCTCGTTATACTTTCATTTGCATGTCCTGAAGGTGCCTGCTTACTGGGTGCTTCGTACCTTAGCAGCTGCTGGAGCAGGCTTAGCCATCACATACTCGACTGCAGAGGATACATCAAAAAGTGGATTCGTACCGCTCCACTCTCGTCTCGATATCGCAGCGCAATCTCAGCAGGCCATCCGCGGTTTCCCTGCTTCTGGTCGATTGACGCGGATGGCTTGTTCGATCAAAAACTGGTCATCATAAGGTTCTATAGGACTTATTATTATTAAATTATTTATCTGAGAGATCGTTACTACGGATGAAGCTGAGGTCCAACATAAATTGTGTGTTTGGTCAGAAAATATTAAATTGACCTTTCAAGAAAAAAATAAATAAATAAAACGGTTCGTAAATTTAAAACAATTGTATTACTGCGTGTAATCGGTATAAACTTCTAGTGATTTTTGATGTCTCGGGAGATCGAAAATGAGGAATAATTGATTTATTAATGTTCCTAATTACACCAATCTATGCAAGACGTATGAAGACATCTTTTTATCATCATAAATGGCATATTTAAAATACATCCGTCAAGGACAAACCTTTTAGCCATAATTCTCTCACTACAATATTATATAATAATGATATAGTGGTTTATATCTCACATAAAACAGCCATGTCATACTATCCATCACTAGCGGTGCCACGGGAGAGCTTTCGGCCTGAAGTATATATATATATATATATATATATATATATATATATATATATTATATATATTGATTTAACTTTTTTTCTGTGAGTTATTTGACTTAATTAATTAAACAAAAATAATGTGCACTCTTGTTAACTAAATACAAATAAATGCAAACACGGGTCGAGAAAAGATTTTATCCTTAAAAGTATTATTTTTACTACAGTTGCGTTGTTCTTTTTTTAATCCTTCAAGAAACACTTAAACATAAATTTATATAGTCTCTTTCTTTTTCTTTCAGATTTATCAGCGTTAAATAAATAAGAAAAGTTGGAATCCTGAATCCAATACTGATATCCGTTGAGGCTGTCGCGCCTAACCAAAACACTTATCTCCATATTACAGGTTGCCACCTCCATATGTGAACGACTCCTTAATACCAAAAATATCTTGTGATAGATTTTGTGTTATTTAATCACAATTATCTAAACAGAAAGGCTAACGAACTTTATAATATTAGCCTTGTTTTTTCAGTGTAAGAGAGAAGATATGCATTGAATAGCTTATTTTTTTGTTATTTAATTAAATTGGTCTCATCCTTCGATAAGCCTCTGTTATCAGGAAATATTTTTTACAAGGTATGGTAAAAGTTTACAGGGTATGTTGTAATGGGATCAAATTTTCGTTGAGCAATATTCAACGAATAAAATTTTCATTTTGAAACTGAACTTCCTGTCATTGGTCTATACCACGATTATCTAATAAATACGTTGTAGGATTGTTTGATCTTTGGAATCGTAAAAGCCGATTCAATATTTCAATTTTGAAGTTAATGATGCACTTATAAAAAATATTACTGCATAAAGAATATTAGAATTTAAAACTGAGTTTGATTTCTAGAAGTGTAAAGAGATAAAAAAACTGAAAATGAAAAATATATCATATTCTAACAAGTCAATTCCTCAAGATAGCGTTATTTTTACGCGACTAAAACGATCGCCACAAAATAATGAAAGAAATATTTTGTTATATTTCAAGTATCCCCAAATTGTGTATTGGTTTCACATCATATCATGTTTCAGATCTTGAACATATGTGTTGAATATAAATTGTTAATACTTGAAAAA